CGCCCTACGCTCCACCGCGTCCGACGAGCTCCCCGCGCACCATCGATCGCGGCTTCCGTCCATGGTGCGGATATCAGAGACGACGGAGCGATACTCGGTGCCGAGGCGCGTGTACGCCGGAGGTGGGGGTGGGGGTGGGCTGCAGCGTGCGACGTCTCCTGCGCTGTCTGGTGTGAGCAGGTTTGGGAGGTATGTGCCGAGGATGGCGTTGTTTCGGGAGGTGATGAGGGATGAGGTGTGTTTTGTGTTTTTTGGGCTCCTGTTTTCTAGAAGTGTTTTTGCTTTTGCGCTTTTGTCATTGTTTTGGGGGGCGAGGCGTATAGTCATTAGACCTGACGAACTGACGGGCTTTTCTAGCTTTGCTACACGACGTTCATCACCGCCACCACCGTCGTCTCTGTCGTCCTCGACATTGTGGGTGTCAAGAGCGACACTGACGATATCAGCTCTCTCTCCTACATAGCTTTCAACTGTACGTCCTCTCTCTCCCCCTTCTCCTTCTCTCCTTCCGCCTCATGCATCCAATAACTCAATCCCCTGTTTTTCCCCCCAACCAACTCGATAGGGATGATCATCTCCCTCCTAGTCATGCACAGCTTCAGCCGCGTCATTAGGCGGCACGAGATGGAGGCGATGATCCAGGACCCCCGGACGTTTTACCCCAACTTGGTCACAGAGCGGGGTACGGCGGATTTTCTGAGGCCTGTGCGTTCGCCTGTTGGGGTCTCGCGGTTTTCTGGTGGGGGAGGGGCAGGTGGGGGAGGAGGGGGAGGGATGGCGTCGCATATGAGGGCGAGGCGGACGGTGCCTGGGCGCGGGGCGCATGACGAGATGGGGGAAGGGGAGGGCACGGAGTCGTTGCAGCACCTCTACCCGGGCGGAGGTGCGACCGGGGGCAGGAGCAAAACGACCTCCACGATCTCCACCACCACCACCTCCCACCACTCTCCGCACTCCAACCTGAACGGGAGCGGGAGGGGAAGCGCGTATTGGGCCGAGGACACGCGTCGTCGTCGCCACCGCCATCGGCGGAGGGGGACGTCGTTGTCGTTGTCGTCAAGGGGAGATGGAGATGGAGATGGCGAGGGCGAGGGCGAGGGAGGGGGTGGGGGGACGGACGCGTTTTCGGTGGCGGCGTCTACCTCGGGGATATCCAACGTCCATTCTCCGCCGATGACCGTCGAGTCGTTCTCGCGTCTTCTCCCGCCCCTCCCCCTCCCCCTCGCCCGTGTCGATTCGCCGCTTTCGGGTGAGAAGTGCGAGTGTGCGTTGTCGGCGGTGGCTTGTTCGTGCTTTTCGAGCTCGACGTTGCCGCGTGTGCCTAGTGTGAGCCGGAGTCGAAGTAGGGGTCGCAGCCGGAGTCGGAGTGGGAGTAGGAGTGGGAGTAGGCGTAGTGAGAGCGAGGTCGACGATCGAGGGTCTTCCCAGCTTAGAGACGATTTTATTCCAGCCCTCTCCACCTCCCCCTCCACCTCCAATAACATAAATTCAAACTCGGACTTGGACGTAGACTCGTGTATACGAGAACGGCTTGAGTGGTACGACGATAGTCGGACGAGTGTGTCTGCCCCTCCGGAGCCCCCAGACGGGAGGGGGGGAGGTGTGGGTGTGGGTGGGTACGACGTATAGTGTAGATGCGTACTACTACTGCTTTGATTTTTAAGAAAAGGAGGAAGAAGATATTTATCGATTATCTACTATTCTGCAATTATATGTGTAACGTTTGTAACATCATGATAACACTGAGCAATAGACGAGTAGGAGAAAAAATGTCTCACCTTTTTCTTTGCCTTTTGAAGTCATGATCTCTGCCAAGGGACTCGAGCGCGTCAAAGGAATTACTACATCTGATTTGAACAAGAGGGAGCACAAGCATATTACATTCCCCGACCCTAATCAACTCTTTCGAGGTATCGCCTTGAATCATACAGCCGCTACCCTCAACGTCTCTGGGCCAGACTCTCCAGAGCCGCCCCGGACGCGATCTGGAACTCCCCAGCCCCACTACTCATCATCACCCCTCCCTTCCTCGTCAACCGTCCCTGCGCCCTCACCACATCCTGCATCCTCCTCTCCGCCTCGCCCTCCACCTGGCCCTCTTCCCGATAATGCACCTTGGCGCCCACCTTCTCGCGCTTCACGCGGGCGGCGGCGTCTGGCTTGCCCTCGGTCGTCTTGGTGGTTTTCGCGGCGTTTGCGCTCTCCCTCGTCTTCGTCCTCGTCTTCTTTCCGCCGGTGCTGGTGGTGACGTTGTTTTTGGCGGTGGTGACGGTTTTGGGGGCGTCGCGGAGGGCAAAGGCTTTGGCGAGATGGCCGATGTGGAGGTGGCGCACGTGGAAGATGTGTTTTTCGTTGGAGGGGTGGGTGGCGTAGGCTCTCATGTGGGAGAGGAATGCTCTGCGCGCTGAGTCGGCGTTCTATATTATTATTATTTTAATAGTGAATAAAATAGACAACGCGATGGTCAGATCACATCGACTAAAAACGAGTGAGGAACTCTCGATTCTCACCTTGCTCTCCCGCAACACCCACCTCTCAAACGACAACTGCACATCAGTCGCCCGTCCCTCATACTCGACGCCCTTCCCACCAAAGCCTTTGGAGAGCACGGTGTCGATGGCCACGCCCTCGAGGGAGATATTGGCTTGCGCATCGGCTGGGCCGTCAGCGACGACGTCTCCCCGCATCTTGCCCTCCACCCATGGCACCCAGCTAGACTCGCTGGGGGCGACGATGCTCCACGCCTCACCGCCCTTCCCAGCGCGCGCCGTCCGGCCTACTCTGTGCACATACTCCGTCGCGCCGCCCTCGGTGGGGAGGTCGTACTGCACGACGGCGCGGACGAGTGGGAGGTCGAGGCCGCGAGAGGCGACGGAGGTGCAGAGGAGGATGGAGGAAGGGGGTGCGGGTGGCTGTGAGGTGAGTTTGGAGTTGGAGTTGGAGTTGGGGGTCGAGGAGAATCCGCGGAGGGAGGCGAGACGGGTTGGTGGGGGCAGGGAGCCGTGAAGTCGGAAGATGGAGGCGTCGGGGAGGAGAGGAGAGGTTGCGGCTATTTTTTCTTTCTGCGGCTTGGTGGGTTTTTTGCTTTCGATGTCGCTGTCGTCGTCGTCTTCGCCTTCATTGTCAGCAGCAGCAGCAGCATCACCATCACCATCTGGGGAGTCTACGCCGTCTCCACCCATAGCCGAGCCCCCAAGAAGATTCCAGTGAAAATCGACAGAGTCTGTGCAGCTGAGGAAAACAATGATCTTTGATCCCCTCCGACCATGCGCCTGCGCGAGGAGGAGCCGTAGTAGCGCGACAAGAGCGACTAATCGCATTTTGAGTGGGACAACTACGTATTTCTGCGATAGCTGGGTTGGAGGCGTGAACTTCTCCGATGAAGAGACTGCCCCTGGTGCATCGCTCTCAGGCCGCAAACCGGCAGTTTCTTCTTTATCTGTGTCCATGGCTTTTATCATCAGCGGCTGGATCAAAGTCGTCCCTGCCAGCTTCTGAACGTCTTCCCGGATAGTGGCTGAACATAGTATGGTCCGCCTGCGACGCTCCCAATCCCATCCGCCGACTTCCATGCTCTTCCCCTCCTTAACAGCCTGAATAGCAAGTTTTCTACGCCCATCAAGCCCTTGAACTATACCCTTGATGGTCTCTTCAAAACCCAACTCCATAAGACGATCGGCTTCATCTAAAACAAGCCACCTACATTTTCCGACGTTGAAAGAAGATGTATTTTGTAGATGATCTAGCAATCTTCCAGGCGTGGAAACGATGATGGGTAGGCCTTTTCTGAGGCGCGCTTTTTCGTGTGTGCGGGTGGCACCACCGCTAAGTAATCCAGATACTAGCCATCGCGTGAAACGAGTAGAGTTTTGATCGTCCTCTGATTCTCCTTCAGCGTGTAGCTTAAGAGTCAGCAGAGCTTCGAGGACGTCTGCTATTTGTTTGGCGAGTTCACGAGTAGGGGCGATGATGATGGCTAGTGTTCCAATTGAGCGATCGATGTAAGAATGTGTGCTTAGAGGTAGAAGATCTTGGATAATCGGTAAAAGGAAGGCTAGCGTCTTTCCAGAACCGGTTTGAGACTGGATGAAAACATCCCTTGCAGCTGTGTCCTCGGACGGCGCTTTCACAAGAAGGGGAAGAACTGCTCGCTGGATAGACGTTGGTTTTGTGATATTCATTTTGGAAGTCATGTGTGCGGCCAATAAAGGGTCAAGACCCAGGTCACAGAACGTTGATGGTCCGGCTAGAGGGGCATTGCTAGGCTTGGATGAGGTTTTTGGGTTCACAGCTGCTAGGGGTGTCTCTATTTTTGGGTTGTATGAGAAGAGGGAGGATATGATCTGAGTGGGTGCTGCTCTGGGAGGATGTGCGGTGCGTTCTGAGGGGGTAGGTATGTCGTTTGATTGGTTAGGGCGAGACGCATCCTTTCGAGGCCGCTTTACAGGAGGATGCTGGGCATCTCCCTCCTTACTATCGCCTTGCTTCTGCACTGCTGTCTTCTCCCAGGTTCTCGTTTTACGCTTCGCAACTCGTTTTGCTTTTACTCTACACTAAACCATTAAAATTAGCGCAAAAGATCGGAAAACAAGACATACCTGTCCGTCCAGCGCCCTGACTTGGCTGCGTGGCTGACGCTTGCTGGTCCTGCTGCATCATTACTTGCGAGATTGAGCACAAGGCCATCGTCCATGATATGAGCCTTGAAAACTGCTTCAAACCGTTCAAGGTCAGGTTTTCAAAATCATTGCATGGTATAGTGGTTCACACTCCGTGAGCGCCACGTGACCCCTTCCGCTGCCGACGCCGGCTAAGTTCCCACGGTTACTCTGTCTCTTTTGAAGCGGTTTCTTTCGGCCACGTCTACCTCTTACATTCATCTAAAAGTTACAATGTTCGGTCGTGTCTCGCTCGCGTTCGTTTTAATCTCCATCGCCGCATTTTTCTGCGCACAGTCTGCTGAGGCTGCCAAAGGTCCCAAAATCACCAACAAGGTTTACTTTGATATCAAACATGGTGACCAGGACATGGGAAGAGGTACGTATCCACATCTCGTGTAACGGTCCTCCCACACTTTTCTGACCACCACCTCGTAGTTGTGATCGGCCTCTACGGAGGAGTACGTTGCTCCTTGACTCTCGTGCTGCGTTCGGGCACGTATACTAAATTACTGCTGGGTTAGACCGTTCCCAAGACTGTGGAGAACTTCCGCGCACTTGCAACTGGTAAAGACAAGGAAGGTAACGATCTTGGATACGGCTACCAGGGCTCCAAGTTCCACCGTGTGATTAAGAACTTCATGTAAGCTCCTCCTTCACGAGTTTCACTAATTTATGTCTTACGTTCAACCTTCTTTACACAGGATTCAGGGTGGTGACTTCAGTAAGTGCAGTAATACTTAGGCGTTGATCTCCTACTCAATACGCTTTCTTGAAAAGCCAAGGGAGATGGTACTGGTGGAAAGGTTTGTTTTGCAAAACTCGACTGTGTTTATAAGGAATTAATGTCGCGCGATAGTCGATTTACGGTGACAGATTCAAGGACGAGAACTTGTACGTATTCTCCAATCCTCACTTGTTACTAGTCAGGCTCACGTTACCTATCAGCAAACTTCACCACACTGGACCAGGTACTTTGTCAATGGCAAACGCAGGCAAGGATACCAATGGTGAGTGATTTGGCCTAAGTATAAAAATATATCTGAGTTTGCATTATAGGTTCTCAATTCGTAAGCTTGTGCGGCGTATTGACGCGATAAATATTAACATGTTCTTTTTAATTCTAACAGTTCATTTGCACGGTCGTTACTAGCTGGTTAGACGGTAAACACGTGAGTCCCCGCATATGAACTGGCTCCGTGTTATTATAACTCGATGGAATTTAACTAGGTCGTGTTCGGTAAAGTCCTTGAGGGTATGGATATCGTCTACGCTATCGGTATGTGAAATATATCTGCATTATTATTTCCTTGTTGCTCATTACCACTTTAGAGGATGTTCCTAAAGGCCGTGGTGACAAACCTGTGGAGGATGTTGTCATTGCTGCATCTGGAGAGGTATGTTCTCATGTAATATCGTCTATCAGTGACTAACTTATTTCTCGTATCAGCTACCTCTGGATGTCGTCGTTGATGGTGAAGGAAAAGAGGTACCTCTTCATGCTGAGCTATAATCAGCGCCTTGTGTTATCTCCAAAATTTGGTACAAATAAAAAATTGTTGCTTGTCAACAGGATCTTGAAGACGAACTTGAACCGGTAGCGCCAACTGATACCACCAAAACTTCGTCAGCAGTCTCTCAACCCTTGAGTACCGTATCACCTGCCGCTGGAACGACCGATGAGAAAGTCGCCACTGGAACTGCTACTCCTGCTGAGGAGGAACCCACGTCTGATGATGCTGTGCTGGACTCTGAGGATTCGGAATCAGCGGATGGTTCTCATTCGAATTCTGCTAAGTATCTCTTCTTCGCTTTGATCTTGCTCGGTATTCCCGCTGTGTTGTTCGTCTGGTGTGGTGGCCTTCGCTGGGCCCGAGGTCTCTTGCGTAAACGAGCTGGCGCGTCTTACCGGAGAGTCGGTGACGAAGATTTGGAGAAGTAGCTCGAAAGTATAAAGCACCAACTGTAGCCATTACATTCATTTTATTTATGTAGATAAGATACAGACACCTGAATGTGACACTCTTTGGAAAACAATATTGGATTTGAATTGATGTACACGTATCAGTGACGTTAGGCTAAAACGGAACTCGTGGCCTATGCAAGCTTTTGAACCGCACCACATAGATTGTCAACCAGCATAGTCCGCAGAACAAGGCTCGAATACGACAACATCACGACTATAATCATGCCTCACGATCCTCGAATAACTGTATTTGTGTTGTTAACAGCGGTTCTATTCGTTGGGACGGGATACTCAGTCGCCTACAATACGTATCTCGACACTTCAAATCCATTGCTCACACACCTTCCGCACCCCCTTCAGGATACAGACTACTTCGCCAACAAGGCCAACCCCCTAAATGTCTTGTTCATCAAGAAAGCTTGGGGGTGGACCTCTGCCGTATTCTTCCTACTGTGGTTGAGCACTCCCTCTCAGGCCAGGACGAAACAGCCATTATTGAAGTGGGCAACAGAGTCGCTAGTTTGGCTTGTATTTACAGGCTGGTTCTTTGGCCCACCCGTCCTTGAACGCTTGATACTAGCCTCTGGGGGAGAATGCGTCGCTGCCCTACCTTCTGGAGTCGTGCTCTCCATACCATCAGAGTACTGCTTGACCAAATCAACCATATCCCCCGTAACACATCCCGCTCTCTTCGCAGCATCACTTGTCTTGCCTGATAGCGAATGGCATACCAGACCTAGGCTCAGGAGAGGACACGACGTATCAGGCCACGTCTTCCTCCTCACCATGTCCATCCTCTTCCTCGCCGACCAACTCCGATCGATATCATCTCGCGTTCAAAAGCCATCCCTTTTGTACAGGCTGGCCGTGAACATGAATATGGTCTTAATAGGCATCTGGTTCCTTGCCAGTCTTACTACCAGTGTCTACTTTCACTCTCCTTTCGAGAAATTCACTGGTTATTGTACGTACCATGGGCTTAAATCTTCAGTTTTGCGTTCTGACAGTTCTATCTAATAGTACTTGGGATCGCAGGCTTCGCGATTACGCAGTTGCCGTTGTTCCGTGAAACGACTGCCACATCACCATCAACGCCTGATAATAGTGTCAGTGGAGCCCAGTAGTAACAATACCCACTTACCCTTCGGTAGGTGTCTTAATTTTCATTATCTTGAGCACCATCTTAACATGCTATATTCCTATAGTGGACGCAGTTCGCTGGCTATTTTAGACATAGTTCTCCTACTCAGCCTTAGATCCTTTGTATCGCCAGAGCAGCTCCGGTAGTATGTATACAGGGCATGTACCATGAGCTACTATTATTATATCTGGATCAGTTCTCGACCCAGACCTTGAATTATTCGAATCAAAGTACGTTGTACACCTAGTAGCTTATCGAGTAATATACTGCCGTCACTACGAGTCTTTCTATGATGATGATATTATTCATAAATATAGTGGATTTTATGTATATTCACAAGTAATTCCGATGCTCGTGTTATTGGGAATGTAGTGCACATGGAACTATCCATATAAATGTCTATGTGAGTTATGGTTGTGTTAGAGCATCAACCAAGAAATTAGACTGCCAACGATGACGGCTGGTAATACGACACTGACGCTGTCACCTGCTAGTCTCCAGAGAAGACCTCTCCGTCTCTGCTGCCCCCGTAGATTTGCGTCGCCCATCTTGAGTCTACCGCCACCGGAGCGCCATGATGTAGGCATCAGTACCGATGGGATACCAATCGTTATTCGTCGTCTCCTGCCACCTAAAACAAATGATCGCGACCAGGACCACCCGCGCGAACCTGCATGCGGCTGGGGAGATGGAGGCGGGAGAAAGAAGGGTGACGAAGATGAAGCCGAGTAAACGTCATCGTGAGTCGTCGCTGACCAGACAGCAGCGCCTGCATGGGCATGGCTGTCGCGCCGGGCAGCATACTGTGCAGGATGCATTAATTCATCAATATCATCTTCTGACGTGAAAAGTGTTATAGGGCTCAGCAGTGGAGAGTCCTGAGGAGTAGCCGGACCAGAGAATGCACGAAGATTGGCCGGAGCAGTCGTATTTGGGACTCGCAGTGTGGGAGGAAAGGGGCTTGTTGGACTAGTGCGGTCTTTGTTTTTATTGGGAGACCAGGCAGACCATATGGCTGAGTCAGGTCGGCTTGGAGTGACCACACGGCTTGGTTGCGGAGTGATCGAAACGGGAGAGATGGAGGAGAAACGTCGACGATGGCGTGCAGGTGTGATGTTTAGGTAAAGCAATGCGATAATGGTGAGTATAATGCAAGGTAAATAGATAGAATTGAAGATTGCACGATGATCTGGGAGGAGACAAGGAGCATCTGCGAACGTGAGAGGTAATGTGGGATGTAACTCTGGGTTGATCAACGAGAGAAGTTGAAAACCGGGTTTGCGAATGTTGCGAGCCAAGGAGTATGACTTGACTGTAACTTCGCGGATTGCCTTATGGTTGGTAGAACCATCCCATGGGCGAAGAACATGCGTGTGGTCACAATAGTCGCGATCATCGCCGCTTTTTCAAAATATCAGAAAGTAGGCTATAGAATGGTACCAGATACACACCTAAATACAGCAGATGGGTGCAGAGTATCCAGCAAAAATTCGGTTGTTTGTTTCCCCAGCATGTTCTGATAGCCTTGACCAGCACCTACTCGCAATGTTCCTTTTTCACGAAGAGGTCCACATGACTTGCTCGACGGCCTCGACAAGGGTATATGGCTGAATAGAATCGATGGAGCGGTTTGATTGTCTGTATAACCAAACGGAATTGGGGCGTTGACCTAAGAAACAAGATCGAGGGAAATACCTGATATGGACTTCACGAACTGAACTGCACCGCCGGGAAGGGGGTTCCATTCATCGTAACTTTTCCCAAGTCCGTGGCGCCTGTAATCCTCCTCTACTAGTCCTGGGGCGTCGAGAAGAATAAGCCTATGGCCGGCTATGGTAACTGCTTGATTGAATGCGCCAAAGTGATCCGAATAGTGCTGGCGAGCGTTCTTCGACAAAGACGGAGAAACTCCAAGTCTGATGAAATCAGTTTGTGAATGATACATACAACTACCACGATGCGTATGGCAAGTAACGTACCCTATGTCGTTGTTCCCCGGAATATAATATATAGGTATGGGAGGGTCCAGGGAAAAGATGTTACTAAAATCTTCATAATACTGCTTGTACCTAACGAAAGTGACATCAGTTGGTCTATAATAAAGCATATCATTCAGCAAGCAAGGCAGTCACGTACTCGTCATCACTTGTTATCTGACGACCAGTTGCCAGCATATCGCCGAGAAAGATGATGGCATGAGGACGAAGACGAGAAGTCACACTCCAACTCTTCTTCAATAAGGTCGTTGGTGAGCTGAAGCCAAACCATGGCTTTGCGGACGTCGTCAAGGGATTTCGTACTTGAGGATCAGATATCAATAGAATATGGGACGGCTTGCTTGTTAGGCTGGAGACCGGCTTTAGAATCGAAGACAACACGATGAGAAGGTGAACGTGTAAAGTGTGAATCCACGTACTTGCTTGCCAGTAAATGCTTTGTCTGGCCATTTACAATCTGAAAGACTGTAAAAATACACGCCGAATTCGCACCAAATGACAATAACCGCCCAGACGAAACGGAGAGCTGGGATGATGACATTTCGAGAACAAAGGCGGGATTTCCTTCCCCGTCGTTCCAAGAGCGTACTCATTGTCCTATCACAGGACTACCAAAGCAAAGAACGACAATGTTGGCGGGCTTGGAAACGAAAATTTCAACGTTGGAGTAGACTTGCCGTATAGTACGGTTATGGAGACACTAAGCATAGCTTCAGGCGCTCCATGAAAAGCTTATATGCCCTGAAGACTTGATGGGAAATACCTAATTACTCAACTAACCAAGACCGCACGCAACAAATTGATTGAACCGGGATAAAAATCAAAAATGTGATATCAAGTCGTCAAGTTAACAGATTTCTCTTCGAGCCCTGCATTTAACAAGTCCAACTACTACTGTAGCTAAACGTTAAGCTCCCATGGCTTTGTACAGTCGTACAGAATGAATCATGATACACATATATCAGAAAAGTACTATACATTTCCGAGTCACAATCCGCATGAAATTCGATTAACTTACTAGTATCGAGGACTTCAAAGGCTGCGAGCTAACCGGATTACTCCCAGTCGACGTCGCTATCCGCATCATCATCATCACCCTCATCCTTACTTGTCTCGTGTCCCTCGCCTGCAACGCTCACGTTCCCAGAAGATACGAGGTCATAACTTTCTTCACTGCTTTCCCGAGGGCTCAAGGTAGCGGGAGTATGGGCGTGAGATGATGGTGCTGAGTTTGCTTCTGTTACTACAAGGGCGCGTGGAGCTGCCAGCGTGCGCTGTGAAGCAGAAGTGAGGTTGTCAATTTCAGTAGGTTTGGACACAGAGTCATCTTCATCGTCTTCCCAGCTGAAGTCTTCTTCGTTTTCCATTGTACCTAGACAAACCAATCAGCACCTTCGTATAAATGTGACAATCTTAATAGTACCTCGCAAAAGAACCTTTCGCCTTTCCTCTTCTTGCTCTATCTGATGCACGCGGAAAAAGTAGCGCTCCCAGAACACTTCTTCTGTCATTTGGGACGGCACTTTCGTGGATAGAATTAGAAGACGCCATATAGCGCACGAAATAACGCAAAACTAACCTAGGGCATTGAAAGTATCGTTCAGTGCCTCTCCATCAGTTGGTTCTGCCAACGCCTCCTGAATGCGCTCTGACCAGTCCTGACCATGGGTACCTTGCTCATCACCACGTGCCTCTTGGATCCACTTGGCGTACAGCTCTTTGACACCCTCTTCATCAGCTGGATCAGCCATAATGGTTTCAGGATCGTAATTCAACCGCTTCAACAGCAATTCAGCTCGCGTTGCTGCTGCGCGCTGAGCATCTTCTGAGTGCCGTCTCGATGATGGGCCTGAATCGGTTTCTTTTCCTTTCCCTTTGATGCTAGAGCTACTTCTCCCATCGGCCTCGCCAGGTGGGGTGGGTAGCATCCACACATCAGAACCGTCCCAAATGGCTCCTGACGTGGATGAACCTTCTTCAGGTGGAATAACCTTGACTGCATCACGCAGAACATCGCCGGCCTCCTTGATAGCATCCTTCAGTAAAAGTTCGCTCTTATGAACGTATTCTTCTGCCTGGGCACGAGTTACGCCCTGTACCCGTTGGAACTCAGATGAGAGCGTCGTCCGCAACTGCGTAAAATCTATGTTCTGAGGTGCATTCCTCAAACCCTCTGGGATATGTGTCTGCACAGTGGAAACGATGTTGGGAGGGAGTGACGATTGGAGCCGCGAGAAGAAAGTCTGAGAGGAAGACGGGGTGGTATCCACATCTGCAATAGGTGTAGTTGGGGAATCTGCACCATCAGAAGATGGTCCAGCCTGAGCATTAGGTTGTTGCTCTGACTCAGTCTCCTCATTTGTCACATTAGGGTCATCTCCCGGTGTTTCTGCAGTCAGCTTGTTCAGCTCCTTCTGCGCCTGGGTTACGACTTGAGTGAGATCTTTCCGCGCAGTAGCCAGTGCACTTTCGCTCTATTGTCCGCGTTAATCCTGTTCGATGGCGGTCGATAAAAAGGAAGCAAGACTGACCTGCTTTCTGAATCCACCCCAGAACCTTCCGAGCTGTCCAATTACTTGCGAAACCTCCTCGTTGAGACTTTGCTCAGGCTGTTCGGTTTGTGGGGGGGTACTGACCCCAGATCCAGTGATACCGTATGTATCTAGAAAATTCATGACAGTAGTGAAAGACTTGGACGGTGGATGAAGGTGTAAAGATTGTATGTATGACTGACACACAGCGAGCAGTCGTGGTAAAACGCGTAATAACCCGATTCAAACTATATCAGGTCGGCTACCGGCAGACACTATCCACACTCGTTTTTTGATTTTCAGCAAGTATCAATTCCATCTATCCAGTAATTTACAGCATGATACACAATATCGCAGATACAGATTACACGAAAATAAATCAGTCAACGTCCCATGAGTGCCAATGTACCACCCTAATTTTATGCCATAGCAGCTACTGCAGCAGGTTGCGCACGAATAGTCTCAAAGAAAGGCGTTGCTTTTGCAGAAGCATTCACCATGACTTCATCTTCGGCGGCCACTAACGCCTTGTGGGCCCGACACTCCGTAACGAAGTCGGTGAACATCTGGGGAAAGAATAAGTAATAGTCATGTGTAGTAGCGACCGAATATACCTCAATGGTGTCAAGAGGACCGCCACAGCTCTCAGGGTGGAACTGTACCCCCCAGACCTTTTTACCTGACTCTTCCGTGGACTTGATACCTTCAACTGAAGAATCGTTGCAGTTGATGAAGGAAGGCTCCCATCCTTGAGGGAAAGGATCCTGCAACTTCAAGGCGTACTGATGATTCTGACTGTGAAGGAAATCGGAATCAGTCACGCAGAACTATAACAGCATACCAGACAAATGGATCTTACCTCGTGACATACACCCTCCCAGCCTTAATCGAACCAGAAGATGCCAATGCCAATACAGGTTGGTTATGTCCACGGTTACCAAAGGTCATACGATACGCATCCAGACCAATGGCCATGCCAATGATCTGGTGACCCATGCAAATACCGAAAATAGGCTTGTCCCACTCCGCAATAGTCTTGCGCAGAATTACGGCTGCATCCATACATTTTGAGGGGTCACCGGGGCCATTAGACAGGAATAACCCATCAAATTTGTCACGAACGGCGTTGAAGTTGTAGTTCCAGGGTAGAACTGTAACGGCCGCATTTCGTCGGACTAAAGCCCGTAGAATGTTGGCCTTGGCACCGAAATCAAGAACAGCAATTTTCACATCGCCAGTGGGGTTTAGTTCGTATGGTGCTTTAGTGGATATTTGATCAACGAGATTCTCTGCACTCGGGTTCCAGTACTGCTCAGGTGATGGCATTGGAGCAGAAACATCAGCGCCAACAGCGAGACGGCCAAGAGTAGTCCCCTGATCACGCAGAAGTCGTGTGATGGCCCGAGTATCAACGCCAGTGATACCAGGCACGTTGAAGCGGCGACACCAAGACGCTAATGATTCCACCGCACTGTGATGGGAGAATTTCTCAGCGACATCAGCGACTACTACTCCAGTGCACTGTACGCCATTCGATTCGAGAAGAACGCCGACATCCCGTCCATCAACTGGGGCTCTGTTTAAAGGCACACCGTAGTTTCCAATGAGGGGGGTGGTGAATACCAGGATCTGACCCCGATAGGAGGGATCAGTCATCGACTCGGTGTCTAGAGGGTCATCAAATGAGATGATGGCACGAATAACTACAACAAGAAAACCTACATGATGTGATTGATGTAGAGAAAACTGTTTCTCCAAACACGCTGCGGGGCGCGCCAAACGACCGACCTGAGAATGACTGGCCTGTTTTGAGGTGCAACACAGCGGGCAATGCTGTCGATGGGCCAGCATGAGTTGCTAAGCCCCGGGAGAAAAGAGGGGCGCGAATGAATGTTCGAGATAACATAATGATTTTTTAGATGTTACGACTGGTGTAAAGGCGATCACAAGTTGAGGAGAGAGAATACGAGGTCACTGAGATAACTAAACAAAACGTCAGCGACCATCTCATAGAGCACTTATATATAAGAAACACATACTCGTCCCGAGTGTTTTGAGTGAAAGTCATGTACGAGCTAAAAGCTCAATTGAAAACGATGATGCGCTCGAGCAGGCGGTGGAGTAAAACTGTAATTTACTTTGCGATGAGTGCAAAGTAGCTGATCAAGGAAGGCTTTTATAAAATTTTTGCAATGTGGCTCCTCTTATTGGGGTTTATCCATTCAAAATCCGCCAGTTCACGTGATCCTAAGCGATTGAACACTTGACTCGACCCTTTTCCTACGCCTTTTGGTATGATCTTTGGCGCCATCATGACCAAGCTTAACCCTCAGCATTGGGAACTGCCATCTGGCCTCCAATTGTCGACAAGACACCCTTCAAGGACGGAAATTGTACTGGCCACTTATTTCCTTTAGTAAATGCTAAGCGGCCCAGCAAAGCTTACACTGAAACAAACAGAACACTACAGTATAGTCCATACTTGCGCCATATGACCGATTACTTAGACATGATCACTTTCTTCTCAAGCGCCTGGACGCTTGGGCTGCACAACTGCGCTTGGTTTTGATGCCGAAGGCACGGGAGACTTTGAACCGACGGCGATGGCTACTTACTATCAGCTCGTGCGTATGTAGGGTTGCATTATTGCTGCAAATGCGTTATATCGCCCTCAAAAAGCCTACGCTTGTTCTGCTTCCGCGCTTCGGGATCAGCAGGCGAGAAAATCAAATCCTAGGCGCGTAGTTTCATTTTTACCGTCGTCTGTTCTGACCAACTTGAAGTATCCTCTTATATCCTGTTCATCACTTCCCAAAAGATATGATTTCCATCTGCCTTAATCCCATTTGGTTGCACTCCCTCTCAGCCTCGGTATATACTATTTGACTTGGCGACCGGTCAGGCTATCCTATGTTGCTTGTATTGCTTGCATTTGATCAGAAGCGCAACCGTTACTATACATGTATTGTGAAGTTCAGCCTGGTGGATGGTCGCAGTCAGGTGGGTTCTCCCTTTAGTCACTACGCAGTGTAGAATTGACTAAAACCCTCGGAACAGATATCCTTGTCTGTAGTGATCGTACGACGTGCCTTTACTTGGACCTCCCTAAACACGCTGTCCAGTAGCCTTGACCTAACGGGTTGCACGGATTCGAGCTCATCAAGCCTATAGCTTAAAGATGCTGTCCAAAATTGTGGCACCCCTCATCCAATCAGTGGACTAGTACGAACGGCTTGGCCCGCTGGGTTTGGACACCTATTTCCACCGGACAGGCTCATGTCACGCCACAATGGCATGACAGTGTCATTAAGCTACCGACGGTACAATACGCGCGGGTACCATATTTTAATCGGCTTTGTTACAAGCTACTAACCGACCAACTGTCCTTGATGAATTCCTCCAGATTCCTCCGCATTCGACGGATCCATGATCTGGGCTTACTCTCACTTTATTTGACACGTTTTGTGCCTATTCATGCTTCTTGGCCAAGTGGCACTGAGGCACTTTATTTGCGGGGTCGAAGCGGACGCCCCGAATTTCCCATTTCTCGGACCGACAGGAATTTCTGATTACTCTCTAGATAATATCAAAAGTACAACGCTGTGTAATACCAGTCAAAATAAGCATCTTTGGTAACTTGGTCTCCCTAATGAGACCAGATTACTTAAATGACAGTCGAAATTTACATGAGTCTACTCGTTCAAGTTGGAGATAATCGGTGCTATGGGGTTTCGAAGAAGACACCCCTGACAAAATTTTGATCCTTGAAAATATCAGTAGACTTCAGCCGAATAGAAACTAAGCGAAGCGTTCACTGGAGCAAATGTTCATGTGACATTGGTTCATCCACTCATCACCAAACATCATACTCGCTACTCTCACATTACAAATGCAACAAGATCCAGAAGATCTAGATCCCGTAGGCTACCACGACCTTGAACTGTCGGAAGCATGTGGTGGGCGACGGGGACAAGAAGCCATGTTTTCTGACAATAAATAATATTTGAACAGCGATCGATGTACACCCAGGTCGACTATATACGGCCTGCACGAGCGAACCAGTTTTTCTGCTGGCCACAAGTTCCATTGGTACAACCAGGACACCTAAGTCCCATCTGCGTAGTCGTAGGTCCGACCTTTCCTGAAGAATAGTCGCGAATATGTTGCGCTGTGATGTCTGCCAGAGCCCGAATAAACACAGGGGAGTCGTTCAACGACTCTGCTCTCTGGACTTCCATTCCGAGCTAAGGAAGGTTGAAGGTAGCATCAGTACATGAAGTTAAAATAAAGTATGGACTAAGCTTACTTCTCTGGCCTCGTGAGCATATTCCAGATCAAGCTCGTAGAGCGTTTCGATATGGTCACTGGTAAAAGCAATCGGGACCATCACGAGATGTTTCTTTCCCAACCGGGCGAGACCTTTGACAGCCTCCCCTGTCTGCATACCCATCCATGGAGTGGGCCCAACTTGTGATTGCCAGACGAGACGGAACGGATTGGAGTGACCTAAACGATCCATCACGGCATTGACGGAAGCAGAAACTTCCAGAACATATGGGTCCCCACGATTAACAACTGACATTGGCAAAGAATGCGCTGAGAAGAGAAGTACCACATCTGAGCGGACCGCGGGATCGAATTTTGCTAGCGCTGCTTCTATGTGTTGGGATACTGCCTAGGGGAAAAAACAAAGCAAGCAGAGATACTATAAGTTGTAGTTCTAAGGAGTGTCATAATGAATAACGTACCTCGATAAACCCAGGGTGTGTCCCCCATCGGTCGATCACACTCCATTCAATGTCACCCATTTCACCGGCCTTGCCTTGACGAAAAAGTTCATTCAAGCTACTTCCAGTTGTGCTGCAGCTGTACTGAGGATACTGAGTAAATGCAATGGCTCGTTTGACGCCATCTGCCTTCAATTGCCGTGCAGTCTCATCCGTTAGAGGTTTGGCATATCGGAAGGCCACATAACTTTTATGAGGGGCAGTCTCTGGGCTGAGCTCATCCAGTAAAGCAGCCATTCCAGCACCCTGTAGTTGTGTGTAACGAAGGATTGGTGATCCCCCGCCAATGTCGGCATATTGTTTTTCTATCTGTGGTGTCCGGCGTCGGGCAATGATGGGGGCGAGAAAGCGCTGGAAAGGCAAGGGGATGAGGTCTCCATCAAGGAAAAGGTTTTTAAGGAAGTCGTGGGTCTCGGGAACCTAATGAATACACCCCTACTGAATATAACACATTATAAAGTAAACAGAAAACATACCGTCGAGGGGCCTCCCATATTCATCATGACGATGGCTAATGGCAGAATATGTATGTTCCCACTTTGATACTGTATATTATGTGGTATGCATACCTGTTGGACTACGATGTGTAAGAGGTGAGGATTTTTTGAGTCTGTAGAAGGATTTTGGCCCACCTTTTCCCTTTTGTGGGCGTGCTATGCAACGTTGCCAATGAGCGCTGCATAGCACGGGATATTGCATTCGTTCGCTGAATGTTGGCCAACATCTCTCCCTTGCAGCAAACTAGAGCTGTTCCTAAGACGTGGAGGTTTCTTGCCGTACAAATACGAACAGCCGGTATTTCAACCAATGATGGAACAGCCATTTTCGACCGCGGGAAGATCATAGCTTCAAACTCAGTGGCATTAATACCACAGACATGTCTCTGGTGTTTAAAATTACGCTTTTTTTCTTACAAGATACAGGTTTAGGTCACGCAAGAAAAGTAAGATGTAGAAGATATAATTCCAAAGTATAGTATGACAGAGCTGACATTATGCGATTTATGGAATATAGTAAATGTCGAGAAACCGCCAGCGATGCGACTCTAGCACTATGTCATCACGAAACCTCACAGTGAATAACCAGAATATTGACTACGACATTTCTGGGGAGAGCACAGAAATGTGGGGGTATGGTCCCAGAATCTCAGAGGCATTAGGAAAGCGGGGCCGACGAGGATCAAATCGTGCGTACGTAGGTGGTGAAACGGCGGAACGGTTATTCCACGCAATATCTTCATCTATAGATGCGCTGGGGAATTGATGTTCATCTACATGACTAATGTATCGACATTCTTGGGGGTTGATTGGACCTTGATGGTTAGATACTACCCAGTCTGAGCAAGGTGGCCTGTCGCCGGTGACAAGAGGGAGAAAAGCCAGAGGAGCGTCTCTAGCATTACTATCGGCAACACCTTCGTTCTCTATGAGGGGCATTTCCGCAGTTTGTCCGTTAGGCCTGGAAAACGTGTCCTGGACTGCACTTGATGGACTACCATGAGGGGGACATTCCTCATAAGCTGGAGGACGTTCCAACGATAAGTCCGGGGAATCAGCGGCAGTGAGTGAAGATGGGTATAATACTTCCATTATGCTGTTCGTTGTAGGCAAATGGTGTCGTCTCTGAGAGGAGCGACGTTGAATTCGCTCGTTTCTAGAATGTGGCGTCACTACATCATCCTGTGCATGAAAATATGAGTTTAATAATAATAGAATAGATAAAAGACTCACAACTCTAGGCCTTCTGCGACACCATATACAATGACATCCTGGAACACAGATGGTTTCAGCGGACAATCGAGCCCATGAACGCTCAACGTTACTAGGGTCAGTTATCCGGGTCGTACTTTGTGGACACACTCTCTGCATTCCTACATGAGCGATGCGCTAAGGCCAATTACAATAGGGAAAAACTAACCGGGGGAGGATGAGTAAAAGGAACACTCTCATCTTCAGAGTTCATCTTGGAGAGTCTAAGTAATTTCTTTTTTATGATATCGAGCATGAAGTGTGAACGAGCAGGATGGAACTTTGGCGAATTCTGTTGAGCAAGTAGTGGGGTTGAGGTGTAGTTGAGGAGATCATAATCCCTCACAGAATGTGGGTTTATAAAGATATGCGGATGGGGCCCTCAAGGGGTTGTCGGATGCATGATCGGATATTGACATACCGAGACTTCCGTTTCGTTGCTACTTGCCTTACAGGGGTCACGATATGTATGCCTGAATTGAAATGCCAAATTCAATATTGCCTCCTATGAACTTCCGCCGTTGTTAGCCTCGGACTCGGAATATTGGGTTGGACTCACCTAATCCCCCGTATTGATACATGGCAGATCTAGTAAAAGGAGAGAAGTCACAAACAAGACGCACCGCAATATTAATATGATGTTGGAAGTGCATGTACAGACGCAGGGACCATTTTAGATTGACAGCAGTATAAATCTACATTCCCGCATAGCTACAAACATATGACAGTCAATTCAAGCTTGCCATTCAACGGGGATAAAATAAATCACTGCTTAAGGTTCGAATTGTAGATCATGACACTGGCAAGATTCGGAAGCCCCTGATTTGTCCCCCTTTGTCTTTTGTGGCTGAACGTTAGGGGCCAGTCAAGTATCAGCGAATCCGCGGAGGACTATCAAACAAGTAAATCATATGATATCACAGAAAGTGAGACCTTGAAAGGAAGGACCATATGAGAAAACGGAATGAGCAATTCACCGACTTCACTTGTTGAACGACATACATTTTGTTAGGAGTATGAAAAGCTGTGCATATTCAAAAAGAAACAACCATCCAAACGAAAGTCAATCCTTCTATACGTCCCCACCATGGTTGGTAGTAAATTTAACTACTAGTAGAATCTGAGAGATATATGTCATCTGACCAGCTCGCGTACTCATCTACAGCTTTGATCAAACTTTCGCCCTTTCTTCTAGCTGTGTCTAAGGCGACCTTGTGCAATGGTAACCTGAATGGTGGATCCTCAAGTTCTGAGAGTCTGTACATAGCCTGGGCAAGTTTAGCCGGATCTCCCGTGAATATACGCTCGACTCCAGGGTAAAGGCTGCGATATTTGCTGCTCGGTAGGGACGGGTCTGCATATGCGGGGTGAGGAGGCTCCATGAAATTTTTCGAAGGTGCTGGAGTACGAAAAAGAGCAGGTTCAACAAGCGTGATCTACCACAAGTTTCGATTCAGCATTTATCAAGAATCAGTCCGTCTAAATAGAATGTTCTCAGTGAACACACCTTGATATTCCATCTTGGGTCAAGTTCAGCGGCCCATCCTTCGGTAAGGCATTCTAGCGCTGATACATTCTTTTAACAAGCTTGACATGCGGATTAGAGCAAAAGCTACGCACCAGCTTTGCTGCCAATCGCGGCAGATGCCTATTTAGCTACTTCAAAAACTGTGACAAAGGAGCACGTACGCAGCGCCGTAATGTGCTACTCCAACGGCTCCCACAAAAGCCGACCTTGATGACATCTGCAAGAGTCGTCCACCAATTGGCCTGTTTATATCTCTAAAGCACTTCACTGCTTCCTTGGTTACATTCGCCGCACCCCAGAACATCACCTCGAACTGTCCACGAGCACTCGTTTCGCTGATTCCCTCGGCTTCAGATATGACACAGTATCCAGCATTGTTGAAGACAACGTCAATTCTTCCGTATGTTTCTATTGCCTTGTTGAATGCTGCAGTGGTTTCCGCGGGATCTGTGACGTCAAGGCGAAGAGTAAGGAGACGTGATGATGGATACTGTTCAACGAGATCGGATAGCATGTCAGGCTTGCGCAAAGTGGCCACAGCGATGTCGCCCTTCTTCAGTACATGTTCTACGACCACACGGCCAAAACCCGATGAAGCCCCAGTTACTGAAATGAAATGTGAGAATACATGGCATCAATGTCCAGAGATTACCCACCGAACCAAACCCTGGGGGATGTCATGATGAACGCGGGCTACGAAGACAAACTCAAGAGATGGCTCGCAATAGAGATAGCGTTTGATAACAAAGCACTGGTGAGAATAACTCCTTCCTGATGTTCACAGATACTTTTGGGGCTTTATATATGACAGTCACTTATCTTGACCCACATGATTCACCTTTGTGTGTCAGCATGGTGGGTACACGACGGATATTATGTAGTCGCTACCAGAATCCAGAGTATTGTTTCTGAGCCAGTATGAGAGACTTATATCCCCACTCAACGATGTCCCGAACGATGGCGCAGTAGAGATCAACAACATAATCACATGAGAGACGGAATGCCGAAGGAAGGAAACTGCTCTCATGAGCCCAGGACGAAACCAACGGAAAGCAAGAAGTTTGGGATCTCAAGCTGGACCAAGCTAATAATGTTCTGCATCGTGATGTAGGGTGTATATGGCTGAATGTACAGTACTATCGTTGGACAGATGTTGCAGTCCGGACACCATATGCTCTTGGGCCTCTACAGGCTCAACAACCGTTGTACAAGCCCCTAAAAAGTTGTCAGAGGTAGAATAGAATGTAACAAACCTATCCGTAAAGAATTTTGTGAATATCTTACCTGTAGCGATAAATACAGACCAGACACTACGGTCTTGACCTCCAAAAGTGCGGAATTTGAGGCAAAGAGGGCAAAATCGGGGCAGATCGTGTGCTAGGAAAGTCACAAAACTTTCTAAAAAAAACGTCAATGGGTAAACCTCTACCATGCCAGGTGCTTACCAAGTTGATCAAAGCCTTGAGGCACCTGCAGATGGAAGAACAAGGAGAAATCGTGACTTCATGACCCAAAGAGGCAGTCACGCATCATTGAAGCCCAGTAGCTCCGCTTTGCACCACACATGCATCTGAGCTTGTCTCATTTTTTCGATGATTTGGCCGAACATTGTCGAAGGTGCCGCGCGTGACAAAGTGTGACCAATAGTTGCATGACTGCTCCAAAACCTGCATTGTCATTTCGGTTTCGTTCCGCTGCAACAAGGTGTCTGATTCACACTTTTATTTCTACACAGGGACCTAGAGAACTCAAAATAGCATCTATTGGTAGTCTTCCGAAGACTCTAGCTCCACTCACTGGCGAGTAATTTCACTCCTCGCAAAAACGGTTGCAAGCATCTGTCCAACGATAGTACAGGCAAACCTCAGGATGCAGATTTGAACTTGAAATTTCGCTTGAAAGTCAGCGGACAGTCCTTTCTCGTCGTTCATGATATCAAACTCGAACCACAGTTTCTTCAGCTCGTTTTGCTGTTCAATACTTTCAGTTGCGATGGATATTCAAACTTTTGATCATGAAAACTGGATGTTTTGATTTTGGGCAAATGGCAAAAGAGACGACCGCACCACTCACCCACTGACTTCTTGTAATACATCCGCCCCCAGTGACTAGAACGAAAGTGGGTATTACCAAGGGCTAGACAGGCAGACCTGAGTCTGTCATGAGGCCCATTAATACCCAGTGCGGGAAGCGTGTAGTCGTGGCGCCGTGTTCCATTCAGGCGGTGAAAGTTCGCTCAATTTCATGCTAATTTTGTATAGCGAAGGGAGCTCGACCGTGAATTTTGGCATAATTGTTCTCCCCTTCTGATATTCGGGAGTCCCTTACAAAGCATTAAAAGGCGAATAACAAGAGGATACGGACTCGTGATTTTCAGCACCAACACCCAGTCGGTGAACGAGATGAAGTTCAGCTCTAGTTTGATCACTTTGGCTTTGGCCTCAGTTTCGGTATTTTCTACAATGCTCTTTGCATTATACGTGCTGACTTCATCAAGATGGCAAACCCGGTGGCGAGAGACACATCGGGGTATGTCAAAGCGTCTGGTCAAGGCTTTACACTCAATGGTGAACCGTACACGGCCTTTGGGTATGCTTTATCCATGCATTTCCGTTGAAGAAAAGAGTGTTGATGTTCATACGTCAATTGCGATAGCTCCAATTCCTACTGGGTTGGCCTTATGGAATTGAGTACTACCGACATGGATACTACCTTTGCGGACATCGCAGCGACTGGTGGGACAACAGTCAGAACTTGGTATTATTGCTTTTGTGGAATAGATGCAACCCTCTGACTTTATACTACCAGGGGCTTCAACGAGGTCACATACCCGAGTGGCGATTACTACCAGCTTTGGAACGGGAGCACCCCTACCATCAACTATGGTGCTACAGGACTAGAGAACTTTGGTATGCACGCTCCTGATAGCGTCTTCCGAACAATTATGTTGATTTCTCTCAGATAATGTCGTTGCTGCTGCAAAGAAGTACAACATCCGCCTGATCGTCACTTTGTACGTGCCATTGCTGTTCTCACACAGGTAGTATGTTCATTGTTGATATGATAGAACTAACAATTGGGATAACTACGGTGGTATGGACGTCTATGTCAACCAGATAATTGGTCAAGGTCAGCCCCACGATTATTTCTACACCAACCCTGAAGTTATCGTATGTCACATTTTCTATGGTGTGTTTGCATTAGTCTGAACACTGCTTTCTAGGCTGCCTATCAAAACTATGTGAAGGTGTTTGTGTCCCGCTACGTGAATGAGCCTACCATTTTTGGGTGGGAGCTTGGTTGGTCTTTACTACTTCTATATAGTGTATCTGATGAATGACCTTCCTCTGAAGCCAATGAGCCGCGATGCACTGGGTCCACAAAGTCGGTATCCAATTCATAATTGGTCGAGAATTGATGCTGACGTACGCTGCTTGTGTAGTGCTACATCGGGTACCTGCACCACAACAACCATTACAAACTGGATCAAGACCATATCTGCTTATATCAAATCGATTGACACCAACCACCTTGTTGGTCTTGGCGATGAGGGCTGGTTCAACTATCCCGGAAATCCTGACGAATCTTATAAGTACGTTTCTTATTTCAACCACAAGGCACTGCTAACATAGTACTCCAATAGCGGATCTCAAGGCATCGATTTCAATGCCAATCTGGCTGTTGATACCATCGATTTTGGAACCTTCCATGTGGGTGTGAAGCTTTTCATGGACATTTTCCCTCTGCTAATATAATTTCAACCTGTGGTAGTTGTATCCGGTAAGTGTAATTCATGTGTAGGGTATGGTGTCATTCTAATACCCTGGACTTTGGCAGTTCTCTTGGAGCGAGACCAACGAGTAGGTTTCCTTTGTTATGGTGTTAGCATCTCTACTAAAGAATTCGCTTATTCGTACTACTTAGCCCAAGCGCTATGGTATGGGGTGCGGAATGGATTCAAAATCACAGGATATCACAGGAAACATACAACAAGCCAGTCCTCATGGAAGAGTTTGGTGTTCTCGCCAATCAGAACCAGACTGAGACCTATTTGACTTGGTACTCCACTGTCATTGACTCTGGTCTGACAGGTGTACTCATCTGGTATGTTATATCACCGCCATGCCACAATCCACTCTAATTTGTGTAACAGGCAAGCTGGATCGAATTTAACTACTGGACCGTCGCCCAACGACGGTTATGCTGTAAGTCGACAACTTTTATCTCTAGCTACGAGTTCTCAATCTCTGTTTTTACCTCGGACGTAGATTTACCCTGATACTCCCATTTACTACATGGAAGAGGGTTTCTCGCGTGCACTCAAAGCTAGAAATACCTAAATGGAAAGTTCCTTCAGTTGTAAGGGGTGAAAGGGTGTCCGTTGATTTTTGCATTGAATATTGGGGTCAACTTGTTTTCGCCGTGGTTATGTAGGCTTGTATTTTATAAAAATTTTACCTTTACACTTCTGAATGGTTTTGTTATTTCGTGCTTTGATGAAGGTATAATTGGGATTGACTTGCCCTCCCTCGATATTTGAGCTTGAATTTCAAGTACTCAGGTCCGGAGGTTTTACGCTCGGCGGGGGCATTTCAAGTTACCCGAAAAATGGACCTCAATCACTTCACTCATCCGTACCACCTGCTTGTAACTGCGTTTTCTCTGGTATTCAAGTTATTACTCAGGCCGTTCACAAGGTACAATATATCAAGAGATCGTGCGAAAACATGTCTGAATGGTGATCGTTCATTCTACAGGATCAGTGTCTTCAAAAGTGCAATGTGTCTAGTTCACAACGCAATGATCCCGGGCCCATGGTGACCCTCTGCTCTGGAATGCTATAGCCAAGAGAATTTGCATTCTGTACTTGTGACCACGGAGATCCTCAGGGACACGGGATAAGTCCTATGGGCAATACAAGGCGGTTAAATTTCGCTCATATTTATGATGGATGTACTGCGAAGAAAGGCCGGAAGCGACTCCTATTATCCATGCTATTTGCTCCGGTACCATGCACTTAAAAACACGAACCAGGCCGAAGTCTTCAAACCCGTTTAACTCAACTCAAAAATCAAACCCGTAGGCGTATACGCACAGCTATGAAGCTCTCTGCTGGCTTGATCACTTTGGCTTTGACTGCTGTAGCTGCTGCACAGTCTGTCAGTGAATGGGGTCAGTGCGGTGGAATCAACTACACTGGATCCACGAGTAAGCTTGATTCTGTTATGCCCGCAGAACACGATCGCCTCTGACATAAGGCCTCAGCCTGTGCTTCTGGTCTCACTTGTACTGAGATCAACACGTATTACTATCAGTGTTTAGCATCAGTCACTACAGTCACGACCTCCACAAGCTCTACAACTTCTACGGCACCACCCGCTACAACCTCGAGTCCTTCTGCTCCTATAACCGGATTCGTCAGTACGTCTGGCCAGAAGTTTACTCTCAACGGGGCCACATATACTGTAGTCGGGTCAGTCTCTACCATTCTACTTACATGTCCTTCTTTTTTGATTGATATTGTTTAAATCATAGAGGGAACGCGTATTGGGTCGGGCTTATGGGGCTCACCACTAGCGAAATGAATGTTGCATTCAAAGATATTGCTGCGACTGGGGCAACTACTGTCAGAACATGGTAAGCTTTGCACTTCTTGGAGTCGAGATCATCTTGAGGCTCTATTCTATTATACTTTGTAGGGGTTTCAATGAAGTAACTAGTGCAAGTGGTGACTATTACCAGCTTTGGACTAACGGAGTACCAACCATCAACACGGGTGCAACTGGGCTCCAAAACTTTGGTGCGTTATATCTCTCCCTCCCTCCCTCCCTCCCTCCCTCTCTCTCCCTCTCTCTCTCTCTCTTTTGTTGTTGTTTGATCGAAAACTGATCTTCGTTGTTCCAGACAATGTTGTGGCTGCTGCCAAGGCAAACGGGCTTCGTCTCATCGTGACTCTGTAAGTCTGAGGCTTCTTTAACCCTCTTATATCTCTCGTTGATATAATACACGTCAGTACTAACAATTGGTCTGATTACGGTGGCATGGATGTGTATGTGAACCAACTTGTTGGCCAGGGCCAGCCGCATGATTATTTTTACACCAATTCTGCTTGTATAGTGAGTCGTATATTCTGTTGAGATGGATCACAATCTAACTGATCTTTTATGTGCAGTCTGCGTTCCAGAACTACGCAAAGACGTTCGTGACTCGCTACTTGAATGAGCCTACAATCCTTGGTTGGGAACTAGGTAAGTCTCGCTTTTTGTGATTATATCACAGCGATGTTTATGTATTCATCTCTTAGCTAACGAGCCCCGATGCACCGGTAGCACTGGGTATGTCCTTTTCTTCTCAGAACCAACCATCTTCTCAAATGTCGACTTTGAGAACTACTTCTGGTTCTTGCACTGTCGCCACCGTCACCAATTGGGTCAAGACTATGTCTGCCTACATAAAATCCGTTGATTCAAACCATCTTGTTGGTCTCGGAGATGAAGGATGGTTCAATGATCCAAGTAGCTCTGACTATCCATATCAGTATGTATCCCGCCCTGACCATCCCTGCGCGTAAGTTGCTAAAGGTTTTGGTTTTTGAAGGGGTGGCGAAGGTATCGACTTCGTGGCCAATTTGGCTATTGACACCATTGATTTCGGGACCTTTCATGTACGTTTATTTTTCTGCAATCCAGAATCTTCCTGCTGACACACTCACGTTTGTAGCTTTACCCGGTATGTGAACGTGAATGATCAGTCTAGTTTGACTCTCATGAGAACCATCTATCAGGGAAGCTGGGGAGAGACATCCAACTCGACAAGCTGGGGACAAGAATGGATCATTAACCACTACACCGCTCAAGCCAACGCCAACAAACCAGTGATAATGGAAGAATTCGGTGTGACCAGTGACCAATATAACACATACAGTGCATGGTACTCCACCGTACAGAGCTCGGGTCTCAGTGGAGTGCTCATCTGGTTAGTGTTATATGTTATAATGTGGATATAGTCGCTGAAATCATATTGCGTATAGGCAAGCTGGCTCTAATCTCTCCTCTGGACAGACTCCTAATGATGGATATGCTGTATGTCCACCTCTGTACATTATTGGTTTCGAGGCTAAAATCGAGGCGTGCAATGAATAGATCTATCCTGGCACGCAAGTCTACACCTTGGAGACCCAGTACGCTGCCTCTATGAAAGCAAGGGGTTAGGGTAATCTACTTTCTGAGACACTTTTTGTTGCACCTATTGTGAAGTGTTCATGAAATATAAGCACCTACTAGCCATGTATTGCTCGCTGGAATATATGTGTGTCCCTCATGTGCAAATGAAAGCAGAACTGTCAGGATGGCGGGTTGGCTAGCAGTCGGGATTGCCTTTTATGGAAGGCTAACGCGTCACTCTGGTCTCGGCAAATTTTTGGAGGGTTGTTTACTCAGCGATCGCCAAAAATTCCCGCTGTCCCCCGCCTTCTCTCCAGTACAGTCCCATACCGCCAACATGTTGCGAAACTTCACGCGTCTTCCACTCCGAAGACTCGTACACACTCAAGTTTCTTCTAATGTTCGACGTTCAGGTCGATATGGTCTCGCACTAGGCGCTTCGGTCACTGCTGCCACATTTCTGGCTTGGTCATTGGCTTCCGACAGACAACCGATTGCTCTGGATGCTCAGCCCATAGCTTGTAGGTTATCATATCTTACTGATTACTCTCGAGTCTCACCGTATAAATGGATAGCTCCCAAAAAAGTCAAGGTATCGCCAGATTCTGCGACAACATCGAGCACTGTAGAACCTCAGTCCTCACAAGCGCATTCCTCGCCTCTGGAATCGTCTTCGCCCTCCCCTTTTGTCAGTGACAGTGATTCTGAAGGTACTGCACCACCATCTGCTGCTCAGCCTGAAAGCGACGACGAAGAGTCCGCTGCGGGTGCTTTCAATCCCGAGACCGGCGAAATTAACTGGGATTGCCCGTGTCTTGGTGGTATGGCCCATGGTCCTTGTGGTCCACAATTCCGAGAGGCTTTTGCATGCTTTGTTTATTCGGAAGATGAACCCAAGGGCATAAATTGCGTAGAGAAGTTCAAAGCCATGCAAAATTGCTTCAGAGAGCACCCAGAAGTTTACGGGGAAGGTGAGTGGCACCTCCATTTAAAACCTCACATAACGCATTGTTAAACTTTCTATAATCTCTAGAAATCATGGATGACGAGGAAGATATGGATGGCGAGCTTCCAGCCAGCCAAAGCGATATACATAACCTTACTGCTGAGAGTGTTCCTTCAATTCAAGGGGAGGAACCAGTGTCTTCATCATAGAATGCTGTCCCTCTTGCATTAGACGACATAATTGGGACAGGCGTATACAGTATCTCATCCTGGAGCATCCTGATTTATTACATCCATATCACCACTACTCCTCCCCCTACCACCGCATTAATTATATTTCACTACTCACCACTCAAAAATACACTGATATATTGCTCTCTTGCTTTGGATCCAGTCCTCGTCAAGATTTCCTGGGATATACATTCTGTTCAATGGTACAAAGCACACAAAAACGAAAGAACCAAGCACAATCATAACTGCACAACATACTGTACATAATACAAGATTTCAAGCATTCGTCGTGAACCTTTTTTCAATGATATCTTCGTTCAGTTTATATCCGTTAGCCACAAACAATTTTGAGTGCAGGAATGTCGATGTATCGAAAATATCGTGCTCCTTAGCCTATCAAAGTACATCCGTGAGTTCTTGACCATTAAGTCTATCACAAGTACCTACCCTCTCATCGAGCTCAGAAACTTTGACGGTAACCAGCTCAGGTTGTTGATATCGTTGTAGTTGATAAAAGCGGGCCTTTTCTTTGACAAGCTGTCCGAGAATGAACGCCAATAATTCCTCGTAGTCTCGCGCTTGAGTAAGATATTTTCGGAAACCCTGGTTAAATAGGTTCGATCAGCATTTAAAACGTCTTCATCGCGGGACACATACCCTTTCAAGAGTTTTCTTGATAGACATCTTCTGCGCACTGACGAAACTACCAACAGCAACAGAAATAGCCACATCAATATCATCAGCACGAACGAATTCTCGCAGTGACATCTTTGCACTGGCTTCAGCCATACGAATCATGCTTTCAAGATGACGCAGCGTTATTGGGTATGATCCAGTAGCCATTGATTCCCGCCTCAAGTCGGCATACAATCGGGAAAGTTTTTCTTCATCCATATCATACAGTTTTGGTCGGATTTTCTCGCGAGCATACATAATATATTTCCGGAGAATGTCTTGGGGGATAATCTGAACAGTGCGTTTCAGTATATCACCAATCAAATGCAAGAAAACACGAACATCAGCATCAAGAGACGTCCCCACATCCATCTCCTCTTTGTCTGCCTCGAATTTCGGGTGACTCCTCAGATGACTACCAACAACAAACCGTGCAAGCAGTTCATCTTGTACAGGATCAACTGTATCTTTGACGACACACAAAACATCGAAACGGGACAAGATGGGCTCCGTTAACTCGACATTTTGTTGGAATGGAATTGTTGGGTTGTACTTCCCGCGAATCGGGTTAGCTGCTGCGATGATGGCACAGCGTGCTTGAAGAGTCGTTACAATACCGGCCTTGGAAATAGATATCGATTGCTGTTCCATAGCTTCGTGGATCGAGGTCCGGTCTGCATCATTCATCTTGTCGAACTCATCAATTAGACATGTCCCTTTGTCAGCCAAAACCAATGCCCCGCCTTCGAGCGTCCATTCTCTTGTTATCGGATCTTTTCGTACACTGGCAGTCAGACCAACAGCAGATGCGCCCTGACCTGTGGCGAAAACGGAGCGATGTGCCGTTTTTTCTGCATATTTCAAGAACTGAGACTTCGCTGTTCCAGGGTCACCGAGTAAGAGGACGTTGATGTCGCCACGAATTCTGTGTTTCCTGTTAACATCCTTGGGAACTCCTCCGAACAGAGAGAGTGCGATAGCGGTTTTGATATCTTCATGACCGTAGATAGAAGGTGCTATGGATTTAATTATCCGTTTACGGACTCGTTCGTCCCGGGCTAAAGTTCGCATTTCTTTCTCGTCCTCTTCTGTTAGCCTGAACGCAGCGAAGAGATCTTCTTTCTTGTTAATGTGGTTGGCCTCAATGATAGTGGAGAAGACAGGGAAACCATTTTTCGAATTAAGTGATGCATCGAAGTTATTCCTGTATATTCCTGTCACTTCCTGCAACATTACATTACAATTAGACTCGACAATGGCCAGCATAATAAATTGCACGTACAATTTCTTCACCAGGCTTCGCATTGTCGATAAGATCCCATAGCAAGATCACTTCTCGGTGCCTAGGCAAACGACCAGGAGGGACTGAGCCTGGAGACTCTTGTAAAGTCATTTTCTGATAGTTGCGATATACCGTCTATATATGGCAAGATGGATAAATATATGCTATGAAACAAGTGAAAAATCATAGAACCAACCTGCTCAGAATTGACAGGGAAAGGTCCCTTGCTTTCGCAATTTGCACAGTAGTTTATCCTAACCTCCCTCGTAGCATCTTGATAAAATGGTCCCAGGACAGCACCACATTTTCGACAATCAAACTTGACGTATTTCAACTGAGGGAAAACACCACTTCTCCTCGTAACGACGCCTGAAACTCGCACCAGATTATTAAGATTCGAGCGCCGCAAATCTCGCAAGGAAGAGCTTAGAGGAAGGTCAGATATGCGAACGTGAACTTCCGAATGAATACGTTCGTATGAAGGGTAGTACACAAGTATGGCATTGAGGGCCACCTCGTCAAAAATGGTAAGCATTGCGGATGGAGAGTTAGTAAGGAAGTAAGCCAGAATTGGTTTTGAAAGTGCAAGATGAAGATATGAGACCTCCAATGATTCCGAGTTTGCTATAATATATATTATCAGGACAGAACAATGTAAGGGGTGTAATGGTAGCATACTTTCTCCAAGATTACGAATTCGTTGGCCATAGACCGAGGCACCATTCTCGTCCACGTACGTCATTAAAAATTGGCGGAAATGCTTGACAATGGACCGACGAACGCGATCGTTTGCAATCCATTCGACTATTGATTTAGCTTTGATGTCACTAAGTTGTTCCAATGGTATTTCCTATAGACTAAGATTAGCAAAGTTCTCGACCAGTGACAATGTCTCACATCTTCGACACCATCCATATCATCCATGTCTCGCCTTTCATCATAGTGCCTACGGGTACGTATTTTCATCCTGGAAACACCTAAACCACCATCGAGAGCATCTTCATCTTCCATGTCGTCACTTTCTAGAAACTGAGGCATGCGACTCCTACGAGCTGCACGACCTCCACGCCTGCCCCCGCGTTCAAGTCGATCTCGTCTGTCCATCCTAGCTTCAGCCGCTCTACGAGCCGCTGCCGACATGTCTTCGAAGTCATCTTCATCGTTGATATCTCGATCTGAGTACCGGTCCAGTAACTCATTCGGCGCGTAGTCACTGGTAAAGCAGTTGCAGAATAAATGACAAAAAGTGCCACGATAGGAAGATCGCCAATACATACACCATCAAGTCCTCATTAAACAGATCTTCGCCTTCCTCTGCCTCGTCTTCATCGTCTATGTCTCTTACTAAATCTCTGTCATCGACACTTTCTTCTGTATCGGAAAAAGGGGCAGGAGGTGAAGATGGGGGTAAGGAAGACTCTGAATCGCGTCGAGTAGGTGTTGGCCGCGGTGCAGGTGATGAATCTGGCAACGGGGATCTTGGACGTTTCACCCTGCGAGGTGTTTGAGACTATCACATAATTTAGAGAGGTGATAAATGACCAGTAAAATGTCAAGAACTTACCATTGTGAAGGATATGAGGAAAAGCGCGACAACGCGTAAACGCGTCACAGATTGGTCTGAGTTTCAAAGCGCGTTTTCATTCTCACGGTCGAGTTTCTGAGCGGCTCGGCACTGCTGGCTTGAACAGTGTAACTATGTCAAACACCGACTTTCAAGCAGCTGTAAAGCAGGAAGAGGCATATCTTCGACAAGTGCATCCCACGCCAGAAGACATTCCAGGATGTATGACACTGTTTGACGACTTTCTATTATGCAATGGTGTGCCCCCAGTTCAACCTTTTGTAGTCACTTCCGGCTGACTTTGCACGGCGGAAAGTCCTGGGTGCACAAGTGAAATCACTTTACAGGTTTGGTCGGATGTCTGAATGTAAACACAAAATGGAGGACTTCAAGTTTTGCATGAGTCTTAAATCTATGCACCCAGAGGACAAAAGGGATGCTTGGATCCGGAGGCGTGCGGAATGGTGGGCACATAAACGACTTGCGAAGAGCAGTGAAAATATTTGGGACGTCCGCAAGTAAGTCTAGCACACGATTGTCATCTTGTCAGCTAATTCCATCGGGAAATGAAGGGAACCCCTCCAGAATTGGCCGCCTCCTTCTACTTCTAATGATGTAGATACGGTACAGAGGTCGGGAACCATTGCGTGATCGAAATGCAAGCGCTGTCGGATGACTACGGAACTCTGCCGCCTGCATTAAGCCTCCCTACGGTTTCCCCCATTTTAACATCACCGGAAGCTCTTGTCGACAGTTCAGCGCTCTGCCACTGAACGTGACGAGATCTCGGTGACACTCCGAGTCATATCATGGCCAATCTTCTTTCGGTTTTCGTTGGACCCGACCATGAAGTGAGCGCTCTGCGGGCTTTTATGGAGCATTCCGGAATGTTTTTGAGCTTTTGCGATGTGTTATCAGTCCATGCAGTATCAATTCAAGGAGAACCCATGATCCCTGTCTACTCTGAGGTACAACATCGGGATGATAGAGATGTAACGGCAAACCATAACATGAAGGCTGTCATACGTGCTTCCGATCCTTCCGTTTCCATTTCCGAATCTACGTTCCGCAACTCGGCGTGTAAGGGTGATGAAATTGTATGAAACGTCCAATGAGATGAGAATGAACGGCGGTACATATATTACATTGGTTCCTCAGATCTATTCCATTCCACATTGCCAACATATGTGGGTTCAGCTGACCTTTGTTCAATATCTTACGACAACCCTTATTACGAGGAGGCCCCACCTCATTTCGTCTTTTCTTGCACAGCAATGTGCCAATATTAGCACCAGTGTGTTTGGTAGTCACCGTACTACAGTCGTACTACTCCTGCGTTCTGACTTGAAGGCATTCACATTATGGTCTATGAATACAAGGACCAGCCTCTGAAGGGTTTGTTCTACACTTATCAGATTCTCACCACTGCGTTTGTGCGTCTTCCTTTTATTTCACTTTGGTATATTCCCCGTTCTCTACGGCCCAAGCCATCATGGAGCTGGCAGCAATCCTTTGGAGTGAACTTGTTCAGGCATCTCGCATACGTGTCTTTCACGTGAGTTTTCCCTCTTTGGTATCACCTTTTATCACTTAACTGACGTTGTTTTTGTATCTACAGGGCTGGAAGAATCAGACTTGTGCCCGATTGGCGCGCAATCGTCCCCGCTGAAGGTGTACACGGAATATGGATTGAAGGGGTACCAGAACTTGTGACCGGTGAACTACAAACTTGGGCTGAAGTTTCTCAAGTCGAACCGTCGCGGATTCCTGGATACTGGTACAGCAAACAAGGCGCAGACATTCCAGCCAACGAGACCCCGGTTCCAGGTGAAAAGGTTTTCTACTGGTTCCATGGCGGAGGTTACGTTCAGCTCTCTGCGCATCCCAAAAATTTCAATTCGAACGTCGTAACTTCACTTTTAGAATTGAGCAAGACTGTTCAAAGAGCATTCGCTCTAGAATATCGCTTGGCTTCTACAGCACCTTTCCCTGATCAAAACCCATTCCCCGCCGCTCTTCTAGACGCGCTTGCAGGTTACAACCACCTTGTTAACGTAGTTGGATTTGATCCCTCCGATATTATCATCCTAGGGGATTCTGCCGGAGGAAATCTTGCTTTGGCTCTCACGCGATACCTCATTGAAAACAAGGATAGTCCTGTAAAGCTCCCCGCGCCTCCACACAGTATGATCCTTTTGTCACCATGGGTTGACCTTAGTCCTTCTCACAATCACCTGGGCTCTTCGACTCTCCATAACAACGTGGACTATCTTCGGAGACAGGATTCTGGAGCAAGTTTATACTCGATTGAAGCGTTTGTTCGTCCATACGGTCTAGGCGCTGCGCTAATGAATCGCTACATCTCACCCGCATCGTTACACCCTTCTTGTTGTGCACATTTCGTAGGGTTCCCTAGGACATTTATCGCTGTGGGCACAGAAGAGAGGTTCCTGGACCCAGTGAGGACGCTGAAGAAAAAGATGACTGCTGATATGGGCGAAGGTAAAGGCGAAGGCCAGGTTACTTACTACGAGGCTTTAGATGCAGTGCATGACTATCTTACTCTCAAATGGCATGACTCGGGGCGTGAAGGTACATTGAAAGCACTCGCGGACTGGTTACCGTAGGGTGGTCTTACTGTAAATGTGAGTAATGTCACGTACTTGTCTCATGTCCCAAAGACAGCTAACTTCATCGATCGATCGCCAAGCTTACCGTTTCGTGACTATAGTTGTTCCTGGCTTATTCCCTTCTGGATATTAAATGTACTTCATTTCAATATCAGCCAACTGGCCCGCCTAAGTCACACTGACCGTTCCAGCCACATTCCAGGCTCATGTAAAATGTTCAGATCTAGCCCCTACCTAAGCTTCCAACGTAGTATATAAGAGTCTCTCTCGTTTCATTTCATTCAAGAATCGCCATGATAGACTCTCTCTCATTTACTTTGAATACCGGTTTCGTACCTGGTATCAATGATAAGGTATGTTTCTTCTCTTCTTCTCTTCGTATGTCTATCTATAACGTTCCGTGCTGACGGAGTCGTTTATGATCAGGGATTAGCGCCAGACACTAACTCAAAATGCATCTCAACCAGCAGGTCGTTTAGTGCATTCCCATCTCCTCCAGTTGTAACCAAATCTTTGACTATGGATGAAGACTACTTTGAACGACGCGAGTTGCGTATAGTTTGCACCCAAAAATTCCCCTGGGAAGACTTCCTTCCACAGGCCAGCGAGATTTTCCCTGGCCTGTACCTTAGTGACATATACACAGCAACCTCCCCCTTAGTCCTCAACCGCCTAGGGATAACGCACGTCGTATCTGTGATGCGAGCCCCATGGTACCATTACCCCCCTTCCATGCGCCATCTTTGCATACCCATTGACGACACAAAATCGACCAATATCATGGCCTATTTTGACAGTACCACGGCGTGGATAAAGAGAGCGCTCGAAAGTTCACCCGATGCGAAGGTCCTGCTGCACTGCGTGTGGGGTATGAGTCGTAGTGCCAGTTTCGCCGTGGCTTATCTCATGGGAACCAGGGGCATGACTGCAGACGGCGCCCTGGCCTTGGTGAAGGCGAGAAGAAGTATCGTCGATCCTAATCGTGGGTTTCTTTGGCAGTTAAGTTTGTATGAACAAAAGATCAGGAACAAGGTCAAGTCTTGAAGTAGAACTTCGCGCCGTTTCAGTTTGTCAGCTCTATCTTTGGACTAGCCATTATCAATCCATTTGTAAGTCATCGCAGAATTAATAGGATATCATTGCGAAAGCAGGATAGTACACGTAAATAGAACAGACATACAAGAAGTAATATCACATCCTCTACACCTTGCCATTGTCACTGCTGTCAGCATCTGCACCGTTGCGAGCTTCTTCGGCATCGCGCAGGCCGCCTGCTTTCCAGTCACCCAAATAGAAATACACTGCTGGCATACCCACGAAGAGGCCTCCAATAATGTTACCTATGTACGATGCAATCAAAGACCTGTAGAGAAATGTGAATAAGTGAACGTGACAACAAGACTAGTAAGAGTACACATACTTGCGAATGTACTCGGCAGTAGTCAACTACATTAGAACATTCAGTCAGATTATATCACATGTTCAGCGACGAAACTTACATCAGCGTGCATCATGATGCTCAATGGAAGCGAGAACATGTTTGCAACAACTGTAACGAAAATTATTCACAACTGATCAAAGGAATTGTTGAAATTTATTACCGTGATCATATCCGCAAGCCACAAAAATCTGTGTGGAGATGTAAGATAAAACATCCAAACACCGGGACAGTGAGCAGCCTACCCAGATGGGGAACCAGATAGCAATGATCTTGGAGTATGTCTCTTTGGCTCCTGTTGCTTGCTGAAGGTGCAGAGGAAGTAAGTTGATGTCCTTGGACGAATTGACTTGATCACATACCCAAACGGCAATACAGACGAGCCAGTTGCATCCAATGCCTCGAAGGAAAATTTGGTACCACTCAGGAGTTACAGCCTTGGTTCTGAACGTATCGTTAGATTGTTTAGGTATAGTAAAGATAGGTGATAAACAAACATGGCAAAGGACTTGATGTAAGTGTCATATGGAGCGTCTGCGACGAGTCCGGTGTCTGTTGCATTCGTGAGATCATGTCTGTTTTCACAGCAGTGCAAAGATACTTACATTTGACGAGAATGGCCGCGAAGAAAAGACTGCCCACAAGGTTCCCGAACGTTACTACAGATAAAGCAACGCTGAGTTAATGAAACGACCAGTCAACAAAGAACGAACCGATAATCCAGTTGACGGGGATACTCCACCAAGGAAGAGCACCCTTAACAACAGCCATAGGGAAGATCTGAACGAATATCGTTATTACAATGAAGTCTTGACAAATACACCTACAGGTCACTTACCATCAAGTTACTCGTTAGCAGATCAAACCCTTGAAGGACGATCCTAGGAATCAGTTGTCAGTCCTATTACCGACGTCTTGCAAGCAGACTTAAACACACATTACGAGTCCAACGGGGAACACAAACCCCCCAAGGACCTTGACAATTCCAGGGTTTGCAGCTGATAACGATGGGGAACCACCCGAGATGATAATATCAAAGAGACCACCAAAAGAGAGCATAATGCCAGCAAGACACTAAAGGTATTTATTCAACACAATAGAGCTTATGAGGTAGGTGCATATTGCTTACTGCCTTAAAGAAGGTCTTGTCCCATCGCGTGTTATGTTTTATTATTGCAGCCTCAACGAGGGCAGCAGCGACTTCAGCTGGCTTGAGGGTGAGTGGTGCGTCCATTGCTGTTCAGGTACGGATTTGTGAGCAATCCCGGTAGGTACAAAGGGGGCAGCTTGCGGATACATTCACGTCAAGTGTCCTTTATATGAAGGGGAAATATGAATCAAAAATAGCCTGTCATGCCAAAGCGCCTGCTTCTAACCATTATGAGATATCAAGATTTGAAGGTTCGATTACTATTGGATTTGAACGACTGGGAAATTCGTCAAGCCATCCACCATCTTCGGAGGGCCGGTCATCTTCTGTTGGCCGCCGCCAATCAAACTTTGACGAGGATTGTGACAAAACGCTCAGTGTGCCATAGGAAGGAGATGGCGTGGCTTATGAGACATTTTGGCATCTTTCTGCAATTCTGGACAATCTGGGCCTGGCTAGGGAATGTTGGATGGTCGGAGATTATGTGAATCAAGGGACCAATACAGAATGCAAGGTCCATGGGATGGGCTGATAGCACGCCTGTCGACGCCCACGCCCCGGGTATGGAATGCTCCACCTGTGCTAGAATCGCCCGCCACGGTGGTAAGTGGGTGGGAGAAGACCCTGGCGTATCGTTAGCATATAATTTGAACTTTCATCAGTACAACGGTGATAGCCCCAGTGGGTTACAGGACACACCAGCGATTGCAAGGGAAAGAAAGCAAGCTGTGACAGGTACATTACTGCAGCCCAATTTAGGAAATTGTACATAAGTATATGCTGCAACTGGGAGAAATCAGATTGACTTTAGAACAACACTGGATTCGTTCGCACTAATTCTTGGCTTCGAACCGCGATGACCAGAAGATTTTACCTGGATTGTCATCCATCATGATGAGTCCCAGCACCTGTCAGTGGTATTTTTCCATATCCCGATGCTCGCCGTACTAGTTACTGAGTTACTTTCCTTGATCAATCCTTACCCCACGGGCAACCCATGCCATTCGGGTGCACTCCAGATCGAGACTAACTATCATGCCATTCTTGTAAACACTCTCGGGTAAACCCGTGCCGCATCTACAATATACATAAAAGGATGCTAGTCCGAGCTTTAGTTGGATGGACGACGAACTTGCAGTTCGTCCTTTGACATAACTCTCACATATGGCAGTATTGTATCGCCAATGACAAACGTTGTTGTCATGCACAGCAGCCAGGTTGATCGTTGAGTGATCGTCCTGTATGGTTCTCTCACGCACCTGCTCTACAGTTCATCCACAGCGCCAAACCTTCGCATGGACTGACAACGGTGGGTGGTTTTCGCAACCAATATCCCTAGAAAGGTAAATTGGCGCTCTACCCCATTTCATTATCATCCACCAATAGGCACTGATGGACCAAAATCCAAGACGGGACCTTGGTTTCAGAAGTTACGATCGCGTGTACTCCTCCATGATCAGTAATCCGACATGCTAGAACGTGCACTGAAGTGCCCTGCCATAACTGTGTCAGTATTAGTTGCGATAGGGAATTTTTCACAAATTATTACCTCATACTACGATAAATCATTGATAACATTTCGGATCCGAAGGCTTTAGCTGATGCGGTGGCTCAGAAGGGAGATACAAAAAGGATAGGCTCGCGGTTGAACGTTGAAAATTCCACCTTGCGTCAGGTTAAAGTCCTTGGGCCCGAGCATCATATCAGTCATAGCATGCGGCTACAAACTTAAGAGCCGGAAGAGGCCTTATCAAGCTTTGCCTCAAAGCAGATTACATCGATTGTCCACTCTGCATCATATCGATGGGATGGCCATATCCTCAGTATGTATATGCACCCTTGATGTGGTTGCCTGATACATTTCAAGCTGTGGCCGCCAGACGATATCAGAAAACAGGGTACCATTGACTTCTAGTCTTTAATTTCCGTTCACGGATAACTTGAGCTGTGGTCTTCAACCACCAGATCAAGTCAAGATAGTTGCATGTGCATCGCAACGTGCACGAGTCGGATCTCGTCGATGTCATGATCGATCTTCACTAGCCGTTCAACGCATTCGATGTCTTGATGTCGAAGTTTTCCAAACCTTGCATGTCGACTTCTTCTTCGTGTCTGCAACCTTCCAGGTGACCTGAGACTGCGGTATCAATTGAATTGAATAATAATAGATGTTTACAGTGTGTCATGCGAGAGGTTACAGTGATTTAGCGTCCATCCATATAGGCGTCAGCGCTTGCGCGACAGTATTTGCAGCGACTTCTAAGCATTCACGTTCTAGCTCGTCTGGCACTGCCGTCCAAACTTTCCGTGCCCGCCATCGGTCTGGATGAAATCGCCGATGGCTTTTCTGTACGAATTCCTTGTAATCCTGGATCCGCATATGGGTCCTCACAGTTTCGAAGAAGATTTCCACAGCTTGCCAATCGACGTCCTCTACTGAGAAGTGTGGAGGGTTAAGCACTGGCCAAGGGATATCTTCGAATGCGATGGGAAAATCTGAAGAGAATTTGGCGTTGTCGAAATCATCGCTTAAAACTTTAAAACGTTCCAATGCTCGCTGGGAAGTCCATAGGCCAGTCCCCCATCGCTCTCTCTGTCGGCGCCTCTTTTCCTTCTGCCATTTTGCCTCTTCCTTCTTGCGTCGTTCCGTTTCTTCTTCAGCCATTCTTACACGCTCTTCTTCTTCGCGTTGCTGTCTCTTGCATTCTTCTTTAAAACTTCTTAGACGTTCCTCTTCTTCACATTGTTGTCTCTCACGTTCGGCTTGGGCCCTTCTACGCTCTTCAGTTATTGCTCTCTTCTCTTCCTCTTCGGCCTTTTCACGTGCTTCGCGCTTCCTGCGTTCCGCTTCCCACAAAGGTTTGTCTCTGTCGAGTTCCTTCATCTTTTGAATAGACTCAGCAAGAGCATTTTCGCGTTCAGCCTGCTCAGGCGATATAGTTTCTGGCTGAAGCTCTTCTTCCTCGGAGACAATATCGCCAGCAGGAGATCGTTGGTGGTCTTTCGGAGTGCCCAGCTTCAGCAATCATTCGCAGAATACCACAAAAGCTCACCTTTGGTGTAAGTATTATTGTAGACCGGGAAATCTGAACGTATGGCATTCAAAAGAATCTCTTCACGCGCCTTACGTCGGCTCTCGTCAACTTTGTGCACCTTGTCTTGCCTTCGTTTTTCTCTTTCGGCCTTCATCGCCTTCAATGCCTGTTGAACAGTATTGGGCGAAACAGTTCGCATACGCTTGTGACCACTTTGTCTGGCACGATCTTGCTCTTCGTCTGGTTTTGTGTCTTCATCAGTGGCAGACTCCACTTGGGGACCTAGGAAGCATCAGTGTAAGATTTACTGTAAGTAGGAAAGTAGTATTTCTGATGGAAAAGCACACCTTTCCGCTTTCCAATGTTTTCAGCTGGCTTGCTTCCGCCTTGAAGGTCTGATATCGACATATCGTCATCAGGTGCAGCAGGAGCGTTTGGGTCATTTGATCGCGAGTTATGAGTTCGCTTCAACTGAGTTTTCATAATTTTTTGACGCCGTAGATTTCGTTGCCTTTCTAATTCTTCTCGGTTGCTCCATTTACGACGCTTATCCTTCCCATCCCTGGATTTTTTTGTGTGTGCGGACTCGTCAACAACCATGCGTTCAACCTCGCCTTCGTCATCATCATCGGAATCGCTGCTAATATAATCTGTAGCTTGCGGGCGAGACCTTTTCATGCCGTGTAATGGTGATCTCCTCTCCACCGAGGGTCGGCGAGATCGTTTAGCACCTGGGGCCTCTGGGAAGAACACAGTGTCTCGAGGGCCATTCAATTCGACCCTCGATATAGATGAATATTTAAAGCCATGATGCACAACACATTTGTATGCTGGATCCAGTTTGTATATATCCCACTGGTCCTGATGGCAAAACACGTGTTCACTGGAACGCCAAGGATCAGAAAAAAACTGAATAAGAACATACATCGCCAATCCTTCTGCTCACCCGCAGATATTGACAACGCGTGGCCAAGACCCTTCTTCTACCACACCTTCTTCCAAAAGCGCCCGTGGAACGAATCGCCAGCTGCTGAGTCCTTCTGGGGTGGTCTCAATTACGATGCGCTTGGGGCGCGGCTGGTCTTCTTTGAGAGACATTTTACGGATGTCTGGGATTTCATCTCCAGCATAGGCAGTGCGCGGATCGAATGACGCGAAATGTAGCTTGGAGTTGGAAAAGCGGAGGACTCGTTTAGATTGAGAAGAGTCGAGTAATCCAGGCGTTGTCCCTTGGAGTAAACGAAGTTGATCTGGCTGGGAGGCTGAACCAGACGGTTCCGGTGTTACAGACGCCATTTTTGTATACTACGAAATGACACAGATACTACAAGATGATGGGGTTAGAACGTGTTCAGCATATCGTGGTCGTTATATATCGCTCCGAATCCACCTTGTCGAGGCGAGGTTGGACTTTTTGCCACAGAGCACGTGCCACCGGAACCATAACAGGTACCAAATTAGGACGCCTCGCGCCACACCTCTTTTCTTTTTTCTTTTCTCAATCACAACGTCCTTCTCTTGAGCCATCATGACCACTGTTCATACAATAGACTTTTATCAAGGACTCTTGTATTCTTTTGACATTTTCGCCTCAATATTGCAAACGGCCACTCGGTGGAGTCACGAAAAGCTTTCTCGACTGCCAATTGGTTCTAAAACAAGCCAGGATTTCCGTAAAAGTACCCCTATGTGACACTAATCGAGGGTGACGTGACTCCAAATGACTTTCCCCCAGACTGGACTTGACTCAAGCTTGAATGCAGTATATAGACCTTACTTATACCGTCTTTATCTCTCCTTATTATCAACATGACTTCCCTACGCAACTTTCAGTCCGAGATAGACGAGATTCGCTCTCGAGAAACCGCCAAACAGCGGGCTATCGGCGCAGAGTGGGAGAAGGAAAACCAGAGCTTACACGACAAGAAGAAGGAGAAAGCGAAAGACGATAGAGAGACCGGAGTGGTCATGAGGGAGCCCGAACCTCAGTCAGATGTGGAAGTCGAAGAACAGATACTAGTGAGCACTTCATTCAGTCCTTAGCCTTTTGCGGGGCTGCATCTCGTACCATGGTAGCTGAACTATGGAAATTTATACTGTGAAGGATCTTCTACATTCCCAGCAACATAAAAAGGCTCGAGATATGATTTCTTCTCTGCTAACGCAGCATCGGGGCGAGTACATTTTCCGCATAGGAGCTCGACCGCCATATAGCAAGCTATTTGCTGGTGAACCTGTCGAAGATGCAGGTGACTGGACGGGCATCTCGCGGAACGAAAGTGAAGTCATATCTCTGCAGGCGGATTTGAAGAAAATCGTAGAGGACGTTGGTGGGCAGGTACGCTTGTTCATAATTAATATGAATGAAGGCATCATTTGATAATCACATGTTAAAGGTTTCTGTATTATTTGAGGCTACCGAACCACATCCACGTAGTACCACTCTACTACGTCTACCTCCACCAAGCGTTTCACTTACTCCTGAAGTCCGTTGTGCGGTCGTTGGGAATGTGGATAGTGGGAAGTCAACTACGCTTGGGGTACTTACAAGAGGTTGGTTATGGTTCTAGCTCAGTGCACTTGTTTTATCTCAATCAAGTTTAGGTGCACTGGATGATGGAAGAGGACGAGCAAGGGTCGGATTATTCCGCCATAAGCACGAAGTGGAGACAGGGCGGACGTCTAGTGTAGGCATGGAGGTATAGTGGTTTTTCAAATGGATTTTGCACTGGTTAATCTCTCGCAGATTTTGGGATTTGGCCCCTCAGGTGCCCCAATACTTCCTAGCACTGCTCACTCATCGGATTTGGATGTCATTCGACGCGAAAAGCTGGGGTGGGACGAAATATCTATGAAGGCAGCGAAGATTGTCTCATTCAGCGGTACATCTTATAGCCTTACGCCTATCCTAATATTCGTCGTATTCATGATAGATGTTTAGACCTTGCCGGTCACGAACGCTACTTGAAGACTACCCTATATGGACTAACGTCTGGAGCGCCATCGTGTGTTATTCTCATGGTCGGTGCTAATGCCGGTCTCATAGGAATGTCCAAGGAACATTTAGCAATAGCTCTGGCTCTGAGCGTCCCTGTTGTCGTCTGTATCACGAAAGTAAGTTTCAGCACGGCGGTTACTACTACAGTCTCTTTGAATGATTCATGATTGTTTAGATTGACATGACTCCACCAAATGTACTTGCTGAAACCACAAAACAAGTGGTGAAGATACTTAAGAGTCCAGGATGCAGGTACGAAAAAAGAACTTCGATATTACAACTTTTCTCACTTGAAATCAGAAAGACCCCAGTTTTTGTGAACTCTATGGAGATAGCCGTTGAGCTTTCAGATAAATTTGCGCAACAACGGTAAGTTTTTCTGTTCAGCGTTAGACCCTTTTCTTTGAAGCTCATAGAAACAAACCAGTTTATGCCCAATATTTCAGATCTCGAATGTTACAGGAGAAGGTCTCGACCTAGTCAGTTTTTCTTTACATTTTGATCCAGCGTCAATTGATCGCATTTAAATTTTCAAGGTTCGCACATTCCTTAACCTCCTTCCTTCCAGCGAAAATGATCAAGAGAAATTTGCCAGTAACCAACCACTTGAGGTAAGCGGGTTTCTTTCCCAAAAAGTTCGAGCTCACAAAGCGCTTTCCTGAACATTCAGTACTGTGTAACCGAAGTGTGGTCCGTCCCATATGTAGGCACGGTTGTCAATGGTATAGTAAATGCCGGAAGTATCAAGACGGGCGAAGCTGTTCTTTTGGGCCCAGATCCTAATGGAAATTATCAGAACACGATCGTCAGAAGCATGCAGCGAAAGAGGTGTGTTTATTTCTCTGCGTTGACACCTGGGTTTTTCTCGTTACGATGGAACGTCGATGAACTGAATTAATGTTCTTCACAGGGCCGACGTCACTATGGCAGAAGCTGGACAGTGTGTATCTCTTGCGCTGAAGCGTGTGAGAAGGGCGACGGTACGCAAGGGTATGGTCATAGTGCACAGGACAGACACTCCTCCTCGAGGTAGGTTACAAATAAAATATCCTGATATTTACCATATCAAGGGCTTTTTCTTGTTAGCGATACGTCAGTTCGAGGGTCAGGTCTTGATCCTTTAGTACGTCTTCCTTCAATTCTGGTGGGAGTACTCATTGATGTGTCATAGCCACAACACCACATTGCAACGGAACTATCAGGTTCGTAATGTCCGCATGCAGTTGTATAAAGTTCTCAATCTAGTCCTTATGCTAGGCCATGCTTCACTGTGGGGTACGTTATAGAATCTATAAATGAAATATCTGGCCTAATTCATCATAAATTCGACAAGGCGGTGCGCCAGACAGTCCGCATCATCGAAATGGACCACCCACAGGGTGTCCTGCGTACAGGTGATCGAGCGACTGTGCAATTTGAGTTCATCTCGCATCCCGAGTTTATCAAGGAGGGTATGAAGCTACTATTTCGTGAGGGCAAGACAAAAGTGAGTACATCATTTTATTAGGATTTATCCCGTACTGAAAAGACCTTCCAGGGTCTTGGTGTGATCACTCGACTACTATGATTTTCCCAATTACACTGTGTCGGCGTGTGCTATATTTCGGTTTCCTGACCCTTCAATCTATCATGTCATTTTTCGGATTGCTTGTACTGCACGCTTCACGACGTGCATCGCCGTGTGGCGTCAATAAAGCACGCCGCTTATTATCTCTTTAATGTCTTGTAAAACTTTGACCGGAAATCCAAGCAGTGTAAGACAGAGAAGCGAGTGTAAAAAGCAATTAACACAAATAATCAACAGGAACAAGTGTCATAACGAGAGCTAAGAGCAATACGAGATCGTTTAACACGTGGCTTTTTGACAGCTTTTCCCCGAGAGCTTGACTTTGGCTTTTTTGCTGGAGGTGAGTCATAAGCGTTGCTCGTGCTTTTCCTTTTCTTACGCCGGTGTTTCGGGGGATTTGGGTGTTTTTTGTAGTGAACAAATTTTTCGTACCATTTTTTTTTGATATCCAACGCACTGCATGATTGAAAATCCTATAATAATTCTCCCGTCCAATAACGCAGACCGATTAGGTTTACGCCCCATCACTGCGACCTCCTCAGTCCTTTGACCCAGGTGGTCAAAAGACCGGGGGGAAACATGCCAAGATGAGACGGATTTATCCCTCCCGTACTTTTAATATCATAGGTGCCGCAATATTGCCAGTGATTTGCCTTCTCCGCAACGATGAAATCGATGGGTTCGCGTACTGGAACATCATCACCATATTTCTCGAATGTCTTAAAAACGACACCATGAGCGCCTGGCGTAAATGGAAACTGCGAATTCCACGACCGTTTGAAGGTAACACTGCGACATCACTGCGACATGAAATTATTGATCAATGCCAGAAAATTTAAGCACATAGAATCCAAAACCTCACTATGGAAATTTTTGTCGGATCACGTTTTTGCCAGTGATGAAAACATTCTTGATGCCCTCCACCAAGGGCCTATTCAGTGATATAGCCAGCTAGTAAAGGTGTGGTACCGATACGATGCGCAAACTACTTTACTTGCATCACTATTCACTTTCCTGGAAAACCCGGCGTGGAAACCTTCTTCGACCTTTATAGGGGATCCGAGATCAAAACCATCGAGATTTCGCTTTTCGTGAACGATACGTGCTTGGATTCATCAGAGTGGTCCTCTGATTTGACAACCACTGGAACAAGGTTTTTTTGGCCGTCGTCTGGTGTCGGCTCACGCTTTACTCTCGGAACATGGGGCGTGCCAGACTCGTGCTCTACAATGCTGGATTCATCCTCGGATGTGACAGGCATTTTGACACGTTCTTGATAGTCTTCGCTGTAAGAATTATCCAGAAATGCCTGAGGACTGGGTGGAACTTGATGAATCGATGTGTCGCGACCAGGGACGTTGGAAACTGTTGGAGTTGATTCAGCGTTTGGCACTTCATTCGTGATATTAGAGTCCATTTTCATAGGCTAACTATCCTCCTCCAACTCCAGAAATTCTGGTGATAGAGAGGGCGTACCACCAAAAGTCCTACCAATGAGTCAATTTTAACTTTCGAGTCTTCTTCCTCTTTCTTCTCAGCTTTTATAGCCGGTCCGAGGTCAACTTCAATACTTATTTGGGATTCAGTTTTGACGAAATTCTGGTGTTGAACAAGCATTCACTAACATTAGTTACCTGTACTGCATGCGATCAAGCACATTGAGCGTACCTTCTTATTGCCACCTGTAGCTAGCTTCAACGCCTCTCGCAGCTTCACAATTTCGGTTTTATACGAAGCACATTCTGCCAACATATTTTCATTCTCTTTCTGATATTTTTCTACCTGTTGAACCAACTGTTCTTCCCGTTTTCGCATTTCGGCTGTTCTACGATTGAGAAATTTCTTCATTTTTTGTGCTTTCGTGTCATGATTGCGTTCTGATTCTGAGTCGGAAATCTCGATGACTTCATGATTATTCAGAGAGTTTTTGCTCGTAGCTCGAGAAAGAACCATAGAATATTTTTGTAGACAAATGTCCTGGAAGTAGGAAAAGTAAAGCAGACCTATATAGTTTGGTTGGGTTGCCGTAATAACTTTCATGTCAAATTTCATCACAGTACGCATGTCCCACAAATCAAGTTTTCTTGATATATATCAGAAATTGTACCATTAGGTCGTGAAGGATGCCTGATTCTATTATGCCAAACAGATGTAAGTATGTGCGTGAAGATCTTTCAATTATGAGGTGATGTTAGACTGTGATCATATCATGTCGCAAAAGTAGGAGCAAATATTGGTATGGTGAAAGGTTCTAAATCCAGAGTCGCCAGCGACAACTTTGACAGCGACACAATTCGCAGCTTATGGCTCCTTGAAAATACCACGAGTGGGCGTCCTGGGGCTCTTATACCTTCCAGCGAATTAAATCCGAGGTACTTGCTCGCATACCTACGGGAATTATTCGTCTTCAGAATCGAACTCGTCTTTGGTATCCGAATCAGATGTATCAGAATATTTGATGGCCGTACGTCCAGATCGCCCCTTCGACTTTTTTGCGGGAGGTAAGCCTTTAATATTAGTCGTACCTTTGCTTTTCTTCGAGTGCTTCGGTGGCTTAGGATGCGCTTGGTAACGGAGGAATTTTTCATGCCAGTCGGTACGATATCCCACACACTTCATTATGGTGAAACTCATAGTTATCCTGCCATCCAGCAGCCCTGCGCGTACACCTTCATCTGTGGTGTCATCAACGAGATCAACCTTGATACCAGTATTTTCAGCTTGTTCCATAAGTTCTTCGTTTATTTGACATAGCCAAGTCTTCCCCCACTGCGATCCACGTACTCCCTTGACCCATGTTGATAAGACAAAAGGGGACAGCATATTGAGGTGGGCTGGCAAGATGGCTCCGGTACGTGTTACCTCATATGTGCCGCAATACTGCCAGTAATTTGCCCGCTCTCCGACGATAAAGTCGATGCGCTGACGATTAGAGGAAGTAAGGGGAGCAGCATAGCTAAATGACGCGAACACGACCCCATGCTCTCCTGGCTTGGTGGGGAGCTGTAGATTCCAGGAACGATTGAAAGAAGCACTGCGGGTAAAACATTAGTAACATAGCATAGAGTAAGCCGATTGACAGTTGATCGTGCTAAGGGACTTTCGTTTCATCGTGATTATGCCAGTTATGAAAGCATCCCATCATAGCTCCCCCAAGCGCCTGTTTAACGAAGTACATGACGATCAATTCGTAGAAAAGTGGGAAATCTTTTGTATGGAAACATTTAACGTACGTCGCTTATGACTTTCCTCGAAAACCCTGCGCCAAAAGTATCTTCGACTTTGATAGGTGGGCCAAGGCCGAAGTCATCAAGGTTCCAGAGATCTGATTTTCCATCCTCACTTTTCGTGCATGACACATTCTTCACCTCGTCGGGGCTGTTATCTACCTTGACGAGAACTGAGATAAGTTTGGTATTGGGCTGTTATTCTGCATCAGCCATTCTGCATGTTGCAATAGTTGGATGGAATATTTTACTGGTAGAAGATCACTCGTCTCGACTTTCATGGATGTAGCAGGGGGCTTGACGCTGACACTTGACCTGGACTCAATTACAGTCAGCTTTTTCTGGCGAGAGAAGCGTCAGACATGTATACCACAAGTAAAGCAAGACCGTAAAAATACCTCTTCATCGTCACCTTGACTCGTAAGCTGTTTTAAAGTGATCTGAAGTCTCTCTATTTCGATTTTCTGAGACACACACTTTGCTCTGAGGCTTTCGTTCTCTTTCTGGATCTTCTTGAGTTCGTTGTCCAAAAAGTTCTCTGATGTCTTCTGGTGACGACGAAGTTTTGACTTTCGTTCAAGTTGCTCCCGCTCAGCTTTGCGTTTTGTTATATCAGAGTCCGAATCTGATATGACAATAAACTCGTTATGACTATCCTGAGCAAATGCGTTAACCATGGTTTGAGTACTTATGAGTGAGGAAAAGTAGGTAGAGGGTAAAGCGAGCCCTTGCGGCACTCGGCAACAGATGACGTTGTTCACTTCAACTTTTGGAACACAGAGGTGTGGCGGTGAAGCGCAGCTGACATGTTCTCTCGTTCCTATCAACCTGTTTCTTCAGACGACGCAGATACCAGCATCAAGCCCGCCTCTCGTTTCTCTCTTCGTAAAATATTACTCTTGATTATAGCCTTCTGTCTCTTTGCATTTGGACTCTACAAGACTAGCCAGTGGGCTCGAACTTATTACAGCACACCACAGAGCGCTCCTATTCCAGAATCTGAACAAGACTCCACAGACTCCAAGGAAAATAACAATCAAGAACTACCACAAGTCTCAACGGACGACACAGAAATGTCAGGTCAAGGAAAATACAGTGTCGGATAGTGAGCAGCATTTCAATGTTCCAAACATCACTGGATTGTTAACAACTTGTCGCCATTCCAGCTTTGTTAATTGGTATGTTTATGATATATACTTTCTCCCATACCTCTGACACAAGATAATAGGGGAATATATGCGCGCAAATTCCCTCCTTCGTCCATTCCTGTTCAAGACCTTACGTGCGCATTCTTCATGTAGTTAGTTCATTTACCATTAACCTAATCATCCTTTAGACATATCCTATATGCATTTGCAAACATAAGACCTGAAACTGGAGAAGTTTTCTTATCAGACGTATGGGCTGATAAAGACATACACTACCCTGGGGATTCCTGGAATGACGTCGGCAACAACCTCTATGGCAATTTCAAAGCCATTTACAACCTCAAGAAACAGAACCGTCACCTTAAAGTGCTACTTTCTATAGGGGGGTGGACTTATTCACCTTCTTTCCATCCTGTTGTTGTACATCCCGCGCTGCGTGCAAACTTTGTCCAGTCTGCGATCAAATTGTTGGAAGACTATGGATTAGATGGTCTGGACATCGATTATGAATATCCTTCCAATGATAGCCAGGCAAGAGGTTACGTTGATCTCCTGAGGGAGCTCAGGATAGGCCTCGATCGGCATGCTTACAACAAGAGCGCCGACTATAAGTTCCTCTTAACAGTGTGTCTTAATTGATGTTAATGCGCACTATAATTCTCATTCATTTTGCCACTTCCACAGATTGCTGCGCCTTGCGGGCCTGACAACTACCAGAAGCTTCATGTCCGCGAAATGGATCAATATCTCGACTTTTGGAACATGATGTCATATGATTTCTGTACGTCTGCATATGTGCCAACCTTGCCCGAAATCTGACGTTATCTCCAAAGCTGGATCATGGGATCAAGTAGCCAACCACCAAGCAAACGTATACGGTGGATCCATCAATGCCTCTCAAGCTATATTTTGGTATATCAACAACGGTGTTGCCCGCCATAAAGTCATCATGGGCATCCCTCTTTATGGGCGAAGCTTTGCAAACACAGAAGGGCCAGGCACTCGGTTCTCAGGAATGGGACCTGGAAGTTGGGAGCAAGGCGTGTATGACTATCGCGTACTGCCGCTTCCCAACTCGTACTTGTTCCGGGATGAACAGATGTTTGCAAGTTGGTCATATGATTACCAGAAGAAGGAGATGGTGAGCTTTGACAGCGATGAAGTTGCAGCATGGAAGGGAGAGTTTATCCGCCGCGAGGGCCTCGGAGGAAGCATGTTCTGGGAACTGAGCGGCGACAAAGGGCCCCCTAGGGAAGGTATGGAAGGAGGGCCTGGCAAGGATCCCGTTCCAGGAAGAAGCCTGGTAAGGGTCGTCAAAGATGCGATGGGTGGTTTAGACTGGGCCCCCAATTGGTTGAGGTACGAATGGAGCGCGTTCGATAACATGAGGAATGGGATGTCGTAAGCAGAGAGCTACAGAATTACATGGACTCATTTTGCATTGTACTGTATTCCAAGGACCCGAGATTTGTATCCACTACTTTTATTGAATGACTTTTTTTAATTATGAAGAACGACTCAAACGTTTACAGGTAATGTGTTATCATAGGACGCACACATTGAATACGGCATATGATACGCTAACTCGTCGGGTTGCAATGAATGTGATACAATTGTATATATACAATTCCCAGGTAGGTCAAGGCTCATAAAACTTGCCCTATACAGTACCTGTCAAATTACTATGTGTGTGAAGGATTCTCTAGGATTGCGCGCAACGGCGACCGTGCAGGAACTTCGGGTATCGTGCTGTTACTGACTATAGAGTGCATAGCCGGAGACTCTGATATAGATGAAGAGTGCGAGTGCCAAATATTCAATGGTACGACGGTGGGGTATTGAACAGGAGAGCCAAGAGCTGGACTGGTAGGGACAGCCTCTTTCTCCCTGGGCGTGACTCCCGAAGTGGATGATAAGGACGCTTCATATGTGGTAGCATGAGAATGTCGATATAGAGTCAACAGATGCGCCGGCTCTGGCAAAAGGACAGGAGAAGAGCTACGGGAGAGCTCGGGTACAGTAGCTAGCTGAGAACCGGATGGCCGGCGTTGAGAGTGTGGTTTCCAGTGCAGGCTTGGGGCTGTCCCTGCCACCAATTGACCTCTACTTCCCCAAGTAGAAAGGCGAGATGCACCTAATTCATTCACCGGAGACAAGGTACTACCTGCAATTACGTGTGAAGATGACATTGGCGATGTTGGGGATGAGCAGGATTTTGGCTCGGATAGGAAAAAGTCCTGTAGTTCGACAGGAGCGGAGGACGTGGTGTAAATGCTGACCGTGTCTAAGGAGCGTGGCCGTCTCAGTGATGACGCGACATGAGATGGAAGCACTGGAGACAGGCCGTCTGGAGAAGGAACTGACGAGTCGAGGGATATGGAAGTATTACGCCTGTCTCGTGAGTGGGAAGATCTGTCCGAGTGTCTCCTCGGGAGTTCTGTGTACGTAGTATCGGATGAAGAAGAACTCGGGCGACTAGTGCGGCTGGGTGATGCGCGTGGACGAGGCATGAAAGCATCGTGCATCGATAGGACTGCCTGCTGGTACGTGGGAGGTAGACTCGTGCTGGGGGGTGGGGACACAGTGCCGTCAGAGGAGCCTTTCCTCGCCAGAGGCGGTGCGTTAGTGGCAGGCCTTAACGAGAGGTAACGTGGTGACCTGAATATGATCCAGCAAAGGATGATAAAGATGTTTAGGCCTATAACCCCTGCGACAACATCCACGACGACGGATGACGAGACTGATCCATCTCGCTTCGATAACAGCTGCTGAAACTGGGGTTAAAAATGAGCTATATTATCTTGTCTAAGGTATTCACCTCATTGGGGGGAGCCATCTGTGGGGATCCTGAACCTCGAGCGCGGTCGAGGGTTGGAAAGAGATTCAAGTTGGACTCGGCAGCCAGAGAAGAGCAACCAAAGACCTAAGTATGTATTTATGCTGGCTGTGGGGCCCCATCAGAGACGAATGCCATATGCTCATCGGATGAGAATACGAAGCACCATGAGATGCTGGTTACATATGATCAGGTTAGCACCTGTGAAGGATGCAAAGAGTGGAATAGTTTGCCGACGAACAGATAAGATGTTGATTATTCCCACCACATGTAATTTACTTGTATTGGCCACATGGTATGGCAACGACCTAAAACGAGCCGCCATAGTAGAGAATAAACTCTTAGCTCAAGGACATGGGCAACTATAATATACAACTAACCTAGATGCGAGTCGTTAAGACCCCACGTCGACCTATAGGGAGTATGTTATTAAATAATGTGGACATTGCGCTGCACTCCGCGTGCATGTGGTACATGGAGTCAGTAGACGAAAGTTCCGACTCTTCCGCTTGCCAGCGATCGACTGCCCGAATTAGAATAAGGTGAAGCAGACAAATTGGGCACCCCATGCATTATACCGCATCCATTCGACTATGATAGTTTTGACGAGTGTACCAGAGTAAACATGATCTCTCTCTTGTGCCATAGAGGTAGTTTTCTGGAGATAGTTATAAAAGACTTGATTTAATACGACAAAAATAAGCGACGCAATTCCAACAAGAAAAAATATCATGATGTAATGCAAAGGCTGCCTTGAATGCAGGAGACTTGGGTGAATGTCACGGTGAGGACAGACCTGTCACGGTCCACGGCGTGACCGAAATTTCCTTTCCTGTTTTAGGCAACAGCCTTGCAAAGGGCTTTTTTGAATTTTCACTGGCATGCAGTTCAGCGCTTTTCTTCTGGTCCACTTCCACCACATTGTGCACGACATCCGTCGCTGCCTTTTGTTTTTCTCTTCCAATCTTTGAACCAAAGGGAAACCATCATTGTCTCAACTAGAGAATCTCAGAAATTGTATACTCTAGATTCATCCTCTCTCCACTGTTGTACTCCCGTACTCTCATCATAGACTTAGAACGACCTCTATCATCAGATTCATTTCTAATCACAATCATCCTCGAGGATCTGCATACGACTATATCACCAATAATGTCTCCTGCTTCCGTGCCTGTTACCTCGGATTCCGAGTTCGTACCAATCCTAGAAGCCTTGCGAAAAGCGCCTACAGGTCCAGGTTCGTAATCGTGACATTTTGCTAGTCTATATACTCAAAGCCTATAGATGCCAAGGCTGCTGCAGATAAATTAGCTCGCACAATATCAAAATCTGGTTTAGAATGCCTCGCGTCCGTTTATCCCAGCTAAAGCATCATAATGTGTGCTAATTTGGTTGATCGCAGCGATAACGATGTATTATCGTCCCTCCAAGCTTTTGCTTTGAACAAAAAGTCGGGGTATGAGCGTGAATCGGCTGCAATTGCGTATCAGTCACTCCCTGTTGTCCTCGGAGCTCCTTGTGCCCCTCTACTTTTGCCCAGTCTTCCTATTCTTTTTGACCTCTTTGCGGATAAAGGAGAGGTTGTCCGTCTAGCAGCGGCTGCGTCTACCAAAGCGATACTACAGCTTTTACCCCCGGAAGCAACTAGAACCGCATTCAGGAATCTGGAGGAAATACTAGACAAGGGGAAATGGCAAACGAAAGTAGGCGCCTTAGATGCACTTAAAGTTTTCGTGGCGACTGCTAGGGATGCAGTTGCTGACGAGCTTGGCCATATTCTTCCAAAAGTCGAAATAGCAATGCACGACACTAAGAAAGAAGTATGTGGTTCTTTCACCACAGAAAATCGAAGGTACTAACATTGGTATAATCAGGTATCCACCGCGGCGATAAAATGTGCCACATCGCTATGCACAACGCTTGCGAACGCTGACCTCGCCCCCCATATTCCTGCTCTTGTCAAGTGTATGTCAAATCCTGATGCGGTTCCAGCATGCATCAAAGCACTCTCGTCCACGACATTTGTCGCAGAGGTTACGGCACCAGCATTGGCTGTCCTCGTCCCTCTTCTTATCCGTGGCTTGAACGACAGGAGTATGGAGGTGCAGCGTCGAACAGTCGTCGTCGTAGACAACCTTGTCAAGCTCGTGAGAGACCCTACTGTTGCTGCAAGATATCTCAGTCCGCTTGTAGACGGTGTTGAAAAGATTGCCAAAGGTGCCGCTTTCCCGGAGGTATGAATAAGTAATATCTTTTTTGTTCCGATAGTTTGACCGCATATAGGTTCGCGCCTTTGCCGGAACTGCTCTCAATACGTTATTAAAATCTGGAGCATCATCATCCGGCTCCCCTCCTGCTCGTGATCTCGATGGAGAAACATCTGAAGTTTACACTGCCTTACTTACTCTACTTCCGCTGGATCTCGCATTGGCTTCCGCGACTCCTAACGGCCCCAAATCACCCAGACATCCTCTCGTTGCACGCTCGTTGGAGTTCCAAGCTTCGCTAATCGTAGATCTCGTTTATTTCAGGCGGTTCCAAAACAAAGAAGCATGGCAGCGTTGCATTGGCGTGTACTTGACGCCCTGGTTGGGTGCGGACGACTCGGCGACCTTTGCAGAGGCAGTCCGGTCACATTTCCACGCTATCGATCAGGTAATGGAACATATAGGCTGCAATGCAATGTAGCTAATCTTCAATTTCAGGCTAAAAATGCTACCACTCAAAATGGTGCTGATGGTGAAGGCGAGCTCTTGTGTGATACACTGTTTTCACTTGCATATGGTGCCCTGTTACTTCTTTCACATACGACACTCAAGCTTTATCGTGGGCGCCGCTATGGTATCCTTGGTACAAATGGTTCAGGAAAGTCCACGCTTATGCGTCAACTACGAGACGGCAAAGTCGAAAATTTTCCACCACAAGATCAGCTTCGGTGTGTAATGGTGGAGCATTCTCTTCAAGGCGAAGATGCTTCCCTTTCTATCCTAGATTTCATCGCTTCAGGTTTGTAGTCGTCTTTCTGCGTCGTTATGAACAATATTTTAACCTAGGAGATATAGATAAGGCCTTGGCAGATGTCCCCCGGACCAAAATTCGTCAACAACTGTTAGAGGTTGGTTTTGATGACACACGCCAATCTGAAACAGTTGGTGGACTATCTGGCGGCTGGAAGATGAAACTCGAGCTCGCGCGTGCGATGCTTTACAATGCCGACCTCCTTTTACTCGATGAGGTGGATTTCTCATATGTTTATGATCTCGACTTATCAACTTACCATTCAACGGTACATTACAGCCTACTAATCACGTAAGTATTCATTCCGGCGTTTCTCGCATGATCATTATTCTTATTTCTCGGTGATTAAGTTGGACCGTGGTTCTGTGAAATGGCTAGAGCAATATTTAATAGCTAACAAGAACGTTACCTGTTTGATTATCAGTCACGACTCTGGGTTAGTGAATTCTCCGTGCAGTTCTTGTAGATGGACAATGACGTTTGCGTGTCAGTTTCCTGGACAATGTTACAACAGACATCATTCACTATGAAACCAAAAAAGTCAGTTTCTCATCTTCCTTGGTATAACTCTATTGATAGCGGTGTATGAGTAGCTTGTGTATTATCCCGGCAACCTATCGACCTTCGTCGAGAAACATCCAGAAGCCAAATCTTACTATACTCTTGCCGCGACGTCCGTCAAATTTTCTTTCCCCCCACCAGGGTCTCTTATGGGTGTCCGGAGCAATACTCGCGCTATTATGAAGTTATCCAACTGCACTTTTACGTATCCCGGTAGGCCCGCTCCTAGTTTGCATAATGTCAGCTGTGCACTCTCACTATCGAGGTCTGTTTAATTCCCGCACTTATGTATTCAGGAACATTAATATTGTTTTATCAGCCGGGTTGGCGTAATTGGCCCCAATGGAGCGGGCAAGTCGACGCTCATCAAACTGTTAACGGTATGTTTCCATCATGATAAGGGTAGTACTAAGGCTCATCTCAAAATCAAGGGTGAGACTATTCCGCAAGAAGGCGCGGTATACAAACACCCTGCTCTTCGGGTGGGTTACGTTTCGCAACACGCAACCCATCATATTGGTAAATATTTCCCCTTTGAGCCTTCCTTTGTACTAAGCGGTTTTTTCGCCGAATCAGAACGTCATCTAGAGAAGACGCCTATAGGTTACATTCAATGGCGATTCCAGGACGGTCATGATCGTAAGCATTGTATTCGCTTGAAGTCGATTGATGTAAACGTAATGTTATCAAGGTGAACTTTTGGAGAAGGCTACTCGTGTCTTAACTGATGAAGAAAAGGCGGTCCTCGATCAAGAATGGGTTGGTAGAAATGGCACTAAGCGTAAATTGGAGGTCGGTCAAACTTTGATTGGTAAATGATTAGCACCTATGGCTAAATTCCCTCCACAGCTCGTAATGGGGCGTCAAAAGTTGAAGAAGACATTCCAATATGAGATTAAGTGGCGTGGGCTTGATCACAAGTTCAATACATGGGTTCCACGGGACGAGCTACTGGCGAAAGGCTTCACCAAACTAGTCCAACAATTCGACGACCTCGAGTCATCAAGGGAAGGTGCTGGCTCCCGCGACACCTCTGCACTCCTTGTACGGAAGCACCTGGAAGACATCGGTCTTGATGGGGATATAGCGCAATATAACGAAATATCAGGCTTATCTGGGGGTTATTGTTTGTTTTGCTTTGAAACTATCCTCGAGCTTACTTCTGTTTTTTCACAGGACAAAAAATAAAGTTGGTGATAGCTGCTTGTCTTTGGAATAATCCTCAGGTAATTCATTGATACGGTCATTACTCGAGATGCATAGTGCTAATATATAAAAAGATCTGTGTTCTTGACGAGCCGAGTAATTTCCTCGATCGCGAAGCCTTGGGCGGTTTGGCCGTGGCAATAAAGGAATGGGCTGGTGCTGTTGTAAGGCACATGAGTTCAAGCTTGTGTTCATCATTTGACGGTGTTCCATCTATAGGTGATCATCTCACACAATGAAGAATTCGTGACAGCTCTATGTGAGTATTCAATTACTCTGCAGCCAAGCTTCTGTCAAACTTCTGTTAGGCCCTGAGATCTGGCACATAGAAGCCGGACGTATGACTCACAAGGGAAAAATTGCCGTTGTCGAGGATGCTTTCGCTGACGTCAAATCACCTAAGGGAAGCGGTGCGAATACCCCCGCTCGATCACGAGTACAGAGTCCCGCTGTTTCGATACACGGAACGCCTGTGGGAAGTGGAGCGGAAGATGGCGGTATAACAAGGGCCCCCATAAGGAAAAAGAAGAAACTCACGCGAAACCAAATGAAGGTTCAGGAGGAGCGTAGGAGGTTGAGGAAGTTGGCATGGCTTACTCATGGTGGACCAAAACCCGAGGACACGGACAGTGAGGTCGAGCTCTAACACAAAGAGTATGATGTCAAAAGGACGGGCTTTGATAGATCGCAGGTATCAGGGGTCTCGTGTTTGGCTAAGTAACACTTCGCCAAGATCTGAGATCAGATAGCCTATTATGCAGCCTATGATTTACTTCCGCTCCAGAAAACTCTGAGGACATGTTGAGCTGATGCAAGGTTACCATTTTTCCAGTTGAATCGCGACCCTTTGTGGGTAAGACATGTCACAAGGGGTGCAGCAGGAGAGGTTCACGAAACTTGAAGCTTGAAGACTATTGCAACGTGTACGGACACAGCTACGGCATGCTTTGATGAAGTTCACCGGAATGCAGTGGGGTAAACCATTCCAAGTAGCCTATTGTAATCGTGTTTATGTAAGATGGGCCTTCTCCGACTATTCCTATTCCCTGATCTTTTTCCATTTTTTTTGTTACAAGAGACCTACTAGATTGAGCCTGTCCGAATATCCGAATCACCGTTCCATCTTATGTACGGCCGGTAACAGATGAAGTCATTTAACGCATGGTGCAGCAACGAGGAATCAGTAGTTGTGAGTTATCCGTATTCATGAGCATCTGTGATCAACGAATTTCGTGATCCTAAGTCGTTATCTGACCTTTTATACAACAACAACCTAGGAGCTCTGTCCGACGCAAACGGCCTTCCTTCCGAGTCTGGCGCTCTAATAATTGATAGGGGAGAATGTATGCACTGTCATGTCGATGCAAGACGGGCACGCGACATTGTGACATGCCTTGACTAACGCCCTTCCACTTCCGGACACGGTGAATTCAATGTATTCCAGTACGCAGAGATAGCAAATCAGTACTTTAATCAGTCGCAAACAGCATTCTCCTAGTTCTGCTATCGTATCCATCATCCAGTCGTCGTCAAGCCGGGATTCATAAAGGATTCATAAAGCTATATAAATGTTGTGGTCGGAGATAATCAGGTCATTTATATGCAGGAAGACGCGAGTTCATGGGTGTTCTAGAAGCGGCCACCTTAGCGGCTTTTGAGCGCTGGCTGAGGGAAACTTGCCTAGCACCCGCGCATTTATATTCCGAAATAAAGAAAGTTTGGACAGCCTATACGAACGGGGCGATCGTGCGTGGATCGCAATCTTTCGACACACAGATATTCAAGGTCTAATCCAGGTAGAGAACCATTTTAGTGGATATTAATCATGATTTTTTTTTGTAAAAGTAAGAACGTATGTTTTCCAGTGTTTTAATCCGAAGTGTATTCACCAATTGTCCAATACTCGTGCCACTTCGAATTCTTCCAGGAAGCACATCTAGGCTCGAGTCATTCGTCCATGTGTTTGCTGCGTAATCATTTCATTACCTCGTGTCGGGGTTATCTCAAGTCAGCGCCCACAACTGGCCTGAACTATTTGTGAGTACCTCGAGTTAAGCCTTATCGTCACATCTAGTTTACAACTCTGCATAAGTTCTAAAGGGCAATACTGAGCAAAGGATGGACCCTTCTGATGAGTTTATACACACGTACCCCAGTATGGAACACGTTTCATCATCATGGTACTGTCAATCGGTATATTTGATCTAGATAGTCCTTCGTTTGGGAAAAACGTCCCAGACAACCATAGTTCGGCATAGAAGGAGAGGCGAAAATTTGTTAGCCATCAGAGGTCACGATTGTATAACAGTTTCTCGACCTCGAGAAGCTTACAGCCTCGTGGAAGCGTTATCGATTGCCCTGTTCCCTTTGATCCTCGTATCAGTGTTGCATGCCAGCATCTGCAATGGACTGGCAGATATTTTCGGAATACCCACCATTGTGTTTCGAAGGGGCAAACTTCCAATGCGATTGAACGGATGAATCGGAATGTATATACAGTGCCACTCACCGCGGAGATCCGCAGCGGAGGTAGGCCAGTACAGAGTAGACCGCTATAACTACTTGATTTGTGAAAATATAGAAAACAATAACAACATAAGTACATAAAAAATACTGCGACGAGTTTAAGTAAGATGAGAGTGCGATGCGAGCTGAAAACAATCTTGTGGGATAATAGTATAGGAATAGATGTTAATATGGAAGAATTAAGGGTCAGGTGTAGATTACTAGATTCGATAATCATGATGAATGAGACACACGCTATTGCACAGATAGTAAGACGATGTAATGAATGTATGGATATCTAGCGCCCAAACGACACAGATCCAGATGAAGTGACGATCAACTGTCGTCCAAATCAGTATCCACGTGCAGACCATTTACGAGGATCTTCTTCGTCACTCCTGCGACGATGAGAGACTATTGGTGACTGACTGGCGTGGACGGATGCCCGATTTTCCTGAGGAGAGCGTGGCAGATATGTTTGGCCGGAAATAGTCGAACCCATGCTACCACCGCCGTATCCGCCAACAGAAGGGTGTGACAGGTCGTCCGATTGTGAGGTCATCGAGAAAGGCTGATGTGAAGAGGATGTCACAGAAGTAGATGACTGGCGACTAGTTTGCCTCATCGATTGCCTCTTGTTCTGAAACCTGTGAAAAGTTCAATGATCAGGCACTGATAATAGACAAACGCCAATACCATATCTGCACACTCCTTGCCGACATATCGAGCTTCCTAGCCAAGTCAGCACGCTCCTCGGTCGAAGGAAAGGCTGTACGATTATAGGTCTCATTCAAAACTTTGAGCTGCGCAGCATCAGCTCGTTTTCGTTTTTTCTTGATGACGGGCTCATCTGTACCCAGTACTGATACAGGCTCCTGAGTGATCGCCGTGTTTGTCAAAGAAGGATGGTGATTCCGGGCGTAAGGTGAAGTACCATGAGCCTCGATGTGTGATGGGAGACCTCTTTCAGTTGAATATGCCCCCATCGAGATTTGTTGGGCATGGTGTACCGATGACATCTGATTTGGATGGCTGCGTTGGTCGGGAACGGGAGGATATGAGTATGACGTCTGGTGTTGGTGTTGCTGCTGTTGCTGATACGAAGCATATTCTGGAGGATAAGTTGCTGTCGGTGACCGAATTTCACTGTAACCAGACATATGAGTCGGCATGGGACCAAATGCGGCAGCTTGCCATCTGTCATCCCTGACAGTAGAAGAGGGCACATTTAGTGGAGGTAATTTGCGAGAAGTATGTGCATCTCCAGGAAGCGTTGGCGGAGTCCGAGAGGAGTACGATGGGTATGTTTGTTGCGAAGGGTATCTAGAGTCGCCATGCTCGTAGTAAGTGGGCGAATGTTGCTGTGCCGCTGGAAGTGTCGACGAGTTTATTAAACATAAAGTATTAAAGGCTCAATATAGAACATAATCTCGCTAAAAACGCAAAACGCACGAGCAGTATTTGACCATTGACCGTACAAAGACGCATTATGATCGCTTCTTACTTGAGATGAACGTGGCTGCAAATACTGGTTAGAATAATTGCTGGGAGCTGTACATGGGAGCCACGAAATTGAGCATATTGCATGAACACCACGTAGAAGAACAGACCTGGAGAACGTGAGGTTGGAAAAGCTGAATCAAGAGGAGGGAGCACATATCGCCCACCCTGTCCCTGAAAAACACTACTTTGAACATCCCCCCCAGGAGGGCTTTTGCGCGATTTCCCAAGGCTTCCGTAAAAACGATCGTCCCTCGGGTTCGTCATAGTAAGTTAAGCAGATAGGCAAAAGAGGAAAAAGAAAATTATTGTAGAATGAAGAAGTTTTTTGTGGATATAAGTATGAAGAGGCACGCGGCACTGAGCATGTATGTCAATGGCTGACGAGGGCAAGAGGGGCTTGCGGCAGAGGCTATGAACTTGCACAGATCAATCAGGGACGGCTAGTGAACGAAGAGGGCATGTAGACGCGAATATGAGACAACACGAGGTAAGGCGTGTAACTGGGCAAGGGTGAAATGAACACGAGTATGATGTCGTGTTTAAATGTCTGCGGGACAGGATCTTCTAAAAGTTGCGTCGGAGGTGGGCGCCAGGATGATGTATACATTATATAGCTGTGACATTATTGTTTAGAATGACCGTGCTTGTATGTAACAGAACAATCTTCGCGGCCTTCAATACACCAGGCCGGGCTCCAATCGAGGACAAACGGACCGTAAAATCAACGGCAAGTACAACGCGGCGAAAAACGCTGTGTGTTCCTTTCTGCACGCGGAAATTGCATTGTGTCACGGTATATTGAGATTGGCTCGAGCCTCGTGTCACTGCGCAAGTCTGTAAAAACGTTTGCCTACTCCAGCCAGCCCCATCTTCCCACCGACGGAGAGGTCCGAATACTGGATTGAGTGCTATCAGTGATGTGACGGGTACGTACTTTCCGTTGTTTGAGAACTCGATAGTTGCCGTACAACCGGAAAGGGGGCGAGCAAAACCTTTCAACTTGAAGTGGCACACTAGACCATCCAAAGAAGACCATCCCAGACTGATCGGAGCTTCTCTCTCTCTCGCTTCACTGGGTTGGGCCTGATATAATCATAAAGGCCCCGATTTGGTAAGTTTCAATACCTCGTTCCTGCAGCATTCGGACAGAAAAAGAAGTCAAATCGCACTCGCAAGGTTAACGTTGTAAAGTAGTCAAAGTTCAAGCTTACTGTAAATATTGGGATTGATATGATGCGAGCGGGGTATATTAAATGTCATATCCAGCCCGATTCCTGCGATATAACTTACATGAACGTAGGTCATAATACATGCTTACAGGCCTATGGCATGCAATCAGGGTCTCAACATCACATTTCACGCCTGGAAGAAAAAGAGAAGCGAACGTTGTCAAGGATCTTGCCAGCCTCCGAGTTGCGTCGGCTTGTTCCTGCTTTTCCTGCAAGTGCGAAACCACGGCAGGGGAAGCTGTATGTAATGTTTAGCTCAGGATGGTCACAATGTGTGTTGTCCAAAAGAGATCAACACCTCGAGAATGTGCAAAGGCCGCCGCATCAATACCATCGTCGCTATAGTTATGCATGATGCCATGTTCGCCTTGTCCGTTCTTGAAAAGTTCTATTGCAAGTTCTTTGTTGAAGAAAGAGTTAGTTAGACTGAATCTTGATCGAAGTTCATTAATAATATATATCGTTGTCGGTGACTTCAAAATTGCACGTTTCACCTTAGAATTATGTACGTGCAGTAACCATGTTGACTGGAAGATCTACAAGCTTGGGTCACGGAAAATATTCTGTCACGTCTCAGGCCTTGTGTGACGTCGATAATGTGACACATCCCCTCTAGGATCGCTGTAATCAGGCCCAGGGTAATCGCAAGGTGGAAATTGAGACCAGTGAAAGCCATGGCTGCTTTCCCTCGTCCTCCCGACTCCACCCACAGCGACAACCAGGGGTTATCCAGAACGATATCCTGTCCCAAACGATGATCTCCACCCCACAGCAAATCCCAGTCAGTTCTCAGCTTATCCGTATCCTTCATATGGCCCTCCTTCACAAGATCCATACGAGGACGCAACAACAATGCTGCCTGCAGGGACTCTGCTACACAAGGGCTTTTATGATCTGCTCTCTATGATACCGACGCCCTCCCCGTCACGTCTGTTTTGGGGTACCGTACGAGCTCAAGCTCCACCTGCGGAGCCAACAGTGGTAGCTGGTCCTCGGTACGAAGACATTCCCGTGAAACCAGGACAAATATTTCCACCGCTCTCCAATACGCCTTTGCCCAAGAAGAATAGACGAATCAGCAAAGATATGGTATCTAAGCCGACAGGATTCATGTATGTCAATTTACTATTCGATTAACTTGGTCTCACATTCTAAACCACTATTCCTTATAGTCATCTAGTCCACGCGTCCGATGCTGACCAGGCAGAAGCATTGCTTACTCGTTGGGGTCCCGACGGCTTGGGAAAGCTTGGAGGTTAGCTCGGTTATTGGCATTCAATATAGTTTTATTCGACTTAAGTTTGTCTTTAGATCCGCGATGGGCTAATCCCATAAAGAATCGGATCCGTCAGGATAATCAAGCTAGAGCGATTAATGAAGTAGTTAACGCACTCAAACCATCTCAAGGCAGTGCTCCAGATGGTCGGCTTCCACCTCTCCGTGTGGTCAATGGTATGAGCACTACTACTTCGTCCACTATCACGACAGCCGCTCGAGAGAATGTTCGTATATCTCCAGTGGATGGTCTCCCTGGACGCCCGGGAAACTCCACAATCCGCTGGGGTGGTGGCCTCATGGCCCATCCTGAGGTCCGTGAACATGATGACCCGGTGACAGAGAGCAAAGATACCCCCGAACCCCTGCCTTCAAGAAAGCCGATCACCCCCTCCTTGGCTACTTTGGAGAAAGCTGTGTCCGCACGGATCTACTTTGAGAACCTGTATTTCCCACTTCTTCGGCAGCCTCCGTCTCGCGAACAAAGGAGAATTGCTATGGAGAAAGATATGATCGAGATGCATCTTAGTGAGGAGCAGAAAGAATATCTACGTGTCCGATGGCGACAGAATGAAACTGAGTATCTGCGCGAACGCCGACGTAAGGTAGATGTCACCGCTTTCATCAAATTGAAGACGATTGGTCACGGTTTGTACAATGCTCTACTATGTTTGTATATCAACGGTTGCTGAGTGACATCTGCTCTTGTTCCTGGCATAGGCGCTTTTGGAGTTGTTTCTCTCGTGAAAGAGCGAAGTACGGGGCAATTATTTGCCATGAAGCAGGTAGACTTCTCTTCATTTCGTCTTCATCCGGTCATATTAATTCCCAACGCGCTCATCTTAACTTTTATTTTTCCTCAAGTTACGGAAGACGGACATGTTACGTAAAGGTCAAGAAGGCCATGTTCGCGCCGAACGCGATATTTTGAAGTCTGCGTCCCTTGTTGCTTCGCCCAGTGGAGCAGAGTGGATTGTAAAGCTCCATTATAGTTTTCAAGATCGTGATAATCTCTATCTGGTCAGTATAGGCTGTGGAATTTCTACTTCATCCTTAAAAGGCCGCAGGAATGCCACTGATTTCATTTTGATTTCATTTACTAAAATAAACCTGACAGGTCCTTGAATACATGGGCGGAGGAGACCTCCTGAATCTTCTCATAGAACGAGATGTTTTTGAAGAGGATTTTGCTCGTTTCTATATTGCTGAGGTTGGCTTCTCCTTCTCTACCTTGCGAACAATTAAAATGGATAATAACATATTCATCGGGTAGATGGTTCTAGCCATCGAATCTTGCCACAAACATGGATTTATTCACCGAGACATCAAGCCTGACGTGAGTTATAAATTCCGACGATTTTGATATTAAGGTCCCACCATATGATAACGATGTTCATCTTTGTTCTTCTGATAGAACTTTCTGTTTGATCCGGAAGGTCACATCAGACTGAGCGATTTTGGTCTCGCGTCAGTTTTAGCCTCTTGTAGGGTAAACGCATTGTTCTCAACATATTCTTCGTTCCTCTTCTGAACAGCACCGATCTCCATTGGGCGCATGACACTTCCTGTAAGTACCCTGAAAATGAGGCTTTGCACGTTCCGTCTTGATCCTGGTGTTGTCCAGATTACGAACAGCAGCGGCGACAACTCCTGCACAAGCATGGAATAGACCTTGAGGATGGTAACGGCATGTCAGACGGAACAAGAACCAGACGCATGGATCGTAAGGATGTCGAGTTGCTTATGGGCGACGGCAACGGCCAAGGCGGTATTTTCACCTGGCGAGAGAAGAATCGTAGGAAGGTGCGTATCCTTTCAATCATTCATTTCCGCCTGCGTTTCACCATTCAGTCTGGGCTTCCAGCTCGCGTATTCGGTGTAAGTGATAGCAACGTTTTGCGGGTTGAGAAATGTACTTACGACTGCATCCGCAGCTGTGGCACAAACTCCTACAGTACGTGGTTCGGAAGGGTGTGCTTTTTTCAGCTTTTGACCCATTCCAGTGTCTCCGGAGGTGATTAGGGGCCATGGCTACTCTTTCTCTTGTGACTGGTGGAGCTTGGGCGTCATCATGTTCGAATGCCTGTACGGGTACGTGTCGGCGCTTCGGATAGCCGATAATGGACACATTGATAAGCTTGTCACTCGCATTACAGGTACCCGCCGTTCGTCAGTAACTCGGTGAGCTACGTTAGCGAGTACTCTTCCATTATTTGAACTAAACTGGCACTTTGTTCTACTTCGCAGCGCCATGTTACTCGACAGAAGATTCTCAATTGGAAACAATCCCTGAAATTTCCTTCTCGCCCTCGTGTGTCACACGAAGGAGTGAATTTGATGCAACAGCTTCTGTGTGAGCCTGAAGACCGTCTTGGCACACAAGCATCGGCATCAGTTTTCAGGCCGGACTCGCTCGCCGTTCATGGCAGGCGTAGTGTTTTTATGGTCCCTGTGGCCACAGCATCTGGGTCTTTGGATGGTGCTGAATTAATCAAAGTAAGTTCCATCCCATCTTTTGGAAGCCAGGGATTTCTAAAGTAGGCTTATCTTCAACAGTCTCATCCATGGTTCCGTGGTGTCGATTGGCAAAATATCCACCGCTATCCTGCACCCTTTCGCCCTGACTTGCACAACCCAGAAGACACCCGGCATTTTGATTCTGACATTCCCCCTGAGGTATGGAAGTTGCTGTTCCATTTTATTTGCAATGCTGACATTTGAAATTATGCTGCAGCCATTGGCCCCTGCTAATGGAGCGCCTGCTGATGCCACTAAAGATCCTCTTCTTCGGGACAAGGTTCACGGCGAGGAAATTCTCAACATGCGGAAAGCTTTAGCTTTTGCGGGCTTCACGCATAAGAGTCCTCGCGCCATCAGCTATGTCCGGGCTGACAAGGCCTTCGATCCACAGCCCGATACCTACGGACAAGAACAGCCTGAGCGAGGTCGATCGAAGTTTCGCAGCATACGCCAGGTTGGCACAGGTCGGGCGATCTCAATGTAGCATGTCTGTGTGCTGGAGCTCGATGATATTATCACCTATATGTGCGGCGTTGGTTTGTTTGTTTGCATAAGTGGCCCGCTTTTACCATCTTAACTCTAGGACTGCCACGATGTACGTTGTTTCAGAAATATTTATTGCCAGTGCGTGTATTGTTGCTGTATGTGTACAAAGATAATTGAATGTAATCCATGTCTTGTGTTGAGGATTCTGAACAGCGCGTGATTGAATGCGTTCTCGTGAGATACTACCAAGTTGTGGCCCATACGCCGTGGGCTGCGATGTTAGCCTAACATCATGCAGGAAAATTCTCAGCACAAGGGATGGCGTGAAAACTCACGGCCACCGAGGGTTGACGAAGCATTACTGCCATGTTCCGACTCAGACCTGTACAGACCACTTAACGCACGACATTTCAGTCCCACCAACCTTATCGCACGTTGGCTTATGGAAGCAGACGACATGTGCCTATGGGCAGGATCAGTACCGTGTGCTTCCCAGGGAGTCGTCCATGGTGCAGCTTTGAGCATACGTCAACCTCCGCGAGCCCTGGTGCAGATGGGCAAGCCGCTTATTAGGATCAAAGGAAAACACGGCGGCTGAATGATGATACTACTCGGATCCATAGGGTAAGCCATCAGCATGCCAATTTTTTTTTGCTCCAGGGCAGCCACGGCGCAAACTTGAAGCTTCCCCAATGGGTTTTGGGGTTTCTTGCCCTCGAGACCATACTTGGCACCGGGGAAGTGACTTGTACCTTATATGGCTTGACTTGGAGTCACTCGCCCCTTCTGCAACTGTTCCAGAAAGGTATTGAGATTGGTAACTATCATTATCACGTTACTCTTCATGCATTGGTTATGACTATCAGTAGTGTCCTCGATCATCGGCAACAAGTGCCAGTGTGTGCTCAACTGAATTTAAAGAATCGGGGGGAATATCACTAGTACTAGCGTGTACAGACTATAGCTAGTCCCTTAACAAAGTTGACTAGTGTAGCGCCATTCAACCCGTTTGTGTACAGTGGAGAGAGATACCGTCTCATTTGACCTGAGTAACCAGTGCGGTCAACCCCATCAGCGGCCGCACATGGAGAAACTGAAAGGCACCCCCATTCTGCGAATTTACGAATATGGGTGCAATAATAAATCACGAAAACGAAACTATATCTATAGATTATATAGCTAATGAGTATGCTATGCGATGATAAGCGAACGCTCGAAGTACACAGTATCATGATACAGAGTGATGAGACAAACTGTGGCCAGAACGAGTGTGGTAGTGTCTAGTTAAAAAGTGCAAGAACATAAATATAAGAGGCGTGACAGTGATCGAAATAAATATTATGGGCAGTCAGTATGCAGAATGATGTTGCTTTAGGAATGAACGAGTTGCTAATACACAATGCCGATGAGGAGATAGGAGGGCAGCAGCCTGTGCTGCCCAATGCAACGTGATGTATGAAAATGAGTTAGCGAGTTCAAGGAGTCCACGAACAAAGCCCTAGAATAATACACGGCGGAAAACGCGCTGAAGGCACACGAGAGTGACGTTGGAGGCATAACCGCGCTCGTTAGACCACATCCGCCGCATGATTCAGACCCTGCGGGGATCAGAGCTAGAAGCTCCTGCTATCCTGCCAGTGTGGGACGAGTGGCGGGTAAGTGATGAAGGCTCTTCCCGATCGCTCGAATGGGATTGCGTGTCGCTAGATTCATCGTGAGACCCTTCTGGCAGCGGTCCAGAGGCATGAGCATGTACACGTGCATGTCGGCGCATGTTACTCAAGACACTGAAACTGCGTCCACAGCCTTCGAAGGTGCACAGGAAAGCTTATGCAAAATATAAGCGTTATTAAAGACAGAGTGTAAATAGGTAGACTCACGTTTTTCACCTGTGTGGCTATTGAGATGTATCTGGACAACGTTGCAAAAGTCGTATTGGTTAGGTGAGCAAGCTAGAAGAAATCACCGAGAGACTGACTTTCAAACTACTGGGTCGACTGAAACCTTTGCCACAATAGTTGCATTCGTATTTCGATGCCGAAGCGAATGCAGTTGGCGAGCCTTGAGCGGAACGATCAATGCCGGACGACGCGGAAGTTACTTGCGAGCTATTGCATTGATGGTATACCTGGCTGATATCCCTATGTGCCATCAATGATTCGGGGACACGTCCTGGGATGACCAAAGAACCACTATGCGAACGAGTAACACCATGTAGTTGAGCATCAGCACTGGTACCAGGTTGAGGATAGTAAGCACCATAGGGAGGCATGTCATGATATGATTCGGTAGAGGATCGAGAGCGGGTATGATGCTGTGACGAATAGGGATGGGGGAAGGGATGTGGCCTTTCATAAGCTGGATCATGGAAAGACGTGGATGGGTGATGCAAAGGTCGTGAAGCAGATGGTTGAGCATAGGTACTCTAAAGCATTGAAATTAGAATCGAGATGACCTTTCGCGATGACAGCGACAAACAAGAATGACATACCTGAGAACCAGGGCCTAGCAAGCCAGGCTGTGGCCCAAAGTGAGAGGATGACCTGGCTCTTGTGGGTGGACTACCGTCTCTCTCGCTGATGTGCATTTGGGAGAAAGAGATACGGGGAGAATGTGAGGTTGAGGAAGGTTGGGGGGTGAGGGACAGTTCATCTGGAAGGAAAAGGTATGAGTACGGTAGACTCAATGCTTAGTTTACGGCTTGTTTACCTCCGAACAAATCGCGAATAGGAGGTAGAGTTGGCCGAGGTTCATTTCGGTGCGCATCGTCTCTTGGATGACGGCCATACATAGTGGTAGACGATATACAAAGAAGAAAGGGAGGAAGTGGATGGAGGAATAGTGAGTTTGTGAAGGCCTTTATTAACGAAGATCATTGCTGGCAGCGAGGGCCAGCCACGACGGTTGCATCATGCTGATAGTGATGATATTTCGACAACCTGCTGCGAGTACTACAACCTTTGAGGGGCACAACCAAATCTCTTCTAAACTACGCACCAAGCAAGCAGCATAAACCACGGCATGGACACGGTTACCAAGACGGTGGTGAGTGAACAGCAACCGAGATGATCGTCGTTGTAGGACCTCAGCTGTGCACACCGTAACCTCTGCGAGTACTGGAGGCCAGTTACATTGTCGGCGCGGCCTCAAAAACAGCTAAACTGGTCCACAGATACCGTAGCAAGTATGCAGTAGCGTTGAAGACACATCTTTGTCTTCAAGACCGTTGTATATGCATGGATGCATGATGCATGATGCATGATGGCAGGACGAAAGACGCCTCACGGAACAGAATGACCATCCAAATAGGCATAACGGATCAATGTTCGATCAACTTTGAAATGGCTCATGATCATAATATGTTATCACAACAAAGCATCCAATACTCGCTTGTGGTTACTCTACACTTAAAAGAGACCTTACAACACATGCTTTGCATGACAGGTGCCATACCCCAGCCGTAGGCTGGCCATAGCAACTAGCTTTTCAACAGACGGCACCGGGATCGTTACTTGCTCGTCCAACACTTCGCCAAAATCATCCGGTGAATGGCACTCACCGCACTCAGCGAGGCTGATTTAAGCTCTGCTACTTTGATGAAAAAATCCAGATTGAGACAATGTAGCTATCTACTTCACCAAGGCTATGTGAAAAGAGTCCACACGAGATGTCATTTGGCACCAAGGTCCACTGAGGTACGTTCCGAGCAAGTGAAATATCCAATATTAATTCCATGCTGTGAATCTGTATGCAATGACTACTCCCCGTTGCTGATCCAACCCTAGCTGCGACGCTGGCAAGAAACACCTGCAGACAGTTGGTCACAACTACATCAAATTCCCATTGTGAATCTAAATCCCAGGCGCCAAAGCTTCGCGATTCCGCAAATAACACTTACAGCCCAAGGTCTTCATCCCAGCACCGTCAGAGAAACTAGTCTTCCGCAGCTTAAACAGAGTTCTGGTTCTGAATTTCCTCGAGAGTTTTGGTTCTCAAGGAGAGTGCATGTAAACCTTGAGCAAGTTCATCGGACAGAGCGGAATATATCATGCGATGACGTTGCATTGTGCTCTACTGGACTGGTTAAGGTATCCAAAGCTACATACACTCGGAACGTACCTTTCCCTTGAATGCTTCTGAGATAACCTCAACAGAAAAATCTATAGCACACGTTAGACTGGACAGCAAAGTGAAGGGCTGATTCTAATAGAAGACATACGGGATTCGCCATTGCCTCCACCTTGAGCTACCATAGGAGCATGATGGCGATGCTGCCACGAATCATTGGTGACTGTGAGCTGGGAAGGCTGGAGTAAACTGGTTAACTGTGACGATGCAGGTATTCGAATGTAAGGCGGTGATGCGTAAGAAATAGACTATGAGGCACTGACCTTTTCTCGTATCGTTTTCTCCACGGGGCCTGGAGATGCCGCGCCATTAGTAGTCATGGAGTAAGAATAAGTTCGCCTGGACAGGATCTGAGGAAAGCGGTTGATACGTAGCATTGACCAACGGAAGCCCGTCTGGTTACGAAGCATTAAATGAAATTTCTGACCTGTAGCTGAGAAATTGTAGGACAGAGGATTGTAGGCGTGGGAGTAGTCCCCTTGGTTAAACGCCGGCCGGCATTTCAAACGTATCCTGGCAGTGTTCGTTCATCACTGTACACGCTTGATTCAAGAGCTAAAGGCTCATTACATGACTTGCTGATCTTACCCGTAGCACACCGCCTTCAGAACAAACTCGTCTTTGTATGAATCACGGTCTTCATTCACCGTAATATCACACATGTTCCATCCACCCCATTTTATGTCATTTCCGTGGTGACACTCTAACGGCTGTCTTTTCCATGCTACCGCCTACTGGAGTTAACAAAGACCGAAATCGTTCGCCTACTTTCCGATTGAGGTACGCACATCATAAATTCTGTCACCCTGTGTTCCAGTTGGACAGCATTGCAGCGCACAAGTGCCTACAGTTATTTGGCAGCTGGTCGGTACCAGTGAGCTTCGCGAACAAATTAATCAATCTCTGCCGGCGGACACAGCAAAATCCTGTGCGGTCTCATCCATTTTGACATCTTAATCGATACGACGAAGGATGATCGAATTCGAACTCTTGTCTCTTCCTTTCAGACCGGGTTTTGATGACGACCCCATCACGGTCAAGACATTCTATATCAGACAGTGGATTCAAGTTGCACAAGGTCCTGTGATATACAATTGCTTATCTCGCTTGCTGTGTCATCTCATTAGATGTTGAGGTGGATATTTCTGACCTATTTCGAACCTTGCAGCTAGGCTGTGTAATGAACAGCTACGTTAGATGCGCTGGCTATGCAAAACTGTGTTTCTCGTAGAGATATACCTATCCTGAGGTTGATCATGAACAATTTGGAAAAATGAATGCTTCCGACCTTTCACATGTTCTTGACCATCACCATCTTCTACTCAAAGGTGAGCTTGTATTGTACGACATCATGCATCATGGCAAACATTCTACAATCTGCTAAATCTGGTAGTGACTGGTTGGAGGGCGAGTTAGCTGAACTCAATGTAGCTGGTGGAATCAGTACATACCTAACTTTTTGTAGAGGGAAGAATCAATACTTATCAAATGATCTATCAATAATCTGGAGCAATAATTCACCTGTAGTGGCCAACCCAGACATAGGACCTTTGGAATTAGTTATCAGAGAGATGGAGATGGGATTTGACCTAGCTTATTGTAAAGTTTTGTAATGGTAGTGAAACAAGAATAATGAGTAATTAGAAATTTGGATAATATTTATTAGATTACAAGAGTTGAAATGTGGTATTAGCATTTATGATACGAACTTTTACTTTTCTTTACTTTACAACTTTTCATTTTCACAGTCATGCGACTCATCACATGATCTAATACTTTACTTTACTTGGGCAACTTCACCATTCCAAGAGAAGTCTTATGTAAGTCACCGGTTGGTCAATTGACCAATTGACCAATCTTTGACCTGTCATCACACAACTGCACTTGCGACATTTTTTCACCAAGTTCAAAAGTTTGCAAACTGGCCGAATTTTCCCAAAGTCCCCATGTCCTTACAAGTAAGTCTGTTCAATTGATATCTTTTTAAAACTAACTGACACAGTCTATTTTATTTTGACGAGAGGCTCCACGGAAAAGAAGAGAAGTAGCTAGGTAGGTAGGTAGTCATAAAAGCATGCATATACATAGGCATCATGAAGGCAATATAGAAACGTAGCAAACACTTCCACAGAACTGAAAAGCATGAAAAAAAATGAGAACTTATGCCAACAGCCATTCAGCTAAGCAATCAACTTGAAGATACTTCTCCCTATTGTGCAACACAATAAATTCTGGCATGGGTGGATTAAGAGTCAAGAAGTTATAAAGACAAAAGAGAGCTGCACCTTCAGGGCCAGCAAAAATGGTTCTATCTTTGTTTTTTGCAAAACACTGGTCCAGCATAATGGAGAGGGCTTGATATTTCATTGCGAGCTCCTCTCCGTTGATTTGAAGTACAACAACTTGTTTGTATACTTTGTGAACCATTGAGAGGAAAAATATGGGGTGGAAATGGGACCCATCCGTGAAAATACCCACTGGTTGCGGCCAGGGAGGCGTCACATCATTGTAGCCTTTCAGTGCTTTGACTGGGACACCATCTGAGCAGCAACTCTTCTTGTGGTTTCCAGAGAAGCCCTCAGAGCCAGGATATTTGATTATACGACAACAACTACATGTTACAATACACAAATTTTGGATCTTTGAATTTCATTCTCCACCTTAACTTTCTTTCGTAGTTTTCACACATTATGCCATGCAGCACTTTCCATTTTGTTCAAACCCCACTTTCTCATGCTGCACTGCTTTTCTTTATTCTTAGCTACAAGTCTCTCACACAGTACATATGTACAAATAGTCTGTAATAGTATAAATACCCCAATAGATCAAGGAGACTCCTCAGCGAGTCCTCCTGTTATTTACCCATAAAAAACTCGGTCCTACTGTTACGCTTGGAATGTGCAAGCCTGGTAACACAGAGTTTCTGGATGTGCAAGGGGTTTCTGATAAGCCCATTTGTGAACAGGTTTGAGACATATTCTGATGATGAGGTTTGGACTGATGAATACCTGTGAGGCAAAAATAAACTATAACAAAAACGAAACCTGTCTCCTTCTGCACTTGCAGGGAGTAAGGGGTTCGATGAGCTTGAGGTCAACAGACACTAGTAAATATAGCGAGCAGAGGACTTTGAGAGGTAAGCTTCAAAGGTTTTCGTTGAGGAGTAAAGCGGGTAAATTCAGTAATAGAAAACTAAGGAGCCATACATGAATAGGTAAGGCTTTATATAGTGAACTGTTTGTTCCTCAGACCGAAAGGAGAATATACGAAAAGTGGTCTGAGGAATCAATCGACCAATAAGAAAAAGAGAGAACAACTATTGTACGACTTTTAACTTGATTAATCAGCAGGTGAGAGACTTGTACTAATAATAGAGGTTTGTCACGCGTGTTCAGGAACCGTATCCTCATAATGAGGTACGATCCTGAATAAGGCGTTATTAGTATAACCAGGCTTTACTGAGGCTTGGAGCTGGTTGGCGAGATGCCTACTACCAGTCCTTACTCCGTGTGCTGGCTGGCTGGGAGTGATACCCAGTCTCTGATCTGTGATATAAAATGGTAGTGATGGTTAAGAAAGCCTGTGAGGGCTATGAGAAGTAAAACGGCAAAGGATACCTCTAGCCCTAGAGCCAGAGGTGTAACGGGTAAAGCGTTCGAGAACCAAGACATAGCGAAGATAAGAAAATAATGAAATGGTCCTTACACATGGCACAGGGTGTGTATAACGACTGAGTTGCACTACTGGAAGAAACCAGGCAACTCAACGTCAATCTCTAGCAAGTAGTTGAACAGGTGTATAAAGACGAAATCAAAAGCTAAGGTATGTACATCGTTGAGTGTCTACTTATATATGTAAGAACTCATGTCAGCCATGAGGCGCTGACTGATAGACATGAGGATGTATCGTGTTTAGCTTGGTAAGATGATTTGTAAGTGATCATGTGACTTAGGGTCATATGATGAGATAAGAAGATAAGATAAGGAAGGCTACATGATAAGATAAGGAGAAATGAGTGTTTCTACGTCAGAGTTGGAGATGAAAGGTGAAGTATTGGGTGTAAGAGAAGAGGATCGTGACATTACCCCCCCTTTAGAACTTTCGTCCCGAAAGGTTGGTTCAAGTTTGCCATTTTCCCAGTTAAATATCCTATGTTTATGGGAAAATTCTGTGAAGTTTTCGAACGGTTGATAATGAAGTAAGAAATTGATTCGGCGTGGAGCGGATGGGAAATGATCATGGAAGTCTTTGACTAGTCCTGGCGAGTTTTTGACATTTCGCTCAGGTTCCCATGTTCGTTCTTCCTTTCCATATCCTTTCCAATGTACCAGATATTCTAACTTGCCACGTTTCAATCGTGAGTCAAGTATCTGTTCTACTTCGTATTCTCTTTGTCCGTCAACTTCAGCGGGGGGTGGAGGTTTTGGTTTCTTTTGACCAGGAAAGGTTGGTTCTTTATAGGGGTGGAGGATTTTTTCGTTGAATACTGGATATACATTTTTCCATTTTCCGGGTAGTTTTAATTTGTAAGCGGCTGGTCCGGTTTTCTTTTCGACTACGAATGGTCCGTGTCGTTTATCATCCAGTTTCTTTGATGGCCGATCAGTTGTGATGTGTTCGGCTTCTACATAAACCTTGTCTCCTGGTTCATATTCAAGACTTTCCTTTTTTGTTTTGTCATATGATCTCTTCATAATCTCGGCTGCCTTTGCCAGAGATTTTTCTGCTTCTTCTCTCGTTTCTTTCATTCTTTCTACAAACTCTTCCGCACTCTCACTCTTTACTCCTTTCCTAATTCCTTCTACTATTTTTGGGTGCTGCCCATTGTTTAAATAAAAAGGACTGAAGCCGGTAGCTGAATGTTCTTTATTGTTATAGGAGAATTCTGCTAATGGTAACCAGTCTGCCCAATCGTCTTGTTTATGGTTAACAAAGATTCGGAGATATTGTTCTATCTCTTGATTAATCCTCTCTGTTTGTCCATCGGTTTGTGGGTGATAAGCAGTTGATGGGTTTCCCTTTATACCTAGCATTGTGTAGAGATCCTTCATAAAATTAGAGACAAATTGGACTCCTCGATCTGAGATGATTTTATCGGGTAATCCATGAAGTTTAAATATATTGTCTCTGAATAGTCTCGCTACTCCTTCTGAGTTCAACTCAGCATGTGTTGGCATAATCCTGATCATTTTTGAAAAGCGATCAACAACTACCATGATAGTGTTGTAACCCTTTGATTCTGGTAATGGTCCTATGAGATCCGTTGATATGATTTGCCAGGGGCGGCTTGGAATCTCATTCGGATGTAACGGTGCGGCCTTTTTTTGATGATCTGTTTTTGTTCTTTGACAGGTTTCGCATCCGGTTACGTATTCTTGGACGTCTTTGTCCATATATGGCCACCAGTACCATCGGGTAATCAATTCCTTTGTTTTATACCGGCCTGGATGGCCAGCTATTGGGGAATCGTGATTGTCTCTTATGATCGTTTCTCTGAGTTTTCGGTCTTTTGGGACATACATGCGACCTTTGAAGTAGATGAGTCCTTCATCGGTCCACCAGCCGTCTTGGCGGTTGTCTATTTTGTCCTTGACCTTTTGAACGAGTTCGTCAACATTTTTCATCCTTTTATGAATCCATCTTGTGATCTCTATATTTTTGGCATCGTCAATTGCTATCTGTTGCCTTTTTTCGTGTGATAGAGTCATATTAATGGAGAATAGTTCTGGTTTCAATAAGGTAACATTTTCATTATCATTCTTTCCCTCGTCGTGGTCTGATCGTCTGGATAATAGATCGGCTTTGATGTGAGTAGCGCCTGGCTTGTGATGTAATGTGAAATGATAATTGGCTAGTTCGCTAACCCATCTTGCCTGTCGTCTATTGAGCTTCTGAGGTTGTTTAAAGTATGTTAGGTTCTGATGATCAGTCCAGATCTTGAACTCTTTCGCGGCGTCCATTAGATAATGGCGTTCTTCCTCTAAAGCCGTCATAATGGCCAATAGTTCTTTATTATATATCTCGTAGTTTCTTTCAGTTGGATTGAGAGATTTAGATAGATAAGCTATTGGTTTCCAGACTTCATTCTGTTCTTGAGAGAGTACTGCTCCTAGAGCATAGTCGCTACTATCCGCTTCTACTCGGTATTGACCGTCATTGGTCGGGAGTGCTAATACGGGGGTTGTGCTTATCCTTCTTTTTATCTCTTCGAAGGCTTCTTTTTGTTCTTTTCCCCATATAAACTCTTCTTTACCGGTCAGTTTAGTAAGCGGTTTCGCTATTGATCCGAATCCTTCGATAAACCTTCTATAGAAGTTAACGAATCCTAAAAAGGCTTGCACATGTTTCTTTGTTTTGCATTCCGGCCAGTCTAGGATTCCCTTCACCTTAATCGGGTCCATGCGGATTTTATTTTCCGAGATGATTAATCCCAGATATTCTGTTTCTGTTTCTTCGAAATCGCATTTTTCCGGTTTTAGGTATAGATGGTGTTTTCGTAAGATCTGAAGTACACGTCGCGTCATTGCTCGGTGTTCCTCTATCGTCTTTGTGAAGATCATAATATCGTCCAGATAGATCACTACTTTTCCTTCATCAATTAGGTCTTTGAATATAGAATTCATCATAGTTTGGAATGTAGCTGGTGAATTCGTCAATCCAAAGAACATTACTAACGGTTCGAACAAGCCGCAATTGGTTCTAAATGCAGCCTTGTGTTCGTCTCCTTCCTTGATCTGAATGTTATTATATCCCCATCTTATGTCAAGTTTTGTGAAATACTTGGCGCCTCTGAGCTTGTCTACAAGTTCATTAATCAGAGGTAATGGATATCGGTTTTTGATGGTGATTTCATTTAATTTTCGGTAATCTTGTACAGGTCGGAGTTTGCCGTCTTTCTTTTTGATGAAGAAGAATGGTGAAGCAATCGGAGATTTACTGGGTCTGATGCGCCCTGAGTCTAAGTTCTCTTTTAGGAATGCATCTAACTGTTCTTGTTCTCCTAGTGCTAATGGATAAACCTTACAGTCTATTGTGTGATCGCCTGGTATTAGTTCGATTGCATGGTCCCATTGCCTTCTCTCAGGGAGGGCGTCAAATTCTTTTTTGTCAAAGACATCTTTGAATTCATGAAGGTATTTTGGTACAATGCCTTCGAATCCACCTGTTTTCTGGTCTTTTCCTGCTGCTTCGGCAAGCTGTTGTGCAGTCGTGCCGTGAGCGCGGATGTGATGCATGACGTCAGGAATGGATGTGTCTTCAACGTTTAAGAAATTGAATTGGATGATTCTATCCCCCTCTCCAAGATTGACCTCAGGGCAATACGTTTCTAGATCTTCTTCAGGATCAAAGAATCTTACCACCATGTTGCAGTCTGATGGACATCTATTGAAGTCTAATTTTGACATGTTTCAGTCTATCGTGGGATTGTGTTTCTTTAACCATTCATGGCCTAGGAACATCCTGCCAGTTCCAAGATTGGTAACGGCTAGCTGGAGTCTTTCGGCGTGGTCGTTGATCTCCACTAATATCTCTACAAATTCTTTAATACTGCCGTCTCGGTTTAGAGTGCCGTCAGCATTGTAGACTGGAATTGGTCTAGGGATTCTATGCCTTTCATATCTCTGTTCTTCAACAAATTTGTTATCTATGCAACTTCCGGTACAGCCACTGTCTAGTAATGCCTCAATCGTCGTTGATTGATGGGATGCAAGGTTTGTCAGTCTGCAGGTGATGTTCATCTGGTTTCCCTGAGTGCCTCTAATGAATTGCTTAGGCTTCTTCAGTTCTTCCAGTGCTAGTACCGTTTCGTGAATTGGTAAAGCATTCAGTTCTTTTATCAAATCTGCATTGACTTCCAATCCTCTTTTCCTGTGGGTCCAACTACTGAGAATACCAATAGATCTTTCTTCTTTTTGGTCTCGTAGTCTTTCCGCTATCCAGGCAGCTGTCCATGGTGTTTTTTGATTCTTTTTATCTAGGTTTTTATTAGAGGTGTTCCTGACCTCTTTGGAGCTGGTCGAAACATCAGTTTCGGTTACGCTACCCAATTGAGTCGTAACATTCTGTGCTTCAGTTGTCTCCTTCGTAGTAGCTGCGCTTTTCGTGGTCCTTTCCCCTTTAGGTACCTCGTGCGCCGCATCCTGTGCTGCGCTTTTCTCTTTTGAGTGCGCCGCATCTTTTTTGGGAATCTTTTCAACCCGTTTCCCTTTCAGGTTCTCCTCTTTCATAGATTGTTCCTTTCGTTTCAGATCTTGTGCATCTTTAAATAAAGCAATATCATTTTCATCGTTACTGGTACATGTGGCATCAAGATTTTCAACGGGTAGGGAAGCATATCTATTTACAAAGTTCTTTGGCACAGTCTGGCGAGGAGTCGCAGCTGGCCTTCTCAAAAACCCTGGAGCAAGTTAGCTCGTTCTTCTTCCGGCATTGCTTCTAACATTGCTCGGAGATCGAATTTCGGTTTTTGCGGTGTTTGTCCGTTCAGATGGTCTCTGGCCCTATGGCCCTTCTCTCCGCACTTGAAGCAGCGTCCTTCGGTTCGGAACTTCTGCTTGTCTACTTCCATCTCTTTTCCGGCTCCGGTATATAGTGTACCCGTGCCGTCTTTCTTCGCTTCCACCGTCTCGGTCTTCCTCTCCGAAGCACCCTTTTCTTGGTATCTTCCATTGGGTCCCCGGTTCCCTGTACCGGAGCTGCCGTTGGTTGATCCTTTCAACATCCGCTCATTCTCTACTTGGTCTCGCCACAATTGGTCGTTTGTGACGATCCTCGTTTTCCACTCTGTATACGTCGTGGGAACGTTTCCACTATAAATGATCTGTTTTATGAGTGGACCATTTATGTTATTCCTGATTAGTGTGATCAGGAATTGTTCGTTCCGTTTGACGTCGTAGCCGGCCCGTCTTCTCAACTCTTCGAATTTTACAAAGAACTCTTGGGCCGTTAGAGTTCCTTGTTTTTTGTATATGATTTCATATCTTGCTCTCTCTTCCTCGTGTGTGTTGTGAGGAATCGATTTTTCTTATCGCATTCCCGTCATGTCGTGGTTAGCAGATTCGATCCCCGTCACTCCTCTTGCCCTTGGACTAGAGATTACAGCCGGTGTCTTATTACTTTTATCATTTTTCTTCTTATTCTCTCTTCACACTCACGTTCTATCGTATCTACAACGAAGCAGACTCGTTGTCGACCCTCAAGAAGATATCCCGATGACATAGCCACGATCCAGTGCTATGTCTGGGAATACTTCGGAGGAATATTGATAAGCAAAGAAGGTAGTGAATCAGCGCCTTCTCATGGGCTTACTGATACAGCCAATCGCATATCCCTTACCAATATGTTTTCTCATACGATTAGTAAACACGATAGATCGGACCACTTCCCCCTTTTTTTCTTATTGGTTAGTTAGCTGGTCAGACCACTTTCTCAGTAGTTCCCTTTCTCGGTCTGACCATCGCCGTTCACTATATAGAGGAGTATATACTCGATGTATTGTTCTCTAGTTCAATATTAGTTTGGATTTGCGCTCTTACCGATACTCTTCATTCTCATACTCTGATTCACCGCCTTCAAGGAAGGACTTGACCAGACATTGAGCTTTGTTATATAGCTTCGTATTTGTTGCCTGACAAAATATTGAACTCACCTACCTCGAATCCTTTTCCAGAGCCCCTCTTTGGAAAACCGTTTCCTTACACCCTGAAAAAGACTGTCGTTGCCACTGCACCGGTCTAAACCTTCATCATCACCTTCTCCACCTCTCTACCATCCCTATCGTTCTCCTCACTATCGTCATCGACCTCTCACTATCCACCCCACTACACCTATTGTCGTTCAGTCTTCTCAAACTGGACGCCTTCTCTACCATCACCGCTCTCGTCCAATTCTTTGCGTTCTTTGCCATCATCAGATACCTACAAACCGGACTCGTCAGTGACGTCGTCTACCTCCATCGTGTCTACCTCCCAACAGCTCTCAGAAGAGTGGGTATCAGAAGCGGACCGCAGACACCAGAGAGATTTCCTCGCAGCTCTCAACAAACCGCTCCCGGTCCTCCCCGCCCCTACCGAAGCCAGTACTCCAGACGTGGAAGGAACGGTCGAACAGATCACTGAGTTGTATCAAGACTCCTCTGCTTCGTCTTCACCAATTGATCCGATCGAGGATATCATCCTCGACATAAACGACGCACTCGCTCTCACCCAATCCATCTTTTACCATTCCGCCATCTGTAGGAGAAATTCTCGCAGTCTCGAGGAGATACTCCAACATCTCCGACAGAGCACGGAGAGAACTTTTAATCTTCATATCCCTGCGGCACGAACAAATTCCGTTGATAGATTACTTCGAAAGCCTAGTACGCCCGAGTTACGAGAACACTCAGAGGGTTAAGCTTTTGAAAGGAATAGCCAACGTACAAGAACGAAACCTGCAACTTATTTCGCAGAGCCACATCCCAGATCTCCTCGATCTTTATCGAATCCGCCCTCTCATTTTTCCAGACATACCCAGCCACCTCCTCCCTTACGACTTCGAACACACCTTACTTTGCGGCATTGTATTAAGGAAGAGGCCTAACGAGGAACCTACCTATGATATCCCGTCCTCATTTTTTACATCGGACTACTACGACACCTACTCCGCCTCTCCTGTCAGTTACCAACCCATCCAGTACTTCTGCATCGGCAATCATCTGGACCACCTTTCTATTGTCCAATATCTGACACGACTTCGCCGAACTCTCTACCTCCCTGAAGTCCAAGATCTTGACGCATTCGGGCCGCGGTTTGGTCTTCAACACAGCACTTCTATTATAATCGTCATGCCCTCTACTAAAGATCATATTCGACGAGTTGTTGCTGCATTAGCACGATTTGATCAGCTCATCGCGACTGCTCAGAGGAAATCCCGTGACGGAGAAGACTACACGACCGAAATCGACAACATTCGACACGTTTCAGAATACGTCGACGAATATTACTGGATCCTAGAAATCCTCACTCCATTTGTTGTTAACCAACAATCTGATCACCCCGAACGTTTCATTGTTACAGTACTCCAAAGCGATTTCTGGGCCGTTATCAACCATAGCTCACGAACTCGTATCTATTCGCAGTACTCTTACACCTACCAAGGTCGGAGAGGAGAAGCACCGCTCATCCCGTCGGTTGAACAACTTTTTGCACCTTGTGCAGAAAGGATAGAACGAGAAACAGGAAGTTCATTAACAGATATACTCGGGGGAGAATCTAGCAGCGAGACCGAGTCGGAAAGTGAAGAGTCTACTCAAAGCGTAGAATACTGGAGACCCCGAGAAGCAGAAGGAGGAGACTTCCCTAGTAACTTTACATTTGACCCAGACTTTGAGTAAATAAAAAAGACTCGTTATCTAAAAAGACTTGTTATCTAGACCCGTTATCTAACCCGTTGAAAATCTGGAGCCCTATCGAGAACCCCGTCCTCTGGTCACTCCCGACACACCTCCCCCACAATCTCTAGGAGCTGCTGCGGAAGCTCTAGAACCCGACGATCTGTATCAGTCAGCAGGACCGGAAAACTTTCCTCCCCCACCTCCTACTCCAGAACCCGAAAACCAACCCGACGATTGGTTCGATCAGGAATCTTTAGACCTTGAACCTGATCTAGCGACAGCAATGGCCGACGAAACAAATCAAGGAAGCAAAGCTGTCCTTGCCACTCCTCCATTCGAATTCATCGGTAAAAAGGAAACATACGTTGACTGGAAGAACGCTTTAGCAAACTACTTTTTCGCCTATCCCAGAAGTTTCCAAACCAACTCCTCCAAAATCCTCTTTGCACTATCCTGAATCTCGTCCAATAAAGCCAATGACGCCTGTCATACATGGAAGGCGAACTTCAACAACAAAACCGCAGTGCTAGGAGACTTATTTGCACTGTGAAATTGGGGAACTATCTCAGAATTCATCAAGGAATTAGATAATGAATTCCTGGACCCCCATCTCAAGTTGAAAGCAGAGATTGCCCTTCACGATTACGAACAACGAGAGATGACGGTAGACGCATATTTCGGAGGACTCGAATCCAAACTTATGGAAGCGGGATTACCACCAGACGCAGATGAAAGTTATCCGTTCATTCACAGTATCCTTCGTCGCAACCTCTCCCAATTCCTTCGTGATCGTATCTCGCAACAGGAAAACCTACCCACCACGTACTTAGAGTGGAAGGCAGCGGCAAGGAAATGGGAACAGCGAAATGAAGAGCTTAATCTGGAAAGGAGGAGAGATAAACCACCTCAACAAAGGCTGCCAACTCAGTACCAACGATATCAACCGCGCTATCAGCAGAACCAAGGCTACCCTCCACCACAGCATCAACAGACAGTACCGCGAACAGAGACGCGAAGACCACGGTATATCCAACCGCGACCGTATTATACTCCATCTCATAAACCACCGCCCCAGAATGCAGTCCATCCAAACACAGCAGGAACGTTTGGAGGATCAGGTGTACCTATGGAGATTGGGAGTTCCAACACGCAGAGACAACATCGGCCCAACCCAAATGTTACTTGTTACAATTGTGGCAAACGAGGCCACATTGCTAGAAATTGCCCACATGGAAAGATGGCAATACGATATATGGAAACGGAGGAAACCAAAGACACTCCCACTACATCGTCATTAAAAGAAATTGAAGCACCCCCGAAGGATTTTCAGAAAGGTCAGGAGTAAGCACGGACTCTCTGACCCGAAATGTTGTATTTAACCCTCGTACATTACCAACGACTGCAATGAAACGAGTTGATCAACATCTACGTGCTGTAACCGAAACCTACGCGAAGCCACATTCACCGGAATGGTTGGCCAGACGAATCAAAGACCAGAAACCAGAAAGAGCAAGAGCTCTGTTACGAAACTGGGCCCATAAAGATCACTACGAGCATATCACCCTGCAGGCGATACAGATGCTGAGGAACCACGACGAAGAGAACATTATAGAACGCATCCATGCTTACACCTCGCCGCACCACCCTACGTCAAAACGAAGCCTCCATATCATTTCTCAAGTCACTACCATAGACGACAGACAGACATTCACCGTCCCAACCCTTATCGACTCTGGTTGCACCAACTCGGTTATCGATCGAAGCCTGGTTGACAAGTATACCCTCAATACTACGCCTCTGCCCGTCCCTCTTGACGCTGCAGGAGCCGATGGTCGATCCCAGAAAGTAACACACTATGTCACTCTTCACATCAATGTGAAAGGGAAAGAACATTTGATAGATGTCATCGTAGCATCTCTACTTTCACCACGCATACTGCTTGGATACGACTGGTTGATACTGACGAATCCAACAATTGATTGGCGGACCAACAAGATTACCTTCCCTGCTGATGATCCGGAGTATCATCCTGAAGAAGGGGATAAAGTTCTAGCCGTCGATCTCGAAACACGAATTATGGAGATAACACAGCTAGAATTGAACGTGTTTGCCACTAAAAGTCAACAAATTGCCGAATCCTCCGAAAAGGCAAAGTCAAAGCTTACTTTCCGAGATGTCGTTCCTCCAATCTACCATGAATTCGAACCCGTCTTCACCAAAGAATCATTTGACAAACTTCCCCCGAAACGTCCTTGGGACCATGCGATTGAGTTAATACCCGAGGCTAATGGTCTTGACTGCAAAACGTACCCTCTTAGCCGAGACGAACAACACCATCTAGACGAATTCCTTAACGAAAATCTAACAAGTGGACGGATTCGAGTATCCAAATCACCTTACGCATCACCATTCTTCTTTATCAAAAAGAAAGATGGCTCACTACGCCCTGTCCAAGATTATCGCAAGCTGAATGAGCTTACCATAAAGAATCGCTACACCCTCCCCCTCATATCCGAACTCATCGATAAACTCAAAGGTGCCAATTACTTCACGAAACTAGACGTACGATGGGGATACAACAACGTCCGAATCCAAGAAGGAGACGAACACAAGGCCGCTTTCAGGACCAATCGCGGCCTGTTCGAACCCCTCGTCATGTTTTTCGGACTTACCAACTCGCCAGCAACCTTCCAGACCATGATGGACCACCTCCTAAGAGAACTGATCACGGAAGGAAAAGTTATTGTATATTTAGACGATATTATGATCTTCACGGAAACACTCGAAGAACATCGTCAAATAGTCACCAAAGTCCTCCGTATCCTGCAACAAAATCAGTTGTATCTTAAACCAGAGAAATGCGAATTTGAGAAACAGGAAGTCGAGTATTTAGGCATGATCATCTCCAAAGACACTATCCGTATGGATCCGTTAAAAGTCGCAGCGGTCGCTGACTGGCCCGCACCAAAGAACAAAAGAGAACTCCAATCATTCTTAGGGTTCTCCAATTTCTATCGACAATTTGTCAAAGACTACGGACGAATTGCGAAACCACTCACTGTGCTCACCGGAAAAGTTGACTGGACCTGGAAAGATGAACAAGAGACGTCCTTTGAAACGTTGAAGAAAACGCTTACTACTGCCCCCACCCTTGCTATACCAAACGACGACGACCCATTCAAACTAGAAACCGATGCCTCTGACTTCGCTGTAGGAGCTGTCCTATCCCAGAAACAAAACGACAAATTCAGACCCATAGCATTCCTCTCGAAAGCCCTTACCGCTGCAGAACGGAACTATGAAATTTACGACAAAGAGATGCTCGCAGTCATGACGGCGTTAGATGAATGGCGACATCACCTTGTAGGATCGAAACACCCCTTCACCATCTTCACAGATCACCAAAACCTCCTCTACTTCCGTCAACCTCAGAAATACAATCGACGCCAAGCTCAATGGTCATCCCAGCTTGCAGATTATAATTTTAAGATGGAACACGTCAAAGGAAATCAGAATACGAAGGCCGACCTGTTAAGCAGACGGATCGATCATCCTAAAGGCACAAACAATAATGAGGATCAGATACTTCTCCCAGACGTACATTTCGAATTACTTGACACCAACGAAGGATACCTACCAGATATACATCAAAGCTTCCAGAAACAAGACGACGTAGTAAAGAAGAACTTGAAAGAGAAGCCGGATACCTGGAAGATGAAGGATAGGATCGTCTGGATCAAGAGAGAGTCCACGACGGGTTCCTACCCGATCCCTTTAGCTGACCGAGTATACGTTCCCAGAAATCACGAACTAAGGGCGCGAATATTGAAAGATCATCACGACGAAGCCCTAGCCGGGCACCCAGGAGAAAGAACGATGTTTGAACGAGTAAACCGAGAGCTCTGGTGGCCAAGTCTTCGTACAGATATCAGACGGTATGTACGAGGATGCGAGAGTTGTCAACGCACCAAGGCACATCGGACAAAGACTAACGCCCCTCTACACCCGAACCCGATACCAGATCGGCCTTGGCAGATTATCACCACCGATCTCATAGGCGCATTACCGGAATCCAAGGGCTACACCGCCGTTCAGGTCTTTGTTGACCGATTTAGTAAAATGGCCCATTTCGTCCCCACCTTCGTCACTCTCGACTCGGCCGGTTATGCACGTCAACTCCGAGATAATGTAATACGACTCCATGGAATTCCTGAAAAGATCGTCTCCGATCGAGGTCCTCAGTTCATGTCTCGATTCACGAAAGATTTCTACGACCTAATGGGGATAACACCAGGCCTCTCTACAGGCTATCACCCTCAAACAGACGGACAATCCGAACGGATCAACCAGGATCTAGAGCATTACCTCCGCGTTTTTATAAATCATCGACAAGATGACTGGGCAGACTGGCTCTCGATTGCTGAGTTTACATACAACAACCACCTCCATACCGCAACGAACCAAACACCCTTCTTTTTGAACTATGGGTTACACCCAAGAACAAATATCACCACCACGTTGTCCCCTCGTTCCGCTTCTGCAGCAGAATTTAGCGAACAGATGAAAAAACTCCACGATATCACGAAATCCTCCCTTCTTGTAGCAAACGAGAATCTGAAGAAGTATTACGACCGTAAGAAATCCCCCTCCCGGAAGTACCAAGCTGGCGACAAAGTCTGGTTAGAAGGGCATAACATCACAACGGATAGACCAATGAAGAAATTAGACGATAAACGCTTCGGACCTTTCAAAATCACCCAAAAGGTCGGACCCTCCGCATATCAGCTCGACATCCCTAAAAGTTGGAAGTCCATTCACCCTGTATTCAACGAAGCCATCCTCTCACCATACCACGCTCCTGAATTCCTCAATCAACCAATTTCCTCGCGACCACCACCCGAGATTGTGGAAGGAACAGACGAATACGAAGTAGAGAGTATAATCGCTTCCAGACCGACTAAACTGAAAGGTAGTAAGCTCGACTACCTAATTCACTGGCATGGTTATCCAGTCTCCGAACGCACTTGGGAACCCGACACCAATCTTACGCATGTCGCTGATTTACTCGCCACCTTCCACAAAACAAATCCCGCCGCCCCTCGTATTATTACCGCTTCTCTTCACTTCCGTCCTTACGAAAACTACACCGCCACTTCTAAACCGCCGATGCTTTTTGATTGGATTAGTAACAAGTTCCAAAGTGCCGCATCCGGACTCATGAGGACACGAGTCTTATAAAAGGGGAGCTAATGTGAGGAATCAATTTTTCTTATCGCATTCCCGTCATGTCGTGGTTAGCAGATTCGATCCCCGTCACTCCTCTTGCCCTTGGACTAGAGATTACAGCCGGTGTCTTATTACTTTTATCATTTTTCTTCTTATTCTCTCTTCACACTCACGTTCTATCGTATCTACAACGAAGCAGACTCGTTGTCGACCCTCAAGAAGATATCCCGATGACATAGCCACGATCCAGTGCTATGTCTGGGAATACTTCGGAGGAATATTGATAAGCAAAGAAGGTAGTGAATCAGCGCCTTCTCATGGGCTTACTGATACAGCCAATCGCATATCCCTTACCAATATGTTTTCTCATACGATTAGTAAACACGATAGATCGGACCACTTCCCCCCTTTTTTCTTATTGGTTAGTTAGCTGGTCAGACCACTTTCTCAGTAGTTCCCTTTCTCGGTCTGACCATCGCCGTTCACTATATAGAGAAGTATATACTCGATGTATTGTTCTCTAGTTCAATATTAGTTAGGATTTGCGCTCTTACCGATACTCTTCATTCTCATACTCTGATTCACCGCCTTCAAGGAAGGACTTGACCAGACATTGAGCTTTGTTATATAGCTTCGTATTTGTTGCCTGACATGTGTCAGTGAAATGGTCTTTGAGGGTCCTCTCAAAGTGAGCCCAGCTCTCTAAGAGGGTGATTTCCCCTGCATCTGACCTTTCTTCTGCGATCTTTCTCCTCTCTACCCACTCTGTTCTTAGGGCCGCTGCTGCCCCTATACTCATATAGGATAAGGCGAAGCTTATCCGGTTCCTTTCTCGGGAGAAGTATGCCGAATTTGCATTAAAATGGAGTTCTAATGACTCCGAGAAGCTTCGAAACTTCTTCTTGTCTCCGTCATAAGGTTCCAGCTTTGCTAATGCCGTTTTCCTAAATTCTGCTTCTTGTGCGCGTGGCAGGCCCATTCCTGAAGGCTGCCTCCTTTCGCTCTCTGCGAGCCTTCTGCGCAAGTCTCTTACTTCTTCGTCTTTCGATGAGAATCTCTCTTCCCATAATTCGTTGTTGTCTGCGATTGCGTTGTTGACCGCCGTTAGGATGAGGTTCTGCAGGTTCTGCATCTGCTGCTGGTTGGTTGCCGGCGATGGTGCGCGCGGCTGAATATGCGGTAATGCGTCCCGCAAATCTGACATGTCGGTGCTCTCGGCCATGTCCGGGGTCTCTCGATATGTGTCGTAAGACATTCAGGGATGATGTGGGGGATGGTGATAAGAATGATAGGGTTGGAGTGATTCGTTCTTGTTTGATTGGCCCGGGATAGGGCAGAATCGGGATCTGGTAGGAATATAGTGATGCAAAGGGCATTCAAAAAAGGTTCCCCAGATGACAAGTCTGGATCAACACTTCTTTAATGAAGATCCCTTTTTCTGTCTTTCCTTCTGCTTATGGGTTCCTCTTCTGTCCCCACTAAGCGTGTACGTAAACTATCTATTTATAGTACCAGTGTTCTAATAGTATCGTAATCGAGGTCCGAACGGTTGTCTCGATGATGGCCCGCGTTAACCGCTGTCAGCCCTCTTCCTACTGGCGGAGGCAAGTGCCCGGCCCGGTAAGAAGTATAAAGAAGTTTTTTGTAGCTAATAGAATCTTAGCGACTCCACGTCACTAAGTTCTCTAAGTATGGGATTGTGGGGGCGGATGATGGGAGATAGAGGGATGGTTTCGAAAGATGAGTTAGATGGTGATGATTGGATGAAAGTGATTATGGTGGATGGGCGAGTGATAGGAGATGTGATTTGAGAGAGGGGTGTGGTGAGGCGAATGTATAGTTTGAGTAGAACGAAGAATAGGATGATGATGATGGGGGTTAGGATGATGATTAGGATAGCCTTTGTTTCTGTCATCAACTAGGTGCTCTTTACTAGCTTTTGATTATATAACGACTGAGTTGCACTACTGGAAGAAACCAGGCAACTCAACGTCAATCTCTAGCAAGTAGTTGAACAGGTGTATAAAGACGAAATCAAAAGCTAAGGTATGTACATCGTTGAGTGTCTACTTATATATGTAAGAACTCATGTCAGCCATGAGGCGCTGACTGATAGACATGAGGATGTATCGTGTTTAGCTTGGTAAGATGATTTGTAAGTGATCATGTGACTTAGGGTCATATGATGAGATAAGAAGATAAGATAAGGAAGGCTACGTGATAAGATAAGGAGAAATGAGTGTTTCTACGTCAGAGTTGGAGATGAAAGGTGAAGTATTGGGTGTAAGAGAAGAGGATCGTGACAGTGTGAAAACTACAACAGAAAGTTGAAGAGGAGAATGAAATTTTAAAGGTCCAAAAATTGTGTTTTTGTAACACTACCCCCCTCCTAAGGCTTGACTTCCAGGCGATGTCGATGATGAGAACTGCTGTTAGAAAACCACACACAAAAACAAACTAACACACAATCCTCCCAGATTCCACGGAACTTGTTTATGGGCTTTGCCTCCTAGAACAGTGGAGTGGTCTGGTTGTTCATGGGGTGGTATGTATAAAGATCCTTCAAAGTAAAACCCAGAGGTGTATGAGTGTGGGTTTTGAGGAGGAGGGATAGTTGAATTTATAGGAAGATAGGTGCTTTGTGGCGAGTATAGACGAGCACTACCTTGCTAATGGTAGCACAAGGTAGGTTTGAGAACGACGAGGATGACGAGGTGACGAGGTTCCCAGTGATAGCAGGCTCCTGACGCACAAACTATAGTGCTCAGAAGGACTCTAATCGAAAGGGATGACAATGACTTCAAAAGTGGGAAGTGACAATGACAGCAGTTGACAGTGGTAAAAGTGGGAAGTGTTGTGACCACACTGGATCACAAGTAGCAGATTAGTGAACTTGAGAGTAGAGAAGAAGTCTGGATTGGAGTTCTTGTTTTTTTTTTTTTTACAAGGTAAAATACAGGGGTTTATATAGTAAAAGAAAAGTAGGCTATGCACAGTATAGCTGTGCAAAAAGAATGAGAAAGAACATGAAGGAAGGAATGTATGCTGACGAATCCTGCGTAGGTAGTACAGGATAAGATTGTCTAAAAAAGGAAAAGAAAGAGATAGAACAATGAATGCTGTGAGTAATGTCACAGGTTTGTACAGCCATAAAGTAAAGTCCAATAGCAAAAAGAGAGCAGGAAAATCATGATGTCATGGGAAGATGCAGTAAAAAAAAGGGCAAGGCAAAACACTATCAGTATCAACACAGTTCCTTTATTGTCAGTCAGGCATTCTAAAAAAATATGTGTCCATAAAAATGATTCAAAAATCAAAAATAATCGCACTGTAAATGAATGTTCTGCTGAAGAAAAAGAAACTGGAGCCACCGGTCCACCACCTAGTCCAAATCCGACAGTTCCATGGCCTTACCAATGGACTGGTTGTGTTGGACCACCTGATCAAACGAGGGAGGGAGAGGAGTAGTTCCAATTTGGAACAAGTGAGTCCCAGGCAGCGTGTGGTAGGTGTAGCTGTAGCGAAGACGATGGACAAAAGATAAGTGTACCCAAGTGAATGGGACAGCAATGAACATGGGCGACGCAAGGGGATGAACCTCTCAAAAACTACCCACCCACACTCCAACCAGGCAAGACGAGTGACCGATGTTTTGATAGTATATGATGGTAGATCGACGTCATAAAGATGGACCTGTTGCCCTATTTGAACTGGCTACCGGGGCTTTGCTAATATCAGCAGTGGCACGTGGTAGTCAACGGATCGGCGACGGAAGCGGATAGGAAGTGGTGACATCAGAAATGGTGGGGGAGCAAAGAAGATGAGGAGGAGGAGGGTGGAGGTGACGAGGAGGTAAACTAAAATGGGGATCCAGAAACAACCGTTGGGTGAGAATAAAAACAAGAGTAAAGGACCCATGGTGGGGCTAGGCAAAGGAAGGGAAGTGAAGAAAACAACAAAAACGAGGGCGCAATGCAATGTGTAGCCAGTGGCAATGCAAAAATTTGCCGAAATGCCGAAATGTGGAAAGAACCGAATGGAAAGCAAAGGTGAGTGTGACTGGATTGCCTAATAGAGGTAATGCTGATCAGCCACAAGTTCAAAAAAAGCAATATTAATTACTATTCCACGTGGCACTGTGCCTGTGTGGCGCAAAGGCGAGTCTTTTTGAATATTCGCTTCGTTATTGACACCTGTCCATGCTACCAATCAACTTTGGTGCATGACAGCGCCCAGTCATGCTCAGCTTGCAGTTTAAAATATTTTTTGATCTCGACTTTGAGATAGTCCCAGACAGGCCACACTCCCGCGGTGTAGCACTCCTGCATTCTAACTTGGGCGTATCAACCCGCCACAGGTCCTTTTAATTGAGATAGTACCACAGTTGCTACCTCAAAGTCATCAGCAAACGCATCCCAGTTTGCTTTGACCCAAATTTGGAGCTTGATCCACCACTCGGCTAATCATGCTCTGTCTCCCTCAAAGGCGCCAGGGTCAGCGACGACTTCGACTTTCTTATTGAACTTCTTCTCGACCGAGGGGGTTGCTGCAGGGGGATGTGCCTGCAGCTCGGCGAATTGCGTGGTCAACGCCAAAATCTGTGCACGCATGTTGTGCAACAGAGCATTGATGTTGGGTTGTTGTTGCGACAACATGTCAACTTGTTCTCTTGGTAAGGTAAAAAAAATGTAACAGGGGGTCCCCACTTGCTATCTGCGGATCTACCTCTTCCCTGCTGAGTATCGGATCTCAATCTCCGACTACACACACTATAGTATTTGAAAAGGTATATAAAAAAGTATTTGTAATAAACCCTGGTCCGAGTGGTTGTCAGGGGGTGGTCCACTCGTTAAGCTGTCAACCCTTCTCCAGACTGGCGGAGGCAAGTGCCTGGCCTGGTCAGAGGAAAGAGAAAGAGAAGATTTGTATGTAAATTCTAATCAACAATAGTTCCACACTATTGCTGAGCTAAAGTACTCCCCTTCACGCTGGGGGCCGCGTATCAAAATTATTGTCTCTTCTCCCAAAGCACTACAAGGCCGTTGCTAGGAGTGCACCTATCTGCTATGCGGGATATTCCCAAACAATAATACTATCCCCTTAACCCTGGGATCCAGGTTTGCACAATGCACGAGAGAGTAGAAAGAGTGAGTCCTAATGTAACAACCAAGAGTTTGTTACTCTGGCGCACAACTCAGACAAGCTATAGAGATGATGGTGTGGGAGTGGTTACCCTTTGGGCTTCAACAAGTTAGTTGTGAGGACACAACAGGAGGACTCGCTGAGGAGTCTCCTTGATCTATTGGGGTATATATACTACTACAGGTTTGTATGTACATATGTACTATACAGTTGATGAAGGCAGTGGCTGATGATGTCATGGGCACAGCCCGTGTGACCAGCTCTACTGCGTGAGATACTTGTAGCTAAAATAAGAAGGAAGGCAGCGCAGCGTGAGAAAGAGGAGAATGAAAATTAAAGGTCCGAAAATTGTGTATCGTAACATATATGTTCCGATTAATTGTGTTCTTATTCTCTTACAATGGCTGGCCACCAGAGCAATATCCAATATCCGGTTAATTGTACAAGATGCAATTTACCAAGCAACTCGAACTTCTTATCAATCTATGAATATAGATGTTGAGGTTTGTTGATCTATTATCTAAAGCAAGATATCAAGATATTGATGAAGAGATAGAAAGTTCTACGGAAAGAAAAAGACAATCTCCGGTTTAATAATGTCTTTGGAAACCCCGCTCATGAACGTTTGCTGGGATCAAGGATCAAAGATATCTGCTCAAGTGTCCGAAACAATTTTTGACTGGATGTAAGCCCTGTTTTCTTCTCATGAATAACAGCTTTTACTGAGACATCCAGTGTTACAATTGACATACCAGCACCTACTTACGCTTCACTTTTGTACTTCTACTTTGATTTTCCAAGTCACATGACCAGTCATGTGACCATTTACTTTACTTTACATTTTTGACTTTTCATAGTCACATGACCAGTCATGTGACACATCACCTGACCAGTGTCTAGACTCATCATGTGACCGGTCACATGCTAGACATTGGACTTTAAACTTTATTTACAACTGTACAGTACCTCATGTATTTTAGTATATATACAAGAGCAATACATGGGGAAGGACTCAGCGAGTCCTCCTGTTGTCTAGCACAACTAACCACTCCCCATCATCTTCTTTATAGTGTGTTCCTGTGTGCGCCAGAGTAAATAACTCTTGGTTGTTACATCCAGATCCAAAACAGTATCATTGGTGAGAAGGCAGTAACTCTTGCTGAGTTTACCTATAGCTCAGCAATGAAATATAAGAGATTTGGAGCGACGACTTGGATGGGAGCTTCACAAATCACATTGCTCTGTTGGTACGTAGTATGTATCATGTTTATAAGGCAGGTAACTGACATTGTTCTAGCGTTGTTTTGGCTTTGAGAACTTACAATTAATTGAAAATGCAGCACCTGAGAAGGAAGCGGGCAGGACAACTGATCAAGATATTACTGAGCCAGCTACAAAGAAATGCAAGAGAATGGGAGGGCAGGTAGCTGAAGGTGAAGATTTTTGGGGGAAATTAGATGATTGGTTCAAAAAGGGATTGAAGTTGCAAGGAAATAACATGAAAATGTCGGAGTGGAAGCAGTGAGTAATTTATTGTTTTCTTTGGCTCCATTGGTGAACTCATATGGTGCTTTATATTCCTGGTACCGTAGGTTACCAAGTCTCACATTCACAATTTGACACTGGAAATGGCACAGGTTGTTTGCACTGAATATTTCTTTATGACTGTATGTTTTGCACGCCAATACTTGCACTTTAAGGTAGGGCTCACACACCACGTGATCTGTGCCAACCTGTGACCCACTCAAATCCATGCTTGTTGTGACACTGTGTCCGACTCCATTTTCTTAATGGCAACTGCACATTGCATATTTCTGACAATCGGCTGGGACAGAGATGGGCGGAATCAAGCTGCAAAACTTTCTGTGCAATTTTTTAAGACAAAAATAAGGTTTTGTGCGTGCAATTAGATATATACAAGAAAGTCACAGGTGATCATGTGACGTTAGTGCCTTAGCAGACGACTGAATCTTGTCAATGCAATTCATGTCACTTTGATTCGAGCTTACATGCCCACTTCAATATCGTTGTCGGTGCCAGGGGTGCCCGGAGGGCGATGCTGTAATACTTGTAAGGTACATTATGGAAACAATTTGCCTGGACAACGCCAAATCCAATCGCAAGATGCCTGTGCGCAGTCAAATTGAAGAGAGTGCTTCATCGGAAGATATTTTAGGTAGTCATTCAAGTGCAGGTGTTACAGAGCCCATTCTGATGGATTTAATGGCTGCTAGTCTTTAGAATAATGTGTATTTTCTGTAGTGCGAGCAGAATGAAAACTGTGCTATTAATACTATGGAAAACACCATGAGCTAGTACATGGGAAGATATTGCCTTATCAATACTGATTGCTGGAGAAACGGATTGAATTCAATTACTACATTTTGGATCTGTGCTGGTGGGGCAACATATGGACTGAGGAGCGGCCCTCCCGAAACATGCTCAGTAGCGGATGAATCCGGGCTCACTTCAAAGTGGCATTTGCCGGGCTGAACGAAAATGTCTGGCTGTGTACACATCTGGGTGGCTGGCTGTACGCGATTTTCCGGTATGGACTGTCTGTTATCTGTTACTTGTTTGTCAACCATAAAAACCAACAAAATGGCATATCCACACTCGGTCGCTGGAAGTCAGGAAGGTCGCGAAATGTCGCGAAATCAACGTGATCTTGTGGATACTTGCTTCGAGGAAGGCCAATATGAGTCAGGGATTCAAACGCTCGAACAGCTTCGCTCACTAAACCTCAGGCCTTCCGTGTGCGTCAATTTTTGCTTGCGTATATATCGTGTAGTGGTTACTGTTCCTCACTGTCAGTGCAGATCACATATCCGCCAGTTACTTTACATAGCACTGTATCCTCCACCGCCTGAAACAGCCGATAAAAGAAAGGAAAAAGGACAAGTGTCTATGTCTCCCATCAAGTCTTCACCAAACAAAAATAATCAGCAACAGAGGTCTACCCACATACCATCTCCTGATGCCACGGCGGCTGCACAAAGCCTGCTTACGTCGTTCGCTCTCACAAACTCTCCTATCTCCATTTACCGCGCCTTGCCACAATATGGCTCTCACAATGATGTCCGAAGCTCACCGGACCTCACCGGAGAAGAAGATGATTCTATCATTGCCCGGGAGTCTGCCTGCATAGTCAAGAGCAAGCATTGTTGGGCTATCCTTAAAGAGAGATTTATACAGCGTAAGCAACTGTCCGTCATGTCAAAAAAGGGGAACAGGAAGTCGCGCAGCAGCTACATTTACGATCACGAAGAAGAAGCATCTGTTGAATCTGCAGAGCCATCACCCCTTTCTTCGGTTGCAGACCATGTGTGGCCGGTATTAGACTGGCTGATTATATTATTTGAAAATGATGAATCTCTGACAGAGGATGTAGGATTACGTGAGTGATGGCTCCTTGCCAGAGCGCTCGTTCTGACTACAATATCGATATCAGCGCGACATTCTCCACTATTATTATCTCAAATCCCCCCTCCTGTGTCTGGTGGTGCGCGATGCGATGTTGATGCACCTTTGGATATTGTGTGGTATTCTCTGATGCAGAGCGACCATATGCGGAAAACAATGGGTTCCCGAATCATGTCTTTGGTTTGTAAAGCGTCTTGTGTTTCCGCTTGTCTGCTGATTTGCGAATGATCGTTCTTTAGCTGATAAATCTCATGTCATCGACTCATTTTGATACTAACACGTTTGTTACTTCTGTGGCTGCCCGTCTTTTCTCATCGACCCCAGACTTCTGCAACACATTCTTCTCTTGTTTACCTGCCTCGTCGTCGGTTCTCACGTTTAAAGTGGCGCTTTGCAGAAAATATCTTGCTGGCGTTTCAACAAACGCTGGACCAGAGCAGTCAAATCACCGTCCAAAACCACAAGCACGCGCTATACGGAGTGCACGCCGCAGCAGTACATCTCAGGTGGACTTTGCTTCCTCCACCGGTACTACTAACTTGTTATCAGTCTCCAACAAATCTATGCTTCCCTCAGCTACCGAAATAATGCAGCTGTCTCTAATCGAATATCATGAAACAGGATTACAGAGTGGTCATGCTCAATTAGTCCGAGCTAAATACGAAATTCTCCTTGCATATGGCACACTGAAGGACGCTTTGCCTACCGAACAGAAGGACTCTGAATGGCAAGCAATGGTTTCCAAAGGACGGCTTGAGCAAGCCATCACATTAGCATTCCCGCAGGAAGGCGAAGGGTGCACCTACAGAGAAGCTCTCCTTGCGACCTTGAACATTTGGAGGCTTGGTTAAGGATTTTAGGTCTCCAGTGTGACATATCTTCGAGCGTCATCACACACTATCACCCCTTAGTATACAATCATGATGTGTACACTAATACAACTTGTATCATGTAAGACCAGCGCCCCCTTTTCATGATTGCGTTGCTATCCTGGATGGCGCAATACGCCTGCACCTCTAGTAATGAGAACAAAGTGACAAATATGAACACATAACTCCAACGCGTACAAACAGCCGTTCATATATCTATCAGGATCAGATAATACTATGTACGGGGGAACTAGGAATCTCAGAGCTGTTCAATCAATATTCTTCCTGCCACTCCATGTTCCGATTCAAGAATGGGAGGTGAACCCTGATACAAATGTAAAGGAATCTGACCAATGTAATGCTCGCTGTATAGTAACATAAGTTGGAAAGAAGACCTCACAATCTAAAGGGAACATACCCTCCAAAGCCTCCAACGAAATAGACATCCTGTGTATCCATAGTCATTGGGAGTGTAGAACTCTAAGCAAAGCTATACTTACATGGGGGTCAAATCGAGCCCAATATGACTAGATTCACGGCGCTATAAGCCGAGAGAACCCATAGGAAAGTTACTCGTGACTTACAATGTGAGCGCCTTTGTCGTCGTCAGGAAGCCACCAACGTGCATCAGGGTGTTTTTTGAGATAACATGCTCTGATTGCATCTACATCTGGGACAAGCCGTGAGTCGCGGAAAACCGTGACATCGCCCATTAGAGAAACTCGAGCATTTTTGGCCGCTGGATGTTCCGCAGAAACAGATATAGAGGCAAAATGACTAGGTGAACTGAGTATATTCTGGCTATGGCGCGAGATAGGTAGAAATATAAGGGTCAGGGAACCATTGTTATGGCAGCTTTACGACACAATGCCCGTTAGACGTGTATGTGTCGAACGATAAGAATGATAACACCTAGCGTAGTATTCTTGTATAGAGAATGGATGACCTGTCAAAAGTATTTCTAGGTGAGCAGGGAGGATACGTTGATAGGGGGCATAGATTTTGACTAACCAGGTAAGGTCGGATGATCTACGGGATACACCGTAGCCATGGTACCGATGGACGTTGAGGAGTGGTCTACTAATTTCCTAGCTAGAATGGCTGGACGTTTATAAGACGTGGGTTTTTTACAAAATATATCGAGGCATGCGTGCATACCTGCCTCTTTGACCGTTTCGTGGGCCTTTACGGTCGAATGGATCAACATCAAGCCGAGAATGGCGCGCCAGACAACAGCTTTAGTCAGTACGAGCATAATGATACCCTAGATATATGACAGGATTCGTAAATGCATTGATGCTCATGTCAAGCCCTCCAGACCACTTACCTGCAGATTAACAGAATACACACTCAAAGTGAGGTTTATCAATGCCCAACATCGTGGCATGTGCATGACGACAATTGTTCGCGGAGTGCTGCTTATGTAAACTTCCTCTAACAGACATTAGTGAATGGGCTACAAAAAATCAAGGCTACGATAGCGCTGGGGTAAACATTATGTATCTTCCGCTTCCTCTTCCACCTCATCATCCAAGTCCACATCCACAAGTTCCCCGTCATCGGCACCGCATGCTTGATCATCTTTTACTTTACCTTGCTGACCTCTCCACATGTCCGCGAGAAATTCCGATGTACTCGCATGCTCTATCGACTTGTCATCCCTGACCCTGATAAATCTGGGGAATCGAAGGCTTAGGCCCCTAGTCTGGGATACCAAGCCCATCGCAGCCAAGGAAACAGGACTCAATGTAACACTGTGTGATCTGCTCAGCTGGCGCTTTTCCAAGTAAAGCAGCGATGTTTACTCTGCACCACGTATCTCCCACACTTCCCGAGGTTTGAAGTAGACATCTGGATCGAAGCCTTTCGGGAAAGAAATTCTGGATCAGCCTACTAGATTAATGGTATAGCTTACCTCCGGTGATGCATTCCCACTGCGGCAGCCGTGAACACGTATCTGAATCTTCTGGGAATCTCGACTTCATTTCCTGACCGAAAGGAGGTAAGGTCAGACAGAAGTCCAAAAAGGGGAGCTGCGCAGTACATACTCTGTAGAAAACATCAGAAAATCCTGTGCAAGGTGTGAGCATCATAACAATCTATAGCTGTTCGGCCTAGAAGCACTGACCAGACATGCATTTACACACAGCAACAAGATCTCCTGTAGTCGATTCCCGTACTGCTAACAAAATTGGACTCCACCAGCCAGCCTTACGACCATTACCATGCCATGCGCCTATAGGGACGAGATCAAGACTGTCTCCTATACTTAGCACATAATCCTTTTTGAGCTTCAACCATGCAGAAGTGCGTTTATCTAATTAGATAAGGAAAAACCAAGTTCAGGAATATTCGGTTACTTCAAAATGAGCATTACCAGGTTCATATGTGGCTGGTAGGGGTTTCTTTTTAACTTTGTCCTTTTGCAGCGAAAACTCCTCCGGAACTTCCCCGCTGTCAAGTAACTGGGGAAGATAGGTCAGTACCATAGTGTTGCTAAGGTAAGATCTCCATACTTTAATCATCAAACCTTCACACCGACTTTCTACCGCTTTCATCCAAAAGTCCTCAACATGACCCCGACCCTCCTCGCTGTCAAAACTGTCGACTTGGTCCAGACGAGCGGCTCCCTGTTCCTTAGGAATTTGGGGAGGAAAGTTAACTCGCAGTAGGGAACGCCGCTCACGAAAGGGGCGTTCAAGAAGTATCTATCAGATGGTCATTGTGGTCACAATATCCATTTGGCATTTGGATCCATGGCCACTATTTGACTCACCTCGCCATTCAAAAGCATAAGATCAAATGCGAATACGCACACAGCAACTTTAACATCTTGTATATTGACATCTTTTCGGGCTCTGTTTGACAACTCTTGAAATGACTTAAGGCTACCATGAGCGGGATCAATAGCAACTATCTCCGCATCCATGATAAAACATTGTAGATCCGGCGAAGAGGCGAAAACACACTTCACCAAGGATACAATGTCGGGGTACTATGAGATAAATCTCAGGAGTTGTCAGCGTGATACAGATGAAACGATACCGACCTTACTCGTCATATCTTCTAAGTGACGAGAAAAAATGCGAACGAAGACTTGCCCGTCCTTATCTTTGGAACCATGGATTTGGGCACGCTGTCCATCATACTTAAATTCAGCGGTGAATGATAAATCGCCGAGACGATCGTATATCTCATCCAGAGATCGAGTGGGAGAACCCAAAGTCGGGTGCAGAGGAATCCCTGGGTTATCTCAACAAATTGCAACATCGACAGTACGAATACACACATATGACTCACCTATGGTAAGCGGAACACGTTCGGCCAACCCATCTAAACCGCCCTCAAAAAGACCAGCAACTATGTGATCATAATTTGGGTGTTGTACAAATACTTTCTTGACTAAACTCTCTGCAAGTGAGAACTTCGCAAGCACCCGGTCCCTAGATTCATCAGCAACCTTTCTCTTGCTGTCCGTGGAAAGTGGTTTCACTGCGGCGAGAAGGTTAGGGTTTGTGTAATAGGATGAATCTATGGATAAGGGCGTAGACATATTGGAGGGCGGTGTCAAAACCATAGCTCTGGAAAGGGCCGTAAGAATTGATGTTCTAACAGCCCCAACACGAAGATTCATTGATAATGTCCGAACAAGAAATCTGACTTCTTCTCCTTTGGCTGCGACAAGCAGTTTTTCCACTATAGTTTGCTTCTGTTTATTGGCACCCTGTCCCTTGACATTTGCGATCTTTATAAGTGAGTCATATACGGCCGTGATACAAAGCGGAGGATGCGGGACCAAAGTACGCAAATTGGACTTGGCCTCAAAAGCGACATCTCCAGGGTCACCTGAGGCATTATATAGCCTTTTGAGGGCGGCAGGAGTTAGCCCAGAGACATGCTGGATAGCCTTTGAGATGACAGAACTACCTATTCCAAGTTCGATAGGTGAATAGGGCGGCGATAAAGTGTTAGAGAGGAGATAGAGTGCTGGAAGTAGGGATGAGGGGTTATAGCGTAATAGCGTACGGAGGCAATTTGTCAGGGTGTTGATGATAACTATACGAGAGCGCGTCTCGGAGAGCGTCACAAGAGTGTGTGCGATAAATGCATAGGGTGCGGCAGTGTTTGCGGGCCAGGGTTCTTCATGTATAGCATAGACAAGTGTGTCTATAGATAAAGGCCTGTAGGGCGTCCCGCTAGGTCCATCGTTCGAGATGGCAGAGTTAAAAAATTCCGACCTTGGCGCAATGTACGAAGGCGAACTGGACGCAATATTATTGGATTGAGCAAAAGGAGAAAGGCGAGAGGCCGAGGGTCCAGGTTGATTAATTGTTTCAAAAGAAGTAGTTGTGTCGCGGGTGGTTGGTAGCGAATCAATATCAATGACCTCTGTGAATTGCTTCATCGGGTCCTCGTAGTGTGCCTCCAACCCCTGCGCTGTCGTCAGATCAACACCGCTCTGTATAGCTAATTCCCTGGTATACTTCTCGCCATCCAGGGTGTTTTCAATGTCGATTGAGTCATGATGCTCCGCCTTCGCCTTTCCTTTGCCAGACTTGGGCTGGTTCGCCTTGGGTCCTCCGAAATAGCTGTCAAGAACTGACTGATCCCCAGACTTTCGCGCTCTACTTTTCCTGCGACTTGTCGTTGCAGAGCTGAGGGTGCGCTTCGGCATGATAGCAAACCGGCAGAGAGCAGTGCTGGCGCGGGTTCCTATGGGCGACATCCACAAAGCGAACATGCACGAGATCGGAGACCCAAACGATCAGGTAAGCTTTGAACCGGTGAACGATTTATTTGCCGTAGTCACTGTGGCCCTTCAGGCGTGCTTCAGGCCCGAAATATGTCCAGTTCAACTGATATCCAAATTCACATCATTTCTATCACATGCCCGTCGTTGTGCAGTAATGCTGGACATCGCTCATTTGAGTTAAGGGGTCATTGTATACACTGCTGGAGCACTTGTCAAATCTTTTCTCCTTCTGGTATCGTCTCAAGGCGAAGATCAGACAGGTTTAGGCACTTCTGAGACCTGTCAAATGAATGGAGGGCTCAATGGCGTGCATTCCGTATGATGGTAACCTAGAAATTTGTCTTAAACGGAACATATGTAGGCACACACAGCTTTTTGACCGCGTTCGTTGCGGAGTCACTTGAACTGTCACTCCATACAAGCAACGCACAAGACGAATGCTACAAGCTTACTCCACATGCAATAGTACAGTAAGAGCTGAGACTGCCACCTAACCTGTAGCACACATAACGGGAGATACATGTCCCGTGCGCGTTATCCAATAATGGTACCTGAATCAGTCGTCGTTGTCAATGCCTTATTTATACAGACATCCAGATGCGGAATCTGCCAACGACCTATGGTTCGCGAAGTCACTGCTATCTGCCAATGAGTAACAGCACTTGAAGCTGGGGAGAAGGATAACGAAACAGGACCCTGACCTAGCTCCCAATTACATGCCATCACGCGTAATGATTGACACTGAAATCAATTCCGCGATTTGACATTTGGATCGGCTGCATTCCTGTTATCCACTAGCAAGCGAGACATACCAACGCGCGGTACAAAAGGACCACTCGCGGAGGTCACAACTCACGACAGGGACGGACAGATATCGTAACACCCCAGGCTTAATCATAGGTATACTTTGATCACAACGCCACGACGTGCAAAGACCCGTGGCGTTCTGCGAGCTGCCTTCGCCAGTTGCTCCCGCTTCTGAAGATGAAATCATAGTGCATCACTTACCATAACAAGTCCTGATCCTCTTTCTCAAACTTTGTGGAGAGTTTACGGGGAGCCCATGGGAACCTGCTCCTGTATGAGAGATGTTTCGTCCCCACTATCACGTAAAAGTCCAAGGGTCCATCACTGCTCTAAGAGAAGAAAAGTGTCAACTGATAGACATAATATGTAACATAGTGAGAAAAGGTTAGCGTAGTAAATAATTTCTACTCACCAGACCACCCTTAGGAGGGAGTCTCGCCCCAGATAACTGCCTCCATTGAGCAAAAGCGGAAAAACAGATACTCCAGGTTTAGCCACGAAGGCTACCAATAGCAAGAGTGCTGAACACGTCGCCCGAGTGGCCGGATAGCAATGCCTGGATATGTCTAAGCACGTAACACTTGACCGATCTTCAAATCACCTAGTGTGGTAGCATCGTCAGCGCAGTCTACCTCAATGGGGGAAGTTTAAACCAGAACTGAAAACACACTTACGACATCATGAGCTGGGAGAAGTTATCTCTTTTCGATCACAACGGGGAGAGGCTATGCAACCTGTCACAAGAACAGGTGCATAATTCTTCACCATCAAGATATGATTCATTCATAGCCCACGGAATCTAAGAGAGATACCGGATTTGATAGCTACTACTCTGAACAGTCACAGGACCGCAACCAATCTCTAACCGCTGGTCGAGTGTCTGGACTTCCCTAATCGGTAGGCGCGGTGATGTTGAAATATACGACAGATAACGAATTTCATCAGAGCAGGAGGCCATCGAAAAGGTAAACATGAATAAAGCTGAGTCTCGAAAGTGTCTGAACCAGATCATCTAACTTTAGTTAGGAAATATGATCAGGGATGAATTCCCATTGAGACGTTTAACGGTCATTTCGGTAGGCATCAGGCACGTAGAAAAATCAATTCCGTTTCCGTGAATGTAAGAGGGTGACAATTACCTGTCTCCTTCCAGACGACGGTTCCCGGAGGCACGGCGAAATAACCATACACCCGCCCTGTTCAGCGGCTCTCGAAACGCATATGAACCGACAGTGGAGTCCTTGGCTCAGTGCCTTCTAAGAAATCCGCCTCACTTTCGATCAATACCATGACCGATCGACGTAACTTCTCCTACGTTCCCAACACCATCCCAGCCCATGCTGGTCAATGGGCCGCTAGTCAACCCGCTCACTACTCATCTGCAGGGCACTACCAGTCATCGTCGTACGGTTATGCACAAACAAATGGTTTTCGCACCGGGATGCACCCATCCTCTCCGCCGTACGCGACGAGTGGTATGCCACAATCCCCAGTCCAGTACCCAGGAGCGGAATATGCAACCGTTCCATCCCATTCCTCCATGACGAACCGCACTCCTTCTGGTGTTTATTCTCACCATCCAATGTATATCTCAGAGAATATGCCCACAACACACACTTCGCGTCAACCGATCCCCATTCCCCGCTCGCACCCGTCGCAGGGCTACCCAATGCCAAATTCTCATTCTTCGCGCAACTCCATGACAGTATCTCCTCCTTACCCATCGCCAAATTATTCTTCGCATGGGTCTCCACCTGTAGATCACATGGCACAGTACCCTGCATCTCCAACTCGGCCATTTTCTTGTGATATGTGTGCGCTATCATTCAACCGACAGCATGACCTCAAGCGACACAGAGAAACACACTCTGGGGAGAAGCCATTCTTTTGCAACGGAGGATGTGGAAAGACCTTTACAAGAAAAGATGCTCTTAAGCGACACCAGGTTTGGGAATCACTCTGAGCGCATTGTACGGTTACTCACCAAAACCATTAGCTCGTTAAACATTGTGGCCATGAAGAGGACGCGTGATTGGACTTTAGGGTTGTTACCTTTTATTATAGTAATGTTAGCTCAGACTGGATCACTCAACAAGCTTTCACTGACTTTATCTTGCAGTTAAATTTTGGCTTGAACGATTATCCTGTACTAATTATTCCATTGTATACGACGATGTTTGAGATTTTTGGGGACGTGTACCATAACTATAGCCTACACAGCATATATTTGGAATGACATATAAGCATTCAGATCTGGCCGAACAACAATTCTCTTACGTTTCCGCTCAAGAAAAGAATTTCAAGATATTCTCATTGCGTTCTAGTTTTTCTCCGCGCTATCGATGACTCTCTCGAGGATCCATGCATCGCGCGGGACAATTCTCTTGTAATAGTTCTCGTGCACTCCAACTTCTTTGAAACCGTGCCGCTCGTAGAACCTTTTAGCAGGGTCATTGGAAACTTGAACATGGAGATATATGTGACTGATTTTTGGCTTGGCCTGTGATGCTGCGGCTTTCACGATAAGCTCAAGGCTCTGCGATCCAAGCTTTCGGCAACGATACGGCTTTCGTATGGGCCTGAGCGCATGTAGCGATATGAAGTATTAAGTTAGCTTACTGCAAGAACGCCCATAGTCATCAGATACAGTTTGGTGACCCCATCTGTCGTTTCTAGTCTGCAACAAATAGTCCCAACTGGGACATCGTTGTAATACACTAAATGGGACGAGATCTGTCATGAATGGTTTGCTATCATGTAGGACTTCCTGACAACGCACCAAGTTTGCAGAAATCCTCTAGTTCTGGTAATAAAATATCCTGGTAGAATTTCTCGCTATACCTGATTGGGAACAAGACAGAGTTTAACTTTCTAACAGTCCCAAGGTTGTTTGGTGTCAGAGACGCGAAAGAAACGCGCTCTGGTGTCTTAGGGAGTGATTCTGTGCCAGTGGTCGACATTGGGAGAGCAGAGCTTGAGAGAGAGTGAGGGAATCGTCAAGCGAGGTACGAGGTTGTGGGAATATCTGCCGTAATATCCTATCCCTCTCATGACATGACCAAGTTTTCAGCCACCAGGTTCAAAAAGTTACCTGTCGAGCCTCTCTGACGTTTTCGATGCTGACAGCCATAAGGAAACATTTTTCCGGTCAAAGTGGAACTGTAGGACATCTTTCACCTGCTAATCAGAACTGATTGAATATTTTAGATCTTATCATTCCTACTTGATATAATACCCGGAAGTTGCTTAGTACACCCGCAGTCGCATTACCAGTGTGTACCCATCATACGTTTCTGAAGGTGAAAATTCAAATTCTAAGCATTGTGGCCAGGCCTCCCTACACCGATTATGACAGTTACATCGGTCATTTGCTTCCCCCTGCTCCGATAAGAGCGGTGAGTCTGCTTTCTATGCCATATCCGTGTTGTCATGGGAGTCAAACTCAAATGCGATATCGATAGGATCAGCATGCAATATGTCGTGACATGATGTCCCCACTTACTAGTCCTTTATGCCCATTACTGGCTGAAACTCCCCGAAATTGAAAAGGTTTGGTAGGTGTCGCTGCAGTCAACTGCTCCCGGCATCACCTGTCCGAAACAAACATAACTCGCATCAGGTCCGCGGTTTTCGATCCACCTAATCCTGGCTTGTTGGTTCTCCCAGCTTCTACCTCTATCTCAGTGCTAAATGGCGATGTAACCGGTGACCTGCTAGATCGCCCGCACAAGGCCATCGTTGGTCTTTTCGGACGTTATCTGGTCTCCAAAGATGTTGTCAAGGAATATCTCAGACCGTCCTAGATCCACGGTATCTCATATCAGACTGTTGGCGGCCCGGACAGCCAATGTTCGTAGAGGATCCTGACGGACCATTTCCGGGAGACGCTCATAATGCTACCCACCCATCTAGAAACTGAACCAGGACACTATTCCTCTACATGGCATTGGCATCGAACAAGATCTGATAAGCAGTCAAGTTTGTCTAGATCCTTCCAACGCGTTCGCAGTACCTGTGCTAAGGAACACTTCCCAAGTGCAACCACTCAAGAACGTGCCTTCCACTGCTCTTCGTGGCACATCTCCACCGCAATCATCTCGGAAATTTACAGCACAGCCGTTTCAACTCGTTTGAATTGCTATTGGTCTCCTCCGTGCTTTGCTTAGTCCCTTTCATGACGCTCACAGCCCACCCCACCAGCTATGATAACCGCAAATGGGATTTTGGACAGTAATGTTCCTGAAGATAGGTCGGATATCTGGTCCGATCCCTGCCGTATTTCCGGCACATTGGCAAAGACAGGGCCTGAGCGATCCTAGAATCATCTCTACACGAGGCATGTAAAAGTTTGCTTGACGTTTCACTCTCAGACTCATAAATTTCTGACATCTATTTCATTTTCTGTTCCTAGTGGTTAGCAAGACACTGAAGAATGCATCCAGGATCAGTCGTCTCTCAAGATGCTAACTATACGATGAAGTGCTAGTGCAAGTTAGCTTCGCTGTTATTATTGGCTCGATAATCCGTTACTTCACGAAGCTTTTGTCAGCACCATCAAGTGGTCGTTGTAATTATCCCATCGTGTCACCGGAATGCTTGTCAGCTGGTTCGGTGAGTGTGGTAAAATGGGGGTCGTGTACCCTGCAAAGCTGTTGTTGCGGCCCCGCATCTCTGTCATCATTCTGTGGAATAATCTCAGCGCTCATATTCTGGTATCATTTGAATTTTGTCCCTTAAATGAACATCGAACGCTTTACCTGCACCACCTGACAGTCATACGATTTCTCAAGACAATGCATTATGAAACGCCTTCTCATGGTTGAACTAGTACTGTCTCCATCGAGCTATGATTATCATTTGAAAGTCCTCTAGATCATGTAACAGCAGCAACGACGGAAAGTCTGATGGAAGGCTACGTCTCGTGTGAGTATGTGGTAGTACAAGTGGTATGAAGAGTGTAACAAGAGGTTAGATAGCAAGCACAACATACAAATCAAACATTGAAAACGCGATAACGTAGGGCGTGTCAGGTTAATAAGAAAACGAAAACTCAAGGAAAGAATACATGTGAATACCACGGTATTGGTGACTATGCAAATGTAAACGGGCCTAAGTCACTAGGTGATCGACTCCGGTTCCTCTTTTCCCCTTCGTAGGAGAGGATGGTGCACGTGAACGTCGTTTGCGAGGAGAGCGTTGTAGCCGGTCGAGGTAGACATCATCGTAACTCCGAAATATGCATGCTCCCAGCTTCTCATCATGCTCTGCCAGCGTTGCCCATACGCAGTGCCATGCTCTGTCTTCTTTGAATCGGAGAGCCACTCCAGTATGATTCTGATCCCATCGCTCCTCTTTTTGCTTCATCTCGAATGCTTTGTCGGTGAGAGTGATAAGTGCGCAATCCTCGATCGTCAATTCCACATGGACCTGTCCAGTGGGAGTATTCATAAGCGTTTCTAGCGAATGGTCCATTTCGAGCCGCTTGGGTACACCTCGATATACGGGGTCATAGCCGTCGACAAGGATTTGGAATGTGGTATGATCGGAGAAGTCGAGAGTTAAGGTTGGGTGTTTGGGTGAGCGGCTAATCCTCGTGAGCACCTTTCCGACAATAAGGCTTGGGTCGATGCCGACACTTTGCAAGCGAAGTGGTACAGGAGGGCGTCGTGATTTAGTAGGCGAGATAGGCGAAGGTGTGCATGGTCGGGACGAAGTGTCAGAGATTACAAGAGTGCACGAATCCGAGCTGGTTTCACTCGAGTCACTGGGGAACATTTCAAAGTTCCAGGATGTCAGGGCTGCACCGCTGAAATATATTACAACAAAAGACGACAAGATATTAGTCTTTATACAAGAAAGCAAACCAAAGCGATTTCAGTGTCCTTTGGCTTTGGTGGTTGGGGACGAGATCCACAGCGCTTTGGCCACTGATCAGGGACATAACAACAAATGCAAATACATCTCGGAAGCAAAAAGAAAGCAGATCGCAAAGGGACGCAAAAAGTACTGACACTGACGAGATTCGAACTCGCGAGGTTTCCCATCACGGTTTGGCTCTAGACCTAAACGTGACGCCGTAACCACTTGGCTACAGTGCCATGTAAAAGAGACTGACGACGCGATCTTTGTCCGCAATAAGTGGTTATCATCGATCGGTTTTCAATGCACGGCAGTTTCCATGAAATGAGCGCTGGTGCGCCTTCACACTGAGAGCGGTGGGCATTGGGCATAGACACGTCGTTCATTACAATGCAATCGTCGCACTCGCGCCCTATTGGGCCTCGCAGCAATCCGCGTTCGCAGTCTCCAGCTCCCCCAGCTCTGGGAGGAACTCGTCCTCTTCAGATTCGTAAAGTATCTAACGATCCATCTCCATCTCCATCGTTGCATCCCCCATCCCCACCATTACCGTCCTTGTCTTCCTCTCCAGTGCCATCGCGACCTCACCTTCCGGGTCTTTCTTTGCCACGACCCAATGGCTCAAAACCTCTTTTACGCCTTCCCATGGCAGGCGCGTACGGCGCATCTTACTATCAGGGACCACCCACTATTCCTCTGGAGTTGAACTCAGAAAACCCTGGAGTCCTTACTGTGCGACCGGAGACGGTTGCCCAGACACCTAAGCCAAATGAAGCAGAAAAACCAGACAACAGCATCGCACAGCTGGTTGCCGTCTTCGACAAGGCATCCCTCGACACATATTCTGCTAACGAGGAATCAGTGGCTTATGGTGCTACAAAGTGGTCAGACGGCGTCCTCGAAGAACTTGACCGGCTAGGAGAGGGCCAGGGTGGTGCAGTCCATAAGGTTAGAGACAAGCGCAGCAATTTCATTATGGCAAGAAAGACAATCACCACGAGAGAGGCGCCTCTCAAGCAGCTCGAACGTGAACTGTTCATTTCGTCTACCACGAAGCATGTCAATATCATCCGCTTCTATGGCGCTTACATGTCGCCTTCATCGAGCGAGGTTAAAGTTGTAATGGAATATTGCCCGGGGAAAAGTTTGGAGGCGGTCGGCAAACGTATCAAAGACCGAGGAGGGAGGATAAGCGAAAAGGTGGCAGGACGCCTGGCCGAAGGGGTGATTCCTTTATCAAAGTCGTGTCTTGATTATCATCTCATTTATGTGTTTTTTTAGGTACTCCAAGGCCTTGCCTATCTGTACAGCCTGAAGACTATTCACAGGGATATCAAGCCGTCAAATATTCTCCTTACTGGCGAGGGTATCGTAAAACTATGTGATTTTGGTGTTTCTGGGGAACTCGTTCGATCCCTGGCCGGAACTTTCACGGGGACAAGCTTTTACATGGCTGTCAGTAGCTCAGTATACACTTTGCCTATTGCTTTTCCTCACGATGTTTTGTAGCCCGAACGTATCAGCGGCAAGGAGTACAGTATACGTGCCGACGTTTGGTCTACGGGTATTACGCTATTGGAACTAGTGCAAAACCGCTACCCCTTCCCTGATGACCTGACTCCGATTGAATTACTGGTCCACATCACTACTGGAGAGGTCGGTTCACTAATTATCTACGCGATATTAAAATCTTGCTGAAGCATTATGTCCGCTAAATCAGCCTCCTCAACTCACCGACGAAGCGGATGTCAGATGGAGCAATGACATGAAGGATTTCATCAAGCAGACGTAAGTAGTAACCCTCTTCCTGCGTGCATGACCTACTGAAAGACACGGTCTTAGTTTGATCGTCGATGATCATGTTCGCCCCCCGCCTAAAGAGATGTTAACACACCCTTGGGTGACCAACATCATGAAGCAGGAAGTACCGATGGCACGGTGGATCGGTGAAGTTTGGGGCTGGCCTAGACCCCAAAATCGTGCCAAAGAAGCGTTAGTATCATTGCCGCATAACTGATTATACCTTACTCACTCACTATACACAGCTCTCGGCCAGGCTCAAGTCGGGGAGTAGGCACCCCGCCTCCTAGAGTTAACGGATCTGAGAATTAGTGAAGAAGTTGAATGTAAGAACATAAATCTGCTCGCCAATCTGTCCGCGTTGCACATCTCTGTATCACCAAATATTTCCCTTCTTTTCTTGTTGGTCTTTTTTCCCGATTATTTTTCCGTCGAATTTCCCCCATGTCTTGTCGATTTCTCCTTCTTTTTTTCTTTTTTCTTTCTTCTTGCATACGTACCACATACAGCACATATACAGCTTCCAGATATCCAAAAATCGCACTCAAATGGAACGGACAGTTCGATATAGGCCAATGTTTCAATGTTGATAGTTCCCTAGTAATGAAACAGAACGTTTTGTGAGCCACTTGTGCGCCGTGGTGGCACGATTGAGCTGCTTCTCTTCGTGATGTGCCGTGTAGCCGCTGTCTCGCAGAAATTTAGATATTATAATTATGCCGCAACCACTACTCGTCTTGGTCAAATGGATTTGCCTACGTGTAAGTCCCGGACAGTACGGTGTATGAAGGTCGACCGCCGATCCGCTGAGTGAAACAGAAGTTGTTTTGACACGTAGGTGAACTGCAGCCACCTGTCAAGTTATATGGTTTACGTCAAGAAGCTCACATTTTCAAGTTCCATCAGTAACGTCTGTTAGTACCGTGAGGGCACGCTACCCGTACATGGTCACAACAGTTGGTTCCTTCATCAACACTTGATTGCTTCATGCGGCAGGGATACGACCCTGCTCCTTTGCGCAGCTACGAAGGAGCAACGAACCTGACAAAGTGGGTAAATTTTCCACTGTTTTACTGTAATTTGCTGACTTATATCTTCCAAAAGGCTCAAGTCTGCCGAAGCAGAACACAAAGATGTTGATGGGATTGTATATTTCGCCCTACGAAGGCAAACATGAGCTAGACTGGGTGACCAGGTAACATCCATCCGAATCGGCACCTGGATGATTGGATTAAGCCGGATGTTCTCTATCTGATTCCAACGGTCTAGGGATCTATTGGCACGGGAGCACAAGGGCCTCTTGTTAGCACGGGACCGGTGGTCAACAAAGTCTGCGTCCGTCGTCGCTTGTGCAGCTGAGTGAGACTCGAACCCACAATTAGGATGCCGACCTTGCCATCAAAAGAGGTTCGCGGGAGCGCTTAGAGCGCTCGAGAGATCAACGCCCCCTTAAAGGACATGCCGCAGAACCATAACCTACGCGCGGTATGAGGGACTCGAAGCGAGCCTTTTCTCATCCAACGGACGATCCTGCAGATGGCAATCTTGAGCAAAAACTATGTACTAGCGAGGTACGCGGAACGCTTATGCGGGATCTGCGTCCTCAAAAGACACGTCAGTCGTGAACGTTGAACTGTGGTAAGGTTCATGATCCTGGGCCCACTGCTGACACAATTGGAGACCTTTGATGCCATGGCACCATAAATCCCTCGAAATCAGATAACCTATGCCTACGCCGGCGGACTTTGGCAGGGACTAGAATCAAGGTCAGTGCAAGTCTGACTATTGTTGCTCACGCCTCCAGCAGTCGACTGCATGGAGCTTTCCCCGTATGTCTATGTGCTAGCAGGGCACCCAGGCTTGGTGGCGCCTCGAGGCACTGTTCATGATGAAGATGATAATGAAGTGTCGAGATTTCGGCGTGCGGCTTCCTCCACCGGTAACAGACAGGGCGACATGCTGAAGTTGGTGTGATTTGCCGAGGCTTTGGGCCGCCGTCTAATGGCGGCAGTTGCGGTAGTCTATGTTTCCGCAGGGGAAGATTCGAGGTTCCATGAACTTCGGAAAGAGCTTATCAATACTGTGGGATGTTAATCATCTCCTTTGGCCCCCAAAGGCGTCTTCGAGCTCCATCCCACTGTGATAGATGCCAATCAGGAGCCGGGCCGAGCTTTTTGTCATACCAACAGGGCCTGACTCAAAAAAAAAGACCCTGTTGCAGACATGGTGAAACAAAGATGGGATGATGAATATTCGGTCCGATTGCAGGCTGATGAGCAGCGCTGATGTCTCAAATGGTCTTTTCGGTGGGGTCAGATGATAGGATAGATAGATGATAGCAGGCTTGTGTTACTGCAGATGGGCTAGTCTCAGTGGCAGAGAGGGCGCTGATAACGTCCGTTTGACAGCTTTTGTTTAGGGCCTTTGTTTTCCGTCACTTTCTGATTTAACTCTCGGTACCTTATATTTAGACCCAAAAGATCCTCGGCGTTGCAAACAGAACTCAGTTTTTGGCGTGATGGGGGGTATCAAGAATAGGCAATTTCTATTATTGTCGTAGGATGTAACCCGCCGTTATGAGATAGAGCACGGTAACGCTACGAGATATTCGGAGAGAGCCGGTGCAGGAGAAAGAATGGCTGGGATAAAATGAGGAATACTGATATGCCGTGACGAAAGAGAAACGGTATGCGATTTGACGTACAGTAGATGGAGTGGTAGTGTGAGTGTGGGCAGGTGAAGGAGGTGAGGGATTCCACAACGAGTGATTCTGATATATCATAGGGTGTAAAGCACATGTAGTGTGACTTGTCATATAATAAGATTGCCATGTGTCAATGGAACGTGTTGTATTATAAGGTAGGACGAATTCGAAAAAAGAGAAACCGCCCGAATCTGATTGCGGCCATCATTAGGTAGTACGCCACAGAAGTTGTGGAAGGATGATGTTAATGGTGTTAAAACGCAAAGGCAGGGTGGGGGTCTGCAAGATGGGAAAGGAACGACGGTGGTGTCGAGGTATGTACTGCCTTGATGTCAGTTGAAAGGAAATTACGTTGGGGGAGTTCGTTATGACGAGGGTGTGGAAATGCCGCGGGTGGGTGGAGATTAGAGATAAAAAATACACGGTAGAGAAGGGAAAGTGTACGTTGAAGGGTGATGGTGGGGCGCGTCGGGCTGCGGACTGGGTGGATGACCATATGCAGGGCAAGTTACGGTATTATGTAGAATCAGATTGGGTGAAGGTCGAGTTCACGGGCGCGTGATAGACATGGGGCGTCACGGGAGCGGTGTCGAGATTAATAGAGCTATCGATATGGAGGAGTTGATTATCAGCCATCAGAGGAGGGACGGACGGCGACGGGGGACTCCTTCCCGATATGGAGTACGCATCAATGAGGGCGGAGGAGCACAGGGGCATGGCCGGGATAGGCAGGTGATCTGCGAATATAATAGATATTATCTGTCGGTCGGTGCCTATGCATTTGGGGCGGGATCATGGTGAATTTGTGGTGCGGCTACAGTGGTTGCAGTGCAGGACGCACGAGGGTGAGCTGCGAGTGGAATTGTGTGCTGATTTCCCACCTATTTAGAAGACAAGAAAAGAAAAGTGATGCGGAAGTGATGCTGTGGAAATAAATTAATAAACCCCCACCTTCCGTATAGGAAATGTTATGGCAGAGCTGAAAATGCATTTGTTACAACACAGCGCGACCCTTAGATCTGGATTTAGTGATCTAACCCGATATCCGGACCCGTAACAATGGTGTCGTCTCCGTCCATTTTCCACCCTTGCACCTTCCCTGCTTCCTCCTAGCACCATTACACCTCTATAAAAACGATGTCTCCCCACCTCGACGATCGTTTACCTCCCATCCAAGATAACATGGCAGACAGCATCCCCTAGTCAGTTCTCCCTTTCTCACCTGTCTTCCTTTCTGACCTCTTCCAGCCCAGCACAAAGTGCCTACATCCCTCCAGCCTACTACCCCCCTCCCCAGGGCCACGTCCATGTCGTCGCACCCCAACAGCGCCAGGACTCTCAGCAGAGAAAGCGTCCAAAGTACACCCGCAGCAAAACAGGTTGTCTCACATGCCGCGTAAAAAAAATAAAGGTCCCCCATTTCTCCTCTCCCTCCCCCCATTCACTCACCCTCCCCCAGTGTGACGAAACAAAACCAAACTGCATGCGATGTACCCATGGCCAGCGAGACGTACGCCCTCCCGCCTCATTTCTCTCTCAGCTGTCTCTACTCACGCTCATCCCAGTGTACGTGGCCAGAAGGCGTCCCTGCTCGCAAGAAAGCTACCCCTCGCAAGGACAGTGTCGATGGTCACCCGTCAAACGCGGAGTCTTCGGGTTTATCGGAGGCTTCTACTCCACCAACCCGCGACAACACACCTCCAAGACGAGGTCCTGTCGACTATGGAATCCCGCCCATGATGGCTCGTCGCCACAGGTAGCTGCCACGCGTCTGATATAGCTCCAACACCCCCATTAACGCCTTTTCTAGTGAACCGTACACTCAAGGCCCTCCGATAGGCTCGGAGCCAGACATGTCACGTCGCCAAATGTGGGTGTCCGGTCTAGCCCATCCTGGCCCGTCTATACTTACTTTTTCGTGCAGTCCACAGCAAGGATACCCTATGCAGCTCCAGCACCACCAGCAAAACCAAAACACGCATCCTAATAACGTTCTCTCTGTAATACCTGAAATGTCAGCATACCCACCTACACAGCAGCCGCGATACGAATCTGCCTATACCAATCCACCTTTGCATTCTCATTCTTCTCACTCTTCTCGGATTCAACCTAATCAGCATACCCTCGGAATTCGTTCAATGGCACATCCCCCTCCCCTCCATCACTGGAACACTAACCCGTCCATGGTCTCCAACGTGGATCCTCTTGAACCATACGTAGGTGGCCCTTCAAAACTACGTTTACAAGACCACTTAGCGCAGTATTGTTTTGCATAGTTTTCTACTGTCCAGGAGAGGAACTTGGTGGGGCACTCTTCGTCTAATGATCAACATGCTAGATACCAATGAGAATGATGATATTTTATGTTCTCTTCAAAGATCCGTCATTACTGCGATAATTCCTTGAGCTTCATAATGGCCATCCCATCTGAGAACCCAATTGTCGCTGCTAATCTCCCTCTGATATTCAACCACCCTCCCGGGTCTGATACTTCTGCTGAAGCCTTGCGCATGGCTTTATTGGGTGTTGCGGCCATCCACCGATCATTCTTGCTCTCCCAGAGCGGCGTCAACCAAGGTTCCGCTGAAGAGATGCTTCAACTGGGTCATTCATTCCGAATGAACTCAAAGCAACTGCTTGCCAAAGCCTGTGCAACTATGGAGGGTGCTCAGAGTGATGCCTCGCTGGCTACGTCTATGGCCATAGCATTGATGGACGTGAGTGATTTAAGTTTTTGAGTCTATCTGTCTGTGTTCAGAATTGAGTACCGCCCCCCCTCCCCCTTCAGATTTTCTCGGGTGGTCGAAATTGGTCCAAAAACATGGATTTGGCGAAAACGTTAGTCAGAATTAGAGGCGGTCCAACTTCACTCCTTGCCAGCAGTTTCAATATGAAGTCAGGTTCGCCGGACCAGATCGCAAGAACGAGACTGCTTCTCGAGATACTGGCTGTTTATGACGTGGCCGGTAAATTCGATCGAATTGCCTACCTCGCATAGATTTCTCACTCCTATCAATCCCACAGCGTGCTTGGCGAATGGCGAAGCACCAACTGTCCTGAATTCGACTTCGAATAGCTGGTGGTGAGCTTCTTTTTGACGTTATGCTGTGGTGCTTCTCCAACAGGTTGTGTAGGCTAGATGAGTCACAGGCGAATTTTTCATACGTAGAGCAGGTGTTTGGCATGTCACGAGCTTTCATTCCTGTTCTCGCAGAAGTACGTATTAGGAAATACTCCGCAGGCTTGGCTTGGCTCATGGCACACGCTCTCAATACAGATCACCTCGTTTGTTTCTCGTGTTCTTCACGGAACCGCGCGGATCTCTGAAGTTATCGGCGAGGGCAGTAGCAGCAGCAGTAGCATCGAGGCGGATACAACAGCACAGTGTCATGAGTACTACAGCCAGCTAGAGAATTGGGTGGATCCACGGGTGGACGCTCCACCTCGTGTCCACAGGGGAAACCGTATGTACCAGAAAGCCGCCCAAGTTGGTTACGAGATGTCTATATTTGACGGCACACGACTGATTATCACTCGGATAGATTCTCTTGCTCCGAGATGTACTTCACGCCTCGCCTGTGGACCCTTTAGTGCAGGCGTGTACAGACACGATATTAACTCTCGCTTTAGAATGCACATCTCAGAAAATGGGGGTCGAGTACGTCATCTTCCAGAACCCTCTTAATGCGTGCCCAACTCTCTTCTTCTATAGCTTGATTTGGCCCGTCATCATCGCCGCTTCTCATACATATGGCTCTAATCGCACGAGGGTAGCGCAAGTTTTCGAGGCCTTCAGGTTCGTCCAATCGCTGATCTATTCTTATGAGGTACTAAAACCCCTTATTTGTCATAGGACACAATGTGAGCATCCTTAACAACGTGTCTTAGTATGTAACATGACTTATCTACCCACAGGCTGTTATGAAATCGAAACGTCCGAACAGATTGTGCTTCAAGTAAGCCTTTTGTCATCACCATTGCCCCTTTTCACTTTAACTGAACTTCTTTCAGGTTTGGAAACGATTAGACCAGGGTTTGCCTGGTGCTGATTGGCGGACGGTCATGAAAGATTCGGACTTGAAGGTCCTTATTGTATAGTTATTTTATATTATCTGTGACCAGTCTCCTTTTCTTTTTCGTTCATTTTCGTTCATTTTTCATTTCATCCTCAAACGGTGTACAGATAGCCCTCCCTTCTTTTCCCCCTCGGAAATAGACTGTACTAATAGCTAACTCTGATCTACTTATATTTAATTACCACTGACACAGTCCTATGCATGTTTAGCTCTGCGCACATTGCTTTGGTGTTCATTCTGCAATAGCCTTTCATGAATATAGAAATAGCATGTTGATTATCCAACAGTCCCTAGATAAGAAAGTCATGCGCGGATCAGTGTGTGTAACATCAATCAGGTCGTAAGTATCACTTGGCTGTGATCAACGTTCATGGATGCAAGTGTATGTTGGCAAGCTGTGCGTGTCATTATCTCAAAAGGATAATAGGTCCCTATCATTCCATACTAGTGGTAGACATGTCACGCGGTCATGATTTTCGAGAGATAAATTTCCCAGACTTTTCAAGTCCCATCGATGGGATGCTACAGTGCAAGTGCCATGGCGCCAAATCTTTTGGCAGTGCACTAAAAGACGCCACGCAACGAAAAGGGGAAATCATGTATGCTTAAGGATGTGATTTGCTGGCCGGGAACTTGAAATGAGCGGTTTGATCGTCGTAACAGCCCCCAGTAACAAGAGCAAAAAAAATAAAACAGTTGATACAGTCACTGCAAGCCTAAATCCGTTCAGTGACCGGACCTATATGGTTATAAAAAGAAATACCGACATGAGTATTTCAAACAGAAAGGTACTGATTAGAACAATGGCTGCATTACTTCGATTTGGAAGAGTGTTTACGCCGTGAGTATCATGATTATCGATGCGGCCAGGTCACTGGGTTGGGTGGGCAAGTATAGGATAGATTAGAGAAGGTATGTCTCCAATTTCAGGCTACGAACGGCCACGCCAATCCACCCTGCCAAATATGCTCGAGGAACACGCATGGGTTCTAAACTGAATAGCCCACTCTTGTCCATCATGTCAGCCCCCACCCACCCAAGAGCACCCGGACGGATAGCTTTTACACAGTTGAGGGGATCTGGGATGATATCCAGACCATCTGATAGGTGGATGTCCGATCTTTCATGAATCAAAAAGATGGAGGGCTGTTCGATCGATTTATATGTACCATGTGCGATTATTAGAAACCGAGGACGTTCTAGTGCACGGCTAATAAGTGATCGTGGAGACGAAACGCTCATCCTCCGAATCGTACCCTCTTAGTCGTCTTCTGACTCGGAATCCGTGCATTTAACAGCTGCAGGCTGCGCCAATTAGCCCCGGAAACAATTACATATCGGTGCGTGTAGTAAAGCACCTGCTCAATTTAAATAATAATAAAAATGCGTAAAAGGGCGCGCGAGCTAATAGATGAGCCCCTTTTGAAATGCAGAGAGGAAAGACCTGTACAAAAATACGTTAAAACGATTACATGTTATTATTCTTCTAGACAGAAGTTAGTCACTTCCGGCGCACCGAGGAACAGGCTGGTTGAGGGGGGTGTAGACACGACTAATTGGCAAGGCCAATTCTGATCACTGGGCTGGTCTTGGCCTGTCCAGTTGAGAAATTACCCTGGCATCAGCTTCGTGATTATAATTTCGTCGCTATGTACTCAGCGAGGAAATGCGGCACACACCTCAAAGTCACGGCGGCCTTGGTGGTGCAACGTCATATCAAAAAATGTGGAGTACAAAATTGGATGTGAAACGGACAGTTTTGGACAAGCTCATGTCGCCGTGACGAAGAATATCTTGGCGAGGCGACGCACACCACACGAATTCGATATTTTTTTTAATGCAGCACAGCAGGTGCCAGGTGAATATCGTAAAGCAAGTCCTCGATTTAAAGGGGGGGCAGATCTATGATGTAAAAATCAACATTGCCAACGTGGAATGTCACTCTGACAGAATACTTCAAATCGGAAAGCTGAATAACATGAGAAACACCATGTACTTTGAGTCTTCAGCTTGCTACAGCGTAAGTCGAGCGATCCAGCTTGAATAGGAACGTTGGCCTCAAATATAAGATTATGACATGCACTTCAAGATTCACGGAAAATCGCGGGAGAAGCACCGTGGATAGAATAGATATAACCAAATTTGCTCTCATGACTAGAATTTTGCGTGTATATTCATTTTCTTTTCTTTACTATGCCATTACGGCACTGTCTCTGGCCCATCAGAAGACTACATGGAAGGTCATCTGAATAGTTTAGAATGAGAAGGCGCTAGGTCTTAACAAAGTTGGTTAGTACTTGAGAGAGTATCGTTATCAAAAAGGGGGAGAAGAATTCAATTTCATGATGGCCGCACCTGTTTTCGACCATGTTCTGGTCATTTATTCGTGCTGCTGGGATATTAGTTCCCCGCAATATCACACCAAGATAACAACAAAACATGCAGATAACATGCACAGAAACGGCATCTCAAGTACACGAACCTTGTTTCTCCAGGGCCGGTGGCAGGTAACATCGCCGATGCTGCCTGAAGGGAGATGCCGAGCGCCATGGCCTTATGACAGATGATTGGTTGTAGGATGTACCGTAGAACCTCATGGGTATTAAGAAAGAGCTTGACCTAGTGTTGAGCGGGGTAAAGACGCTCTTGCAGTGATCAAATGAAGAGCCTGAGTTAACGGCGTGGTCTTTGTGGCGTATTTTCGGTGATTGCAGCGGCCGTTTGAGACAAGGCCGACGATCAACTACGACCAGAGCTCTCTTCACTCAAAGTCAGGCTAAAACTTATGGATAAGACGCTATATCCGCCTCCATCTTCACCGTGTCGGAGACTTGATTGACATATTGGGGGTAGAATCAAATAGTGACAGTTGCTATTTGATCATACTCGACGTAAGGCCGTCCCATCTGAGTTTGCGCGGGTTTTGGACTTTTGTGAGAGCAATGCTGAATCAATACTGTAACTGTTAGGTGAGCTCGGATTCCCCGTACATGAGGCAAACACACTACTCGCCTTCTATCAAATGTGTTGTGAAGGTTGTCATTGATGGGAACAATACAGCCGGTGGTACGAAAGCCCCGATGAAGTGAAGGATGTTCATGACAGTAGCGCCCATTCGTGGATGGTCATTGAAGACCCACTGAATAAATCCACGGAAAATTGAATATCCAACATCGGAGCAGTTCGGTAAAGTATTAAAAAAAACATGGCGGAAGCGTAGAATCTCTGCTGAAGCAGCGTTGCAGCCTTCTGTGCCCGCCGACGTTATGTGATATTAGCTCACGATCGCGACCTTCATGTCGTATTCCGCCCTTGCACGCAAATCGAGCGTACACGGTGTTCACGGAACATGGAGTAAACTCTTGAGGGTCGGCCTGACATGTGGCAGTATTCGGATGGAGCAGGAACCCCCCAAGTGATTTTACAACAGAAGGTAAGCCACAGAAAACTGCCCTAATGTCATCATCACAGCAACTGACGTTCACCGGAATAAATCGACAGACAGATTGTGGAATGTAGAAGGAGCCAAAAGAGGGGTGCGTGGTTGTCTCCCCGTCGTTTTTACGCACTTCTGGTTTTTCCTTCGTGCCATGGCGGCTCGCCCGGCCCACCGGTCAATTTTTTTACTGTACCTTGACCCACTGTGCTGTTTCTTTTCCATTCATATGGCCATGAAAAGTAAGCGTAAAATGATTCGATGGACAGCCTTATCGTTCGTTGACAAGACCTGTATAGATATTTAGTGATCGCAACCCTGCACAGTATTAGTAGCGGGTCAATCAAACCTGTTTCGACTCATCGAAGCTGGCAACGACGGCGCAACTACTGGAAATGCATGCATTTTAGCTCACGATCTGCCATCGTCGTCATGAACTGTAGCTCACCCCCAGAAACATCACGAGCTCATCGCCATAGGCTATAGCTGTCGTTTCGTTCCCTCCAATCTACATGGTTTCATTGGCAAGCAACGGCGACTAAAACATATCGGGTGTGAACGTGAACGCCGCTTTACGTAATCGACCCGCAGTCGAAAGATTAGATTAGATTTCACACTCCAAGCCTCCACACATCGTGACTATAGTTACAGCCTTGTTGGGGTGAAAGCCTTTTGCAGAACACCTTCAAACCACATTACTGTCCACAGCTATCAATATAATGGGTGAGGCTGCTTCATTCATTCATATAGATCACAGGACTCAACATCGCATTCACAGCCTCTGAAGAGGAAGTCAACCTCGTCGCAGCGCACGCTCCACACGAGAAAGCCATCGAGGCCTTCAACCACGTCCTCCACACCATCAAACACGACCTCATCAAGACCCGGCACGATTGGGACAAGCACGACCCCAGGACGTTCCTGCGCGTCAAAGACCTGAGCGATGCCCAGCTCACGCACTTTAGCGTCGAAAACGACCTGATCGAGATACGTACCGGTGCAGTCAGCTATGGGACGATCATCCTGGGAAAGATCAGAATCCCAGCTGTCAATGATGCTGAGGGCCAGGGCTTCGTTCATGTCAGGTGTGTACAACGACCACCCTTCTTCCCCCGGGGGCCCCCCTATCATCACCATCCATACTCAGCCTGACACTGACGCTCTTGCTTATCGTGCCGTCTTCCAGGATACATGATCCCCCAAACAGGGTAAGTTTGATCTCTGTCTTTAATAGCGCCCCGGAAAGCGCTTCGCTGTCATACTTATATGTATAAGTGATTAGGGAGAAGAGGATGTGACGTTCCACTCTCTTCACATTGCAGAAGCTGGGTTAGATGCGGATGGTCACCCGCATATCTGGAAGGCCATTCAGCGGGCTGACGATCCACTCGCCTTCTTCAATATCTGATCGGTGGGGCCCTCGAAACCAAACAACCCCCCATTCATGAACTCATCAACCCATCCACCCTTTCGCAGGTTCGCAATTTCGGAGTGCAGATTCGGGGACCACGGTAGAAGGCGCGGAAGATGCATATGATGCGATATAGGAATACGTGAATACGATAAGCTAGTAAAGACTGATTGTACGATATAGCCACTCGACCTCGGCGGATCTATCTGGAAAAAATCGCGTTATCTGTCTATTGACTGCAATCTGTAAATCACCGAGAGTTCAGATATCCTCCTACCTCCCCCCAATCTCACATCGCCATCATCTCACATTAGGTCCACCATCGTCATGGCTCTATGAGATCCAGCCATTGGCAACTCGCAACTATCCAATCTACGAATCATGATCCATAATGTCCTGTCATGATGGGCGCCCATCGGTTGTATTGTGCTAAATCCTAGTACTAGTACTGACATACTAGCACTTGGCCAGCGTCTCCAATGGACCACCCCATTGACAGTTTACACATCCTTCCAGAACCCATCCACTCGAAACATCATGATCCTTCGCTAATAGCCACTACCATCGACAACTTCCATCCATGCCATCTTGCCATCTTTTCCCCTCCCTTACCTAGTCATCCCAGCGCTCTCTCGAGCTCAGAACCCGCGCTCGCCATCTATGAGGCCCATATGAGGTCCGGTCACCTGCCACTGCCATCCTGTAAGCTGTCAAACAGGCCCCCCATCTCCCAGATACCCCACGCCTGTCACAGCCCCCCTGTACGGTAGCAGTTGCAGTACTAGTCTAGTAGCAGATGGAGTTCCTCGAGTCAGAGTCAGGGAGCAGTGAGCCACACAAAGGGAATGCGCCGAGTCACATCATAAGATATGCATAAATGCACATTTATCGGATCCGAGTTATTGTCCAGTATAATTATAACGAGTGACTAACAAAAAGTACCACATCATGATATCATGCCGTCATGCCGTCGGTTTTTTGTCCTTTGAGAATCCCCGGGGTACAGCCATGGAGTATCCCCGATTCACCGGAAAATGGAGATACTAGCGCCCCCATCCTATAACGAAACAACTTCAAGCGCCCAAAAAGCATTCTAGTGTCAGAGCAGATCATATTGAAAATCCAGCTAACACGCAAACGGCAGCCCAAAGGCAAATTCTATTGGGTATATACGCAAATCGTACATGGCAAAATGTGTACAAGGTAGAATTGAAAAGGGGATGAGAAAGTGAAAGAAAAGGAAAGAGGCGGGGCAAGAAAAGAGTTGTTAACACAGACTCCAAAAAAAAAATTGATCGTTCAATGATAGGTATGCAGACGCCCCCTGCACTCCCCCCAAGCAATTAAGAAAACGTACTCGGACACGCTCAGCAACCTAGGAAGAAAATAAAGATAGTCAAGTGCATTTTCACACGCACGAACGCACAAGTACAGATAAGAAACAATGAGATGAGAGAGCAAAAAAAAAAAAAAAAAAAATAGAGACGAGCAGAGGTGGAGAGCATAGGGCATAATTGGGCATAGTTGACGGCCAGTTTGACAAAATTGTGTCGATAACGAAATAAAAAAGCGGTTTGACCAGCGAATCAACTCGGCACGAGCAACGGTAACAGTAGCAGCAAGTTCAAGTTGTCCAAGACGAGGTGTGAAAGTTCATGTTGCCAGCAGCGCAAGGCATATCCTCAAACCGAGTGGAACCACCCAGAGGACCGTAGCACGGCACACCAGAAAGCGGATCAAGCATCGCATGCGGCGTCGGGTACATGTACGCACCGTGGGCCAGCGACATCACCTTGTCGTTCTGCACAGCAAAACTGGCGAACTGACCGGGAGGCGGCGTAGGTACGTCCATGAAACTCGACATCTGAATCGTCCGGTCTCCACCTGAGGAAGAAGACTCGGTCGACGCTGGCGAAAAACTTAGTTCGGGCGTTGGTGGGATGGGCGTCTTGTCGTCGCTGACACTTGACCCTGCGATACTTTCCATAGAGGAAACGAAAGAGGGCGCGGGGGATGGCAGCCATGAGGAGAGGCCCATAAGTGACATATTATTGCTGTTGTCTTGACCGAACAGCGACCCAGCCGGGAGGGTCGCATGTCGCCGAAGTCCAGCATTCATCCCATGCGTCGGCAGCGATACGCTATTCCGGTCATGCCAGGGCATACTGGCCAGTCTTTTGTCCAAGGTAAGTTGCTGCTGCAAGAATCTTTCCACATGCGGGGGCCTCGGAGCGAACGACAGCTCGCTCTCACTCTTGCATTTCGAAATTGGGCGTCTACTGGTGGTGGTGGGTTGCACTGCTGGCAATTTACCGACCCAGAGGCGCCATTCGAGAGCATCACCCAGTGCTCGTTCACAGCGTCCGATCTCACGGGGTGGTAGACCCGATAACTTCGCCCACGCGCGATTGGAATAACACCGATCTTGCATGAACTTTGAAGCGAGAATGAGGGACGCGAGGAACGTGCGGCGGGGACAGAGAAGCGGGGAGGGAAGGGGCGGGAGCGGCGCTAGCGGAGTGACGTTCTTCTGCTTGCTGGGGAATACCTGACTTGAGCCCATTCCAGGCTGTGAAGAGGACATATCCATATCGAAGCTTTGAGCAGCGAGCCTTACGGTGTCCATCATGTCGTCAAGACATGTTGCGGCATTGATAAAAGTAGTTGATGTTCCTTCGGAGGCAGCGCCGTCGTCGACGCTGACCTCACCTTGAATAATCCTATCATCCAATTCCGGTTCTCCTTGCACTCCGGTCCCCGATCTTTCTCGACAAACGAGCTCGGGGACCTTTGAGCGAATGGCCTCGATATAGCATAATGCGGTCTGTAAGACACTTCCTGAGGTGCGGGAACGACGAAGGACTTCGTGTACAAAGCCTCTCATGGGCACGAGGTTGCCTCGAGGAGGCTGCGCGCCCGAGGGGCATTCTGACGATCGAAGAGGACGAGGGCCGGATGGGAGGTGAGATAGAGGGGGAGGCGATATCGGAGATGGCTGTGTGGTAGGAGAGATGGGAGAAGGGAGCTGAATGTTTCGTGGATGGTATGCAATGGCGTGTTTTTGCGGTGTTGAAGCGATAGCGTCGGAGGGGCAGGTGATGGCAGGTCGAGAGGTGAGGAAGACAACAGGTACGTCTTGGGGGTGCCATATGTCGCACAGAGTTCTAACGGCTTGGTCTGAGGCACGGGGTGTGGAATGAGAAAAGTAGGATGAGGAATGAAGATGTACTAACCGACTAAACCAAGGGCGTATTTTGATTTTTGTGCGTCGCGGAGCTGGCACTCGCGAGAAGGCTGAGGGTGATACTGAGGAGCGGAGGGAAGCTGATCTGGGTCTTGGTATGAGGAAGGGTGGGGAGGGGGAGATGATGATACAGAAGAGGCGGGAGTGATGAGATAGGAAGTGGAAGGAGAAGAGCGAGAAGAAGATGATGGCTGGAGAGAGGCATGATAAGGCTGCCAACGAGATCTTGTACGAGTTGCGGGGGTGCCGCGGTGGGCGAGAGAATGAGATACGGCGTGCATGAAAGTACTGAGTGGAGCGCAAGGCAAGGAGGGGAGTGAGAGAGTAGAGTATAAAAAGCTTTAAAAAAACTGAAATGAAGAGATTACTTAAAGTACAGAGTAGGACGCATAGGTAAGCTTTAAGGTAGAGGTAGTCGAGACGGAAACGAGGCTGGAAGTGAGGCTGGAAGAGATGACAGATTTGCGGGACGGGTGGGACAATCGGGGGACTGTGTAGGAGCACATTGCGACTGGTGAGAGTCGGAAGGACGGCTAAAGTCTGATGACTTTAGATGTCCTTTGTGTGAAGGGTCTTAGCGCAAAAGCGAAAAGACTGTGGAGGTAAAAAAGAGGCGGTGGAGAGATAACAGGGCTTTGCGACGAGCAGATGATCAACGGCGATGGTGTTATATAGGGACGGGGCAGTGGAACGAGAGTCGTCTAGGAGTCACTGGGTGTCAGGGACTCCGGACAGTGCGGTCTGGGGGCGTGGGTGCAGTCTGCACAGGATGTGACTCGACCACTTACTCAGACGCCCCTGTCTTTCTCGCTGTCCCCGTAGCATGTACCACGCACTCGTACCCATCTTCCTTTCTTTGTCATAGTACAGCATGTTGTCCTACTACTACTGCCAGTGCACTGCTATAGTCAGACAGTCGTTGTGATCGTCATGAATCCCCGGTGCTGCGTATTGCCTGTATTTTCGTCTACATGCCATCCTCGCTTTCTTGCAATCCATCACGCTATCGTCGCGCTACCCCAACCAACTCTCCATTTGTCCTTGGCATCGTTTTTCCATTTTCCATCTCAAAACTCTCACCCACACTCAACTCAGACTCTGTGCTCATTCTATCATACCAAACGGATCATTCCCTTCGATCACCATCCTTTGATGTTTTTAGGCCTGTTCTCTCTTCACGCCTCACCTCCTCAGCCCTCGGGTCTTGCACAAAGGGTCACCAGTCATCTGTCAACACCCTCCATGGCTATGGCTCTCAAAGATCTCAACAACGTCAACCCAACCTGCGTGCCTTTTTTACATTTCATTTCATTTTATTTTACAATTTCGCGATCAAAGCCGAGCTGCGGGAGCGTGACAGGCGGGACCCACCATTGCCTTTCTTGATCACTTCAACCCGGCCGACGTCGCGTGTCCGATTCTCAGCCCCAGTGCCCCAGTCCCAATCCCAACCTCAGGCTTCCACCCCCTATCCAGGTGTCCAGGTGTCCACCTCGATTTCTCAACTTGGCCGCCCTCTTACGGTGTGCTGTGCGTTCGGAAGGCCGCAAAGGGCGATGCTGGACTTTTCTTTACTCATCTTCGCATCCTCGTATACGTCCAAGCTTCCCCCCCCTAGTTGTAGCCTATCGAGATGTGATGTTGATGATATCTAACAGTTATCGCCCTTCAGTTCACGGCGTTGCCACTTCGATCGCCGGTTCATCCCTCTTCACTCCTTCGATCAGCTTCGATCAACTTCGCGTCCCCGTGGCCCCTATCTATTTGTGATGCCAGTACTGTACTCCGTGGCTGGGTGACTCGGCTTAGTGCTGGAAGCTTGAAGCTCGAGGCCTGGACGACATACATGGCAGGTCACCTTTCAATCTTACGTGTGGAATCTTCGATGATACGGCAAGACCAGAATCACGCCTCCATGGCTCAGTGATTCGGCTCGTGGCTTGAAGCTCAAAGCTGGAAGTACTTGACCTTCAAGGCCCTGCCAGAAGCCTGAACGAAGAAAAAAAAAAACTAGGTTGTGGCAGTTCCCTCGCCCGATCTTCGATGAGAGCAGACACTCGTTATCACCCCATCTCAGATCCCCCTCCCTCCGTGGCTCAGTCGCTGACTCGGGCTCAGGACCTGCGCGAGAAGACGAAAAAAGAAAAAAAAAAACTAGGGTCGTGGCAGTGACGGTCCCTCCCTCGCGCGATCGTCGATGCACGTTGAACGTTGCTCTCACTGGCTTGATAGGATTCAATTTGCGTGGTTGCTATCCATACTACTATCTATGGTACTATGTGATATGGCGCTATGTGCTGTGCTTGCCACACTGGTGTGTTTCTAGAAAGTCATTGTTGATGGAGGGGTTGAGAGGTAAGTACTTGGCTTTGTTTTTCGTTGCTACAAGTGAGTGACCTTGTTCGTATTCGTGTTTAGGGATATCTTGATCCTGATCCCCGACCCTGATTCTGATCCTGATTTCTGATTCTGGTATGGACTCATCAGACAGAGTAGGCAGCGCAGGGCAGACGGACCAGTCAAGACTTGCCAGACTGGTGCGTTCTGGAAAGTCACTGGAGATGGACGTCTGAGATGGAGGTGCGAGGTAGAGAGAGAGTGTGTGTGTGTAAGCTTTTCGTGACTTGGTCCAGGCAGGTTGGGCTCGCGAGTGTTGGTTGGTTTGTCGGGGGGATATATCTTTGATTCCGATGTTGATAACTGATTCTGGTCTGGACTGATTAATGTCCTTTGTCAGACCAGGGTAGGTAGGGAGGGAGGGTAGGGTGGATGGGTGAAGGGGCAGGGCGGGCGGTTGGCAGGGGGTGATGGACAACCGTCTGTCTCAAGGCCTCAGCCTTTGGGAGAAAGGTGTGCAGACACAGGCACGTGCCCCTCTTTCCCTGCTGCCCTCTTGTTTTTCTTTTCTTTTCTTCACATTGTTTCTATCTGGGTCACGTCATGTCGCGTTGCACTATTCTGATATTTGTGGTTCTGGCAGGCTTTGCAGGTGCGAAAAAGGGCAGTTTGACAAAACGAAAGTTCAAGACTCAAGACTAGATCCCACTTTCCTCTTGCTCACAAGGATTTGAGCTGCGCTGGTGGCCGCACTGTATTGTCATTTTCGCTCTACATCCAATTATCTACTGTATCAACCCTGCATGGCGGCAGCTGACACCTATCTAATCTAATCCTGTAAACACTCCATTTAGGTATCACCCCGCGACGCTACTCCCCCCGTCTCTTCCAAATGGCAATCCTTCTTGTCCATTTCCATTTATCTTGCTTCCCCCACATGCCCTCCTCCCATAAGCGAAAAGAACCGACGGAAGAGCCTAAATTTGGGAAATAGACTCATCCCGAGTCCGCATCTGAGCTTGTTTGTGGCTTGGGGGGTTTTCTGATGCGGCAGCGCGATGACTTGCGCGCGTGTGCGGATGCTTTGCTCCGTTTAGGAGGAAGACCATTTGGACGGTGAGGCTTTGTCAGTGGACCGCCTTGATCGTGCCGCTGGTGTACGCGGCACTTGCTGACTACGATAGGATCTGGCGAGCGGGTGGGTGAGTGCGCTTCGGTGCGGGGCGTGGGCGTGGGCGTGGGCGTGGGCGTGGGCGGGCTTACAGGTTGCTCTCAGGACGGCGAGATGGTTCCGGGTGAAGATATGCGTTTGAGCGATCATCATCCGCAGCTTGGTGGCTTCTCGGAGTTGAAGGAAGGAAGGTAGGAAGGAAGACAGGAGACAGGGGGAAACGTTACATCGCCACCATGCTATCGCCATCGGGATGCTATACGCAGCAAAAGGCACGGAATGCGGGGTGAGAGGTGAGTACATCCTTACCGATTCTACGCTCCAGAGCCGGGTCGGTATGTCACACAAACCACTTTGATGCTGTGCGTTCACTGCGCATGGGTGGATCGACCTGCGACGGGTGGGTGTGCTACGCCGGCTCTGCGATGTCGGTACGATGCGAGGGGCTTCTTGGGGAGGGATGGAAGCGGATCGTAGATCGGTGTGTCGGTATTCGGTGCTCGGTGCTTGATCAGTATGGTGTAGGCTTTTACAAAGGTTGCTCTGAGCACGCCGAGATAGTACCAGGTAGACATGTAGGTTGGGCGATCATCCGCAGCTGGGTGGGTAGTGCGTTTTCTGGTTTGAAGGATGGAAATTAGGGGGGCAGAGAGAGCGTTACATCGCGCCATGCATCGCCATCCAGGTAGCAGCAGAGACACGGAATGCTGGGTGCTGAGTAGTGAGTGCATTCGTACCGATCCTACGCACCAGAGTTAGGCTGGTATGTCGCACAGACCAATGCTGTGTGCTCACTGCAAATGGGTGAATTGACTTGATTGGTGTGCTACGCCGGCTCTACAATGTCGATTCGATGCGATGGGCCATGGGGGAGTGTTGAAGCGGATCCATGATGGATCGGTGTGTCGGTTCTCGCTCAGTACGATCGATGGCTATACGGTTGTACGGTGCTTGTGAAAATGCCCAATGATTGTCAATGATTCTATCTGTCTGGGGTGGTCTGTGTAGAATGTTCTGTCAGGTCGGACAAGGTGCTGCGCTAAACACGGCTAAGACAGACCGACGTTTTTGTTCGGTGCACTGCTTCAAGTCTGCATAGTGCTGGGTATGTACCGGTGGATATGTCACAATTTTTGTCAATCGCTTCCGAGGAATGGTTGCGTATTATGGAAGACCAGATACATTTTGATCAGCTCCGGCAACCCGCTGAGTGACTCAATGATCATATTTTATAGCAGATGTTTCATTCTTATTCGGGATGTTGGAATTATCTCGAGAAATGCACATTGACATGTATTGGCTGTAGTTGTAGCTATAGCACACATTCCCAAGCCTCAAACATCATCAGAATGCCAGTGTATTATAGCTGATATTGCATCATCATCGTGAATACATCTACCGGATCCTAGTACACGCATATGCCATCTGTCGTAGTATCATGACGGCCGTTCGCAGGATGTCAGAGAACACGGGGGGGATCTTGACTGCACCTGGCAACGTGACATTATGACTACTACTCCTACTATGGACGTGCGTACGGAGCATTCCCTTCTCTCCCCCTCTTTGTTCCAAAACAGTTGATAGATCTGTGCAGTGATATCTAAATCCTGTCGGCCGAGGCGAACGAGTATAATCATTTTGCACTAGCGTAACGAGTCATCGAGGCGCTCCGTTTTTTCAGATATGGGTCGCGGTGATGGGACTATCATCAAGGTGACCAACCGTTGCGTCTTGGTCGGGCCCGCCGTCACGGTGGCCAGGTCGTAAAGACAGTTGATGTTGACGTTGCTGTGACCCGTGCTAAGCGCCAAACACTGATCCTCCGAGAACGAGCTATGTAGCTGTTGTAGTATTTGTCCAATTTGACTGGTTCTGACGAGCGCAGTTTTTGTCTTTGCGTTTTCCCCGAGGGTCTTTGGACAGCATGTCGAGGAGATTGGGTAGATGCGGGTTCGTCGCGGTACTGCCTGAGGAAAAGGGGTGCTGTGAGCATTACGGTATGCGTTAACCATGTTCCTCTTCCACCCCTGCTACGCCCAGAAAACCTTGGGACGTCGATGTGACTAGTAGTCTGGTGCATCCAAGGGTTCCTACTATAGGGAATTGCGAATAGCTGCTCCAATTCGAGGGCGAAAGAAGACTGTTTGCTCCATCAATCAGACTGCGCAGTCAGAGAGCTCCAAACCAGGCATGGTCGGTTTAGTGGCTTTCTTGCCAGTGGAGAAGCTGATTGTTATTGCGAGAACGTGAATGGCGAGCTTGATTAGTCGAGAATGGAATTAGAATCGCCTATGTGTATTAATATATATGTTATCGTATGCGCAGTACCGAGTTTTTCTGGTCTAATGAGTTGGCAATTTTTAGAATGGGCGAGGCAGTGTCAGAAGAGGTCCATATCGTCGATGCTGTTATCATCGCACCTGGCTGTCCCCGGATAGAACATAGTGTACACTGTACAGACGATAAAGCTCGCTATCGAGCAGAGGTGCGCTCGCCGTTCGAAACAGCGAGAAAGGATAAGTGTGAGAGCTCCATAGTGATGGCGGCAAGGTAAGACCGGTGGCAACCAACCATGTGGTTTCTGATCTGGGTAGTATTCTAATATTGCTCCACCAAACACATCTGTGATGGGCAAAATGGTGCGCTAAAGGGCTCTGTTTTTCCTCCTCATCGACTTACTCTAGTCTCTCTCTTTTTCTTTCATTCTGTAGCCTAGTCCACACACCTTGCCATGAGGTTATCCACGTCGCTCTTTGCTATCCTTACCACCTTGACCGTGGCTGTCCAAGCCGGACATGTAGACGGTAACCCTTCTTTACATTCTAGGCATGCTCGAGTCGCACGTCGCGTTGAAGAGCGACGTGTTGATGAGAATGTCCCTAGGGTACGCAGCAGGAGGAGCTGCTCTGCTGGGAACTCTGCTGGGAACGGTGGTGGTGTGAGTTGACGTTTTCCTTGCTTTGATTCGTTGCGGGACATGCGTACTGATGGGTTATTATAATGGCGCTTTTGTTGCAGGTCAATAATGCCGCTGCGAATCCATCACCCTCTGCGCCGCCAGCACCTGCATCTACATCCACGACCTGGTCTGCGGCTCCTTCCCCCTCGCCCTCTCCTTCTCCTTCTCCCCCTCCTCCCCCTCCTCCCCCTCCTCCTTCGTCGAGTAGCGCACCGCCCCCTGCCTCTACGACTTCTTGGAGCAATAACGGTGGATCTTCAGGTGGATCCATTGGATCTACTGTAGCAGGACTCATCAATATCGCTGCTGGCAACTGCGGTCCCATCGGTGCTACATGTACGTCGATCATCCAGAGGACTCGTTATTTTACGATTTTAACACTTTCACAGTGGATATAACTGCCTCGAGTGGGCCCAACGGGAACATCAACTTCCTGAACTGTGGTATCGGTTCTGGTGGTTGGACCCCGCCTTACATCTCGGTCTCTGATATCATTACCGTGGAATTGGCTTCGGTAGCGTATGAACCTAATTCTGCGTTCTCGCCTTGCGCGGCATACGTGTCGACATTCGAGCAGTATGCCGGTCAATATGGGCGTCAGTGGTTCTCGTATCTGCGTTTTTAGTTATCATCTGACAAATTGTGTATGTAGTTCCTGCCATCTTGTTGGCGTCCTTCGCTATGCAGGAGAGTGGCTGCGACCCTAGCACCGTCGGTGGTGCTGGTGAGCAAGGTCTCATGCAGCTCACTTCAGACAAATGCACCAACGCACCTGGAGGTAACTGCCAGGATCCTGTATGTCTTTTTTACCACTTCTTGGGATGTATGAAGCAAAGCTAATGCGTTACTGACTAGGACTACAACATTCACACTGGGGCACAGTTCTTCTCCGATACCCTGAACAGCAACAACGGTGATCTACTTTTGAGTATTGGCCAGTACAATGGCTGGTTCCAGGGTATGACATACGTACGTCTATTTCTCGCTGCTGCGTGGTGTGTTGAAACTGAAACTGAAGCTCAACTTCGATATAACAGGCTGACGCCACTGCCGATCAGTACAGTGGGAACTGCAGAGCTCAGAACAACTTGGATTAGTAAGTAGTCCCATCGTACGATGATCTTGTTTGCTAAAGCAGATCTTGATTTTTCTAGCCTGCACCAATTCTTGAATGGCTGGTGCCAAAACATCAACGCTTACTCGAACAATCCTCCCCTTGGAGAATACTTTAACCTTAACGTGTGCGGCAGTAGCTGATCTCGTTACCCTTGAAACCTCAAGCAACCGGTCTCGCGTTGTCACGGCCATGTTTGTCCGGAGCGAGAATGGTTTTTTCAGATACAGTATACCTTATACCCATCATTTCCACAGGTGACCGCAGGTCACTGTCCCCTCGCTAGTTGTTTTTTTTTGTGGTTAATGCAACATTTTTTGGTTACGAGGACGAGGCTCATGTTCATTTTATATGATTGTACGAGTGGCTGCAATGTCAGACACATTCTATCAAAACTTGTTTTAACTGAGTATTTTCAGTATGCGACGTTCTCAGATCATGATCGCGCTCCCACGACCATCGTTTCCTTTTTTGCAAATTTTAGATTGTGTATCTTCAAACGCTTTCTGGTTGTCCTCTCGGCTATATCATAGGAACTCAACGATACACAGCGTACTATATCTGATAAACCTCAATTGTCGACAGCCATGAGCGACGCATCTTCATCCGTCCCAGGATCCCCAGGATCCACCCCACCTTCCTCCTTGCCATCGCCCGAAATGCAAGCCCTAAGTCTCAAAGATGTGTCAGACGAGGACAGAGAAAAGGCAAAAGAGCTGAAAACGGCGGCCAACAAAGCATTCTCGAGTAGGCATCATACCGTTCTTGTGCGTATCGATGCAGGAAATGTTAACCGCTCATCGTGTCGTTGCAACCTTTTATTGCAGACCATAACTTTTCAGAAGCTGTTAAACTGTACTCTGAGGCTATCGAACTGAATCATGCCGATGCGACGTTTTGGTGTAACCGTGCTGCTGCTCGTACGAAGTTGGAGGAGTATGGGTTTGCTCTCAGTGATGCAAGTAAGTGAAAAGGCACGAGGCCGATCAGGATACGCGTTTTTACAAGATTTGGTTCAGGTAAAGCCATAGAACTAGACCCAAAATATTCAAAAGCTTACTATCGGTGAGATCCCGCTCAACGTTATTATCTCTTCGTTTGACATCTTATAGCCATGGATGATCGTCTTCTTATCCTAAAGCCGAGCAACGTGTTATCTACAAATAGTGAAGCCGCAGCTGGCAGTAGCGGAATTCAAGAAGGTCATTGCCCTGGAACCGAAAAATGAGATCGTACGGTCGCAACTGTTGTCCACTCAAAAACTTGTCCGTAAAATTGAATTCGAAAAGGTTAGTATCTATCTTTAGATTTATTGTGTTGGTTGAATTCACGATGTCATGCAGGCAATTGAAGTAGAGGGTGAAAAGAACCCGATAGAAAGATGTACGGAGATTGTCGCAGAAGGTATGGCGAAATAAACTGTTTGCGGGAGTCACTTTAATAACTCGAGCTTGTTACCAGGAGGATGTGATGTTGAGAAGAGCTACGCTGGACCAAAACTGGATACTACTGAGGATGGAAAATATATTATGACACTGGATTTTATCAAGAAAATGATTGATTGGTTTAAGGATGGCAAAAACCTTCCTCGTCGATATGTGTGGGAGATTGTTCTTGGAGCACACTCTCATTTCGCTAAAGAAGAAAGCATGGTTAATCTCGATCTCGAAGATGGAGTGACTTGTGATGTTATCGGCGATGTTCACGGTGAGTAACCGCACGTCAGCTTTTGCTGTGTCGCTCTGCCTTACCGTTCATTCAGGCCAATTCTATGACCTTCTGAATTTGTACTCACTTACTGGCGAACCAAACGATAAACACTGCTTGTTGATGAACGGAGATCTTGTTGATCGAGGATCGTGGTCCATTGAGGTGATACTCACTGCCTTTGCGTATAAATGTTGGTGCTCTCTTCATCTCTGTTGAACGATGAGCTCTTACATGCACTACAGGGTTATATCCCACGCGTATGTTCATAAACCGCGGCAATCACGAGGCAAAAGACATGAATAGGACGTATGGCTTCGAAGGTGAAGCGAAGCACAAGCATGGAGAACAAACCTACAAGGTTCGTCCTACTTAATATAGAGCACAGACACTATTTGACATTTTAATCAAGCTCTTTGCATACGTTTTTACGACTTGTAAGATACCAGTGTTCATATGGAATGCTAATTAAGGACCTAATTTGCCCTCTAGTACCGCTAGCTACACTGGTTAGCGCCACCAAGCTGCCTGCGACGCCTGACAAGGCCGCCATTCTATCACCAGAAGGGCGAAAACGTTATTTTGTCGTTCATGGTGGTCTCTTTAGCAAAGATGGTGTCACTCTTGATGATATTCGCAAGATTGAGCGAGTTGGACGACAGCCCGGTCAAGAGGGCTTGATGTGTTCGTGATTTTAGAATTCTTTATTTTTTACTTAAAGCTGATTTTAATCTCATTAGGCGAGGTAACTTTAATCATGACATATCGTATGTGTCAATCTTTATGAAACCTGCTTTTAGCTTCTTTGGACCGATCCTCAGGAGATGCCTGGTCGCGGCCCCAGTAAAAGAGTTTGTGCAAATCTCCCCATGTTTTGCGTCTTTCTCATAAATTTCTCAGGGTGTTGGCATCGCATTCGGACCTGATGTCACTCGACGATGGTGTACATTGAACGGTGTCACTGGGATAATACGTAGTCACGAAGTGCGAGAAAGTGAGCCTTCGTCGTGAACTTCCTATATCAGAAACTCATGGTTATGCTAGATGGTTATGCGATCGAACATGATGGCCTGTGCACTACTGTAAGTAAATTCATAACGCTGCTATCAATCGAGTGTAATCACAATCCTACTTTACAGGTATTCTCGGCTCCCAACTACGTGGACCAAGTGGGTAACAAGGGTGCATTCGTAAGTAGCAACTTTGACATATTGATTTTCTTCGCGTATGCTGAACTTCACCAATGTAGATACGGATAGATTCTAGTGGTACACAGAAATACTTCCAATTCGATGCTACACCACACCCCCCAATGAAGCCTATGGCATACGCTCAAGGCGGACTGTCTAGTCTGCTAATGTGAGAGTCCGAAGTTAGGAAGGAGACGAGCGTCTGGAGTTTGCTTGCTTTCGTGCATGGTACTTGGGCACATAATATATTATATTTATATCTAGCTTGCAATTGCCTTCAAATGCATTACAACTTGTACCACGTCAATGATGTTGTTGTGTTTTGATCTGATGATAATCATTTCTTGCAATTGCCTGCCAGTCTTCCTGTGTTGCCACATTTTCAGTGAAGCTGAGAACGCTCGTGGGAAATATCACTCTCACCTGCTTTCTTGCTGAACGTTTCGCTCCTGGGTCAGTCACTTTGTAGCTCAAAATTACCAATGGACAAGACGAAATCAAAACTAGCCGCTTTTTTTGACAACGACGAAGAAGAATCTTCGTTCCCAGTGCGACGGATAGGACTTATTTCTACCCTTTTCACACTTACCAATCGCTTCATACATTAGCAAAAGACAGTCGATGACCAGAAGCTGTCTCAATATACGCAGGGAACCGTACGGAAATCGCGTCGAGAGAAAGAGAAGGAGGCTCTGGAAGCCAAGAAACGAGAGGAAGAGGAACATGCCGCCAGGGCTTACGCCGAGTTCCTGGACGCTTTCGAAGGCGACGATGCGAACAAGCGGAAATCAACCTCCAATTTCGTGAGGGCGGGAGGCGACTCGAAGGGCTCCTATTTGCCTCCCTCAAAGAAAACAACGGAGACCCCGTCACGGTCTACAGAATTTTTCAGAGAAGAGAGCAGCGGAGTGAGTTATTTCTTAGGTTTCGCCCTGACATTGATTGATGCATTTTGCCTACCTAGCCCCCTTCACCTCCACAAGGCAGCGCACCGAAACCTAAAGGAAAACGCGCTATGGACGCTTTTCTTGAAGAGATAAAGAGGTATTCACACATTCACTATCCATTTTCAAATTCGCTCAGCAACATAATTCAGGGAGCAAGCTCAACGAGAGGCCAAATTCTCTCGTCATCGTAAGATCTCTCAAGTGGCCTCTTTTGTAGAACTGTTGGCTCACTGACCGAGCTATCATCCAGCTCATGGCAGGTCTGTGACTGCTTTAGCAGGTGCGAATATTCGTTTTCTTTATGCTACTGGTTTACCGAAACGGAAACATAGCCTATGAAGGTCAGAGTGGAAGTAAAGATCGAGGAGACCCAGAGGTATGTTTGTAGTAGTACACTGTGTATACATCTTGATATGCCTCCAGACATCCAACGTCTTTGTGGCAAACTTGCCCTCCAACGTTACCGAACAGTCTCTGGGAAACTTTTTTGCGCGGAGTGGTCCTGTTGGTTCGGTAAGTTAAAATGTCCTATACTTTTTGACTTTTCTCATTGGCTGCAAAAGGTGAAAATCATGTGGCCTCGTGGCGATCCCACGGTAGGGCCTGGAGGAGACATGACTACGTCTCGTCGGAACAGAAATAGCGGTTTAAGTGGTTTTGTTTCGTTTATGAAGCGGAAAGATGCAGAAAATGCTCTTCGCGAGTTTGATGGATATGACTGGAATGGCTCGGTTCTACGTGTGGGATGGAGTAAAGCTGTTCCTGTGGCAGCTAAGCCTCTATACGGTTAGCCAGCGATTTATTGCCTTTTCAAATACGCTGACGCTGTTACAGTCGCTCGACAGTCTCGTTCTAGATCAAGGTCACGAGATCGCCAATTTAGGAGTAGAAGTAGAAGCAGCCACGGGTCTCCTTCTCGTGAGGGACATTATCGCTCGTCTCGACGTTCTCGCAGTCGAAGCCGTTCGCAATCGCCCTATCAGCGTCGTTCATTTAGTCGGTCTCGTCCTTATGGTAGCCGCAGCCCGTCCCATCGGAGGCGGTCTCGTAGCTTGTCTAGAGGTCGTGAGGATGATGAAGCTTCAGCTGTCACCGATACTTTTATCCGTGCTGTTGCCGCTGAAGTTAAAGGACAAGGTCCGAAGTATGAAGCAAACTTACGAGAATGGGAGCAAGACAACCCCAAGTACTCCTTTCTCATCAGGAGGAAGGTATGTAATTGTGACTGTTGGATTTTTTTTTGTGGTTGATCCCGTATTTGTGATTTATAGCATAAACGACATGTGTACTACAGGGGACTTATTGAGCGAGAGGACATTGTGGATCCTGAGTTTAACGATGAGGTACCAGTCCCAAGTGATTTTGCGGCCTGTGATTATCTGAGCTCGTTTTATTAGGGATATAATTCAGCTTATTCCACCGACTCTGCCGAAGAATCTGAACAGGAACGCACCCGGAAGAATGCTCTAGGGAAACTTGCTCGCAAGCGATTTGAAGCTATGCTTCGTGGACTGTCGGGGAAGCGTGGTGAACTGGCTCGCTGTATGACTTTCAGTTTGGAGCACGCAGAGGCTGCTCGTGAGGTAAATATTTTCCAGCAGCTACTATGATATTTCTTGCTCATTTATTCAAGATTTGTGACATTATTGTTGCCTCATTACTCGTGGACGGAACCCCTGTCCCACGGAAGGTAGCCCGGTTACACTTGATTTGTGACATTCTGCACAACTCTGCTGCTTCCGTTCCGAGTGCATGGAAGTTCCGTCAAGAATTCCAATCACGACTAGGCATCGTGTTCGATCATTTGGCCTCAATCTATCATTCCTTCCCAGGTCGTATCACTGCTGAGACATTCAAAAAACAGATAACTTCCGTTGTTGACATATGGGAGGACTGGATTGTGTTTCCCCCTGACTTCACGTCGGAATTACGAGCCAGACTGGATGGCACAAGCCGTTCAGACGCCCAGCCTAAAGAAGAAGCAGACGATCTTGAAGTCTCAGAGTCTAAGGAAGTATATACTTCCAGGTTCAAAGCAAAATCATTTCAACCTGCGCAGGACATTGTCGAACCTGCTGTACTTGACGTTCCTGGTAAAGATAACAAAGTTGGTGGGGAGCCTATGGACGAAGGAAGCGACATTGACGGGGAGGCCATGGATAATGTCGATGGAGAACCATTGAACGATGATGTGGACGGTGTACCCATCGACGATATCGACGGCGCGCCGATTGATGATGTTGATGGTGCCCCTATTGAAGACATGGATGGTGAACCAATGGAGGAGGATGAGAATGTTGATGGTGTTCCTATGAGCATCTGATGCTAATTGTTGTTCATCGTGGATACGGGACGGGGTCACTGCACTTCTTTCTTCTCAAACTTTTAATTTCTCTCTACTCGTATTGTCAAGAACTCAAACGGCTGTCGCCCAACACCGTGTAAAATCCTTTCGCCTTATAATTACTATGAATCTTCATTTGTTGGACAATTTGCATGTCACAAGAGGCTTGGACTGTCAGAATATAGTAGCCCCTTGAAGCTTTGAATTGGTGTGAGGTGGTCATAGTATTGATGCATTCCGTTATAGAATTATAATTGCTGTGAGGTGTGCGTAGCGATGTATGTAACAAGCATTGAATCCATGTTTTCCATCCCATATTTCATCCCTAGATCATTAATACAAACAAGCCTTTCAATCGTATTGCCGACGTGGAGGGCGGGAAGAAGCCATCTTAATAATAGCCTCTTTAGCAGACTCAACAGCCGCTTCAGAACCTGGATATTAGTTTAGCAAGCTAACAACGACAGTCACAGTCTGGACGTACCAATGATAACAATAGTGCTGTTCTCTCGGCTAACCGTAATATCTGCTCCAGTTTCATTACGAAGACGGGTAACATTTGCACCCTTTGAACCAACTATTCTGGGGAACGTGGAACGGTCAGGAAGGGTGAGGAAACCAACTTGAGACATGCTCTTGGCCTGCTCAATGGCTTCCTGGATTGCATTTTGAGCACGTTCTAATCCAGCAGAGTCCCTTGCCTTCAGAGTCCAAGTAGAGTCGCCTTCTTCTGCATCTTGGTAGTTCGGCACCGTTTGCCAGATATTTTCTGGGGCTGACTCCTCCTCAGCATCATCGATACGTGCAGAAGTAGATTCAGTCAGGACGGGACGAGTGGGAACGTATGATTTTTGAGGGTGGGCATCCTGATCAACCTGGACGCCGTAAGATCGTAAGGCGCGGAAGAAGCTACCCTGCTGTGAGATGACATGATGGTACTTGAGAGGAACGGAAACAGTCTCGCTGACACCTTCTGGAGCGGGAGGCTTGATCTGAGACTGCACATCTCGTCAGTGCAAGCTCGCCAACCACATGATAGGGATACCTACTTTCAGTTCCTCAATAGCCGTCTCACACGCCGCACGAGGACCGGAGACTTTGACGATATTAGCAGCGTCAGTTTCCCCTACATCGGCAGCATTGTCGGGTTCCCCAACTTGACTGTAAGAGCGCGATCCAGGGAATTGGACTTGAACGCCATGTTTGGCCTGAAGATCGTTCAAGTGCTGACCTCCTCTTCCGATCAGGTTGCGGTGTTGAGAGGCAGGGATGTCAACGGCCATTACAACGCGGTCTCGCAGGGTGGTGACGATCTTCTCCAGCTCGGCCTTAACCTTGTTGACGAGTTTCGGCTCTCCACGAAGACGGACTTCATCGGAAGGTTCACCTTGACGAGGGCTAAGAAATTGAAGATATAAGATAAGATAATCGACAACTAAACCAAATGAGACATACAATCTGACGAGTCCTGCCTGAAGCTTAGGGTCCGACGGACCACCACAACGACCAATTAACTCCTTGAGACCTTGACCACCGGCTCCAATAATCGTACGATGGAATTTCTGCTCAATCGTGAGAGAAGCCGTAGTCTCCTCACCGACCTGATCCGCAATGGCTGTAATAGACGTCTTGGCAGCGGCAATGGCCTTCTTCGTTCCACGGACTGTGATCTGAGTTAGCGTGCCAGACTCATCAGCGGCTTTGTCAACGTCAATCTGGGCACCAGTATCGTCCTTGATCTCGTTGATAGTAACACCACCTTTGCCAAGAATGCGCGCAACAGACCGAGTGGGAACTGTGAATTTGAGAACATTGTTCGACTCCTTCTCAAATTCAACGGCGTCAAGTAGCTCGGATTTAGCCAAGGCAACACCCTTCTTGCCACCTTTGATCAGAACCTCGTCAGACTTTAGCTGCTCGCGAGTTCTGTTTTCGCTATTGTCTGCCGACTGGCGAGGGAAAGTGATCTTGACAGAATACTTTTCTTCCAACCTGATTGCATATTTACCGTTTTGCCCGATCAAAGAAGAGTGATACTGGCTAGAAATCTTGAGGACCTCAGAAGTTTCGTCAGCCTATCGAATAGAATTAAATCAGCAGCTTTGACTTTACACGATGAAAGAACCCACGAGACGCTCGACTTGAGCAATGATTCGCCTCTTCGCCTCTTCAACATTTTCTTTCCTGCCAGTAATCTGCACGTATTTATAGCCTACATCACGTGTAAGGTTGCGCGTACACTTACTTTGACCTTTGACTTTTGGTGAGCCTTCTTTTTCTTGCCATTTTCCTTTTCCTTCTCGTCAACCTCATCCGAAACGTCGACTTTCACACCGAGAACGTCACGAAGCTTGTTAATGCCGGATCCCTGAGCTCCAACAACGCGACCAACGTATTCACGCTCGATGTCGAACTCGGTGGACTGTTCACAGGTATAAGAGACTAATAAGATCTAAATCATTGATGGAGAAAACCCACGAAGCTGTTTACAATCTCATCATTCTTTGCATTTTCAACGATTTGAAGGATTTCAGCGACAGCGCGGTCGACATCGGCGCTAGCTCCACGGACCAAGATAACGTCCTCCGTAGAACTATCGCCAGCCTCGGCACCAACCTTGACTGACAGTGTTTTGTCTTCACCGATAATGCTAAACAAGTCCTACGGTGAGAATTTTCTTGCGAGAAACATCTCACGATAGACTACTTACGAATTAAGAGTGGTACCTCCAGTACCAACAACTGCTTCATGCCATCTCTTCTCGACAGAGACGGTTTGACTTTTCACGTCAGCAGCATCCTTGGCTAGCTTCAGCAGCTCCTTGGAGACTTCTTCAAGGTGCTTCTCTTTTTCGACGGGAGAGAGTGAGGCAGAAGGCGACGAAGGATCGTAGACTAATAAGACCGAAGATTCCTCAGCTGTTTCAGCAGGGAAGAAAACCTGGACGTTGTGCACTTCGTGGAATTGCTTCAACCTACAAAATGTGAGCCTCGCACTATCAATTTACAGCGCATATACTTACTTCTTAGCGTTCTTGCCTATGATCACGCGATGAACAATCCAGTCGATGGATAATTCCCTCGTACCACCAATGAGTTTGCCGATCAATTCAGAGACTTTCCTGACAACAGCGTCAACCACAGGTTTTTCGCCGACGATGTCGATGTTGAGAACCTGAGCCTGAGCCACAGTCGCAGCCGAAGGAGTGAAAACCGATACACCAGGGTGCGCAGCGCTCAATGTCTTTGGGTACCCGATGCGAGTCATATACGTTAACAGTTGTTTGGAGAGTGAAATGGGGCCCGGTAGAGGGAACTCATGGATGTACTGCGAGTTGGCCTTTTCCATAACAGCACCGAGACCGGCAGGTAAGTCCTCTCCTTTACCCCAGACAGTTACTTCCTCCGAAGGATCATCGAGTTGAGCGACCACGACCGAACATTTACTCTTAGCCATGATTTCATCGATAGCTTTACCGACAAGTAAACGATGTTGGCGCTTGGGGAGGGCAATCTTGAGTGATGTTACACCTGTCTTGAATGTTTCAACCGTGTTTCTGATGGACTCAACGACACGAACAACACTCTCCCGATCACCGCTGACAGTAATTTCACGCTCAGTACTGTTCAATGCCAAGTTGACGTCTCCACCTTGAGCTGCCTCCATAAATAGAGGGCGGCGAGCGGTAATGAAAGGTAAGATGTGGGCCGGAATGTCACGGACGCGTTGGGTTGACCTAGATGTCCTGGAGGAAATGATTTCTTTGAGCAAAGACTCAGCTTCGTATGCCAGAGGTTGAGGACCGGTGAGAGTAACTGGGACGGTAATTTCGTCTTCGTCGTCCTCGTCAGCGGGTGTAACCTTTCCAAAAGCAGCACCGTTGGTGTGACCGTTAGTGGTAGGAACCAAGTTCTCCTTGCGAGGGATATCGACTCTAACACCAGTTTGATCACGAATTTGCTTTAGTGTAGCACCTATAGCAGAGGGTTGAGTATAGACCACGATATAGTCGAAGATAAAGCAGACCTTTCGGACCGATTATAGCAGCAATAGTTGAGGCGGGAGCATTGAGAACCAAAGTGATCTATACCATTTTGAGTGATCTGCACAAAAGTGAACGGGGGAAACTCACGACCGGGCTGAGAAGAGCCAAGAGACTACGTTTAGCTTTGTCAAGGTCCTTCTGAGAATCAGCTTTCATGTGGAAGGTCGTTTGACGTGTCTTCTGGTTTGTAGAGGCCTCGAGCCTGACTTTGTATTTAGTCATGACCTGCTTCATAACTTCGCCGAGGGTAATGGGCTTTCCATCTCTACCTGCCGAGGAAAGGTCGATAGCAGACAATGTGAATGTGTCCACAAACACAGGCTGAGACTTGACGTTGGCTTTGATACGAGGGCCTGAATCAACACCCCACGCAGACCTAGTGGGGGCACCGGCAGGCTGAACAGAAGGATTGAGTGATGGGAAAGACAAGTGCGAATCCGTGTCCAGAGCTTCCTTTGCCGGTGCGCTAGTACGGGGTTGAGCAGGTGCATCGACCAGAGACGGGAAAGGGTCAGGAGCCCCTACAAATTCGTGTTGTTTCTATTTAATATTGTCAATATGGGTGTCCTATACCTCCGTGAGGTGGCAGACGGACCTGAATATCAGCTGCGCTCGGTGTGGGGGCCATATTGAAGATATATGCGGGTGTCCAAGACGAGAAACCTTTGACGAAAAATACCTGAGCGACGAGTTCCAAATAACAAAACTCAACGCGGGACACTTGGAAAAAAAACAAGAATGAGAAATAATTGAAAAGAGCAGTAGACGTGTCCTCCCCAAATGGTTGGCTCGCCTAATCGACGTGGGAGCATGTTAGGTAAACCAACCGACGGCATCCCAAATAAAAACTACAGTACGCTAGGATGGGATGCCGTCGGTTGGTTTACCTAACATGCTCCCACGTCGATTAGGCGAGCCAACCATTTGGGGAGGACACGTCTACTGCTCTTTTCAATTATTTCTCATTCTTGTTTTTTTTCCAAGTGTCCCGCGTTGAGTTTTGTTATTTGGACTCGTCGCTCAGGTATTTTTCGTCAAAGGTTTCTCGC